AAAAAAGGATTCAAATATAAAAATTATAATACTTTTATCTCCAGTTTTTAATTTCTCACCGTTTTTTTTTTTTTTTAAATTTTAATTGCCAATAATAAAATAAAAATTACCCACTCTGGAATTTAGTTTTTAATTGTGCTGTAAATTGTACTATTTAATATCAAATGTTATATTCATTTGGTAGGTGTTAGAGTTGTCGAAAATTATTCATTGTCAAGTGAACCATCCGACCACAGCATCGAGTGCAATTTTACCACAACAGACTGGCTTTTACTATGAAACTTGAATCTCAAAATAGATTATAGACCCAAACTAACCAGCAAATTTTCATCAACAAAATTGTAACTGATTTTTATTCAACTTCATTTCTTGGTACACTGACACGTTGTTACATATTGAAAAACCTTCATTACCAATTTTTTCTTTCATTTTCAGTTTATTGAACCTGAAAATTATTTCCAATGACTCAATAATTCCATTTTCTCTAATATTTTTCCATCAGTGATGACAGCCAAATTTTTCTTGTAAAGCAAAACAACAATAACATACTCTGAAATAAAAATTATTATTGTCAAGTCATCATCTGCAGACATTTGTTTAAATAAATGACAAAATATTTTTCATACCTTCAATAATAATCCAATGTTTGTTTATTTTTTTTTAACGAATAGATTGCTCTCTTGCATATGTTCTCTGCATCACTTGCAAAATAATTAAATAAAATTCCAAAACTGCATTTTTTAGGATTTTTCATTGATTGATGATGAAGTTTAGCTCATTATATAACCATCATATTGATTTTATTGTCATCGTAAAAATTATGAGCATAAAAATTCTTGAGCTCAAGCCTTTTATTGGTACCTATATGGACAATTCATTTAATCTTCAATATCATGACCCTGAAAAAATTGAAGTCATGACCGAGCCCATTCATTCCACTGCGTAGGATTAATTTTCACTGGGGTCAAAGGAAGATGAATTGTTTTCCAATATATCACCGTTTTCTCATTCACTTTGCAAAAAAAAAAAAAAAATATTTTCAATTTTCTACAATTCATAAAGTCTACTTAAAAAATGTAAATGTAATGTTCTTAGATGAGATCATCGGAAAACAGACCATAGAGTTGTCTATCCCTATCAGCGTGTCGTGATAGTATGCAAGAACACGTACCTTACTTCAAAATTGAACCGGCCACATAATGCAGAATAGAACTTTATGATGCTGTTGAAAGTAAATTTAGCAGTACTTTCCGATCAATAGATTAAATTTACATCGACGTAGGGAAATAATGATAATAAATGAATTTATCCATTAAATAATTATTATCAAACAGATGTTTATTCGTATTGGATAACGATAACAATACTATAAACTAATTAACTTGAATAACTGATTGTCTCTTCTATAACAAGGATTACATGTACAACAACTAAATGATCAAAAGATGAATTAAGTTTGGAACAATCTATAAACATGTATTTCATTCTATTATTAAATTAAAATATTTCTTAAACTTAGAATAAAATTACCAATATTTCGTTGGATTCATATAATTTACATTTACCATATTAATTAATTAAAATGATATTACTATCAAAGAAAAAAATCATTTAAAACTTTTTAATAAAATGACATTGATCTCATTTTGAAATTTTATATGAATTTGAAAAATTCTCATGCGAAGGCGATAACTTTATTACGTATCTCTTATTGCATTAATCACTAACGTGAAATAGTTTCAGTATTAGATAAAACAATTATCAAGTTGAGTTTATCAAATAAAATATAATTTATGCAATTATTCTGATACACTTGAACTTGCACGTTTTATCCTTCAAATAAAAGCGTCATGGCCTAGAACAATCTATCAATCGTACTTTTATACAATTTATGATAAGTCAGTTTTTAATTAATAATAAGAAATATTTTTTTTCAAAGCGTTATCATATTTATTTTATATACCCAATCTTCTTAGTTTATTAAATTACGAGTTCACATAAGCTCATTAACTGCAAGCCAAAACGTTAATGTACCATAACTGTCTTATGTTTTCCATGAGAATATGAGAACAAGTTCTTGACTTGAAGATTATAGTACCGTAACATAAAACATATTGTTTCCAAAATGTTTGGGTCAAATAAATCAATTAAATGACTTAAAAATAATGATACACACAAAAGAAGAAACTTTACTTTCATAAAATTCATGATGATGCAGTAATATTTTTCTATTTTTACTTAATCTGCCATTTTTCATGGTAACTTATACTTCCCCTCCTTCAAACAATTTATGTATTTACAGTGAGGTACTTATCCAATAACAAGCACCAAGTGTCGATAATAAAAGCCATTAAAAATAATTCCATTCAATAAATGAGATGTAAAAAATTAATTAAAATAATTTTATATCACCGTAAATTGTATGAAACATCACTCTTTAAATGTTCTTCATATTTTTTATGCTCTATTAAATGCAGAGTATCAGACTTGCATTACAGTCTTAGAGACGCTTTGTAAGATACTTTAAAGTGAGAAGAGCTTTTGAATATCCATCATACTAAGATCGTAAGAATCTTCATGGAGGATCAGTATTCATCAAAATTCCAAGTACTGCTATCGATTATTTAAACTAGGATATTTTGTATCAAGATTAAAAAGATTATTCTATTTTAAAGTTATGCCAAGTTTAATTATTATATTTTTCGTGTAATCCAATATTTGTATTTAGAATTTTTGTTTTTTTTTTGAAAAGATTTGTATAAATTAAATGCCAATATTTACTCATGATTAAATACACTACAATATCAAGTGAATTATTTATGTATTTATTTATTCATGGACTTGATAAAGAGGTTTGAGATTTAAATTCCAGTCACTTTCTTTGTTGTCACTTTTAATATATGTTAGAATGCTACTTTTGTGAAATAGATTACATTTACTTATCCGTTTATTTTATTATTCATATATTCACGTGAAATAAAAGTGTGAAGCTTTTTCGCGATGCGTAGGCACGAAGACGGAAGATAAAAAGCCAGATTCATTTTCTAGATTTTATTTTCATATAGATATTATATGTGTATCATATTGAATATATCTCTGCATGTCCTGTGTTACGTGAGTATCCTTTGTTATTAAAGTTGAAAAAAGAATCTCAATTATCAAATCGATCATCATTTCCTGCAGCATCACTGGCGCCAATCATTTCTCTTTTCCCTACATATTCTAAAAGTAGACAAGCAAATACACTTGACACTTTATTGTATGATAGATGAACTTGAAATGATTGCTTGTTCTCTTTAAAATACAGTTTTCTCTCTCTATCTGTCTCTTCGGAGAGCTGATAAATTCGGTTGTAATTGAAAAAATAAATTAATAAAAAAAATAACGTAAAAAGCTTTATCAAGAGATGACAGCTAAACTAATATTTGAATGCACAACACTGGGAAAAAAGGTCTGCAGATCATAATCTCTCTTCATTATGGCCGATATTCACTAACTAATGTCAAAAGTATTCAACATTTTATGAATTATTATGATTCTTCATAGTCAACATTAGAGCAAATTATTTATTTTTCCAACTATCAACTCTCAAAAATAGCACTTTTTAATTTAAAAATGACCCAGCTCATCAATCATCACCTCTAATGTAAATGTTTAATTAAAAAAAATATTTATTAACATCATAAATTGCTATCATTAAATTTTAATGAAACTGATAAGTTGATTATAATAATGGAAAAACTGAAATGTGATAGTTTATGTTATCGTAATGAGATTTCATTAGTAAGTGAAAATAATTAATTTACAATCAATTGTTAACAGCAAAAATAAACTTTTTGAATTGAGTTATCTGCCGAGTAGATGAGATAAAAATTGATTAAGAGATTTTGCTCTAAATTTCAATTATTTCCACTCAACAAATTCGCACCCAACGATGTTGTCAAGCTACATATTCTCACAACACTAGAAAATTTATGTAATCTCCAGAGGCGACTATTTCACGCATAAGAAACGCGAAATTGAGTGTCGCATTGCCTTATACTGTACTCGTTATAATAAATTGCGACTAAATTAGGTCATAAATATTCTATTTGAATTATTAGAAAGAATACTATTTAATTACATGATCAATTTAAGGTATTTTTTCACTTTTTTTGTAATAAATAAAATGCTTTGTGACATTTTTGCTTTATATAACTTGATACTTGTTTTAAAGTATAATGCATTTTAATTAAAATTAAATCAACAGAGGATAACGCTTTGATGTTTCATATCGTTAATTTATGCACATTTTTATTGTTAATAATGTTGGTGAATAATCAAACGACTTAATGACGGTAGACATCTAATCATCATGACATAGAATCACATTAGTAATACTAAGCAGGTACTTATTTACAAACAAACATTTGCAATCCAAAATTCAATACATTAGAGAATTTATTTACATTACATTTATCTATTTGCAGATTTAACAACTGATTTCTTAGTATTTTTGCTACTACTTAAAGAGATTAAACTAATCTACTGAATCTTTAACTTTCTCACGATTAGATTAAAATGATTAATATCGATTAGAAATCACTAAAAGACAATTATTGGAAATATGTGTGACAATAAACATCTTGTTTTCTGTTAATTGCCTTAATTCGTTTGTGTGAAAAAGTGTGTGTGACACACAAAAAAGATGTGTGAAAAAATATTTGCTACAATTTCTAGCAAATACAAGTTCACTTTATCATCGTTATATTTGTTTTATGTCAACAATATATCATATCGATATTCACATTTATTTTTTTCCAATAACGTAGACAACAAAAATGATTAAAAAAAAAAAAAAAAACAAATAATTACAACAAATGTAATGTTGCTGATGAATTTGCATATGCCCGCCATTGGAGGGACTTATAATTGTTAACCAATAGCAGACGTTAGATTCTTGGGGATACTACCAATAGTCACTGAAACGTTATCAATTTCGACAGTATATAACTGCTGTGAGTAAAACGTTTTCAGGTCATTCGATTGAGTGGTAGACTGTCATCTGGCGCTCTTTTTGTGCCAGGAATTGTCATCATTATTATTTAAACAATAGAACGAAAAAAAGAAAAATTGTGCAAAGAGCCTGAGGATTTGGTCAACACCATCAAAGCTATCAATTGAAACTGAATGTGCTAAAATTGCACAGCAATTAAGTTTTGGTTTTTCCTTTGTTGAGTTTAATTAAACAACTTTTGAATATGATTGTACTCACGTTTATAATATCAGCCCTCGTTGCTGTTAACGTCCAGGCCCTCAGCATCATCACACGGGACCAAGTTAAGGATTACTGTGACAGGTAAGCTAAAATTTAATTTATACAGATTAAATTAAATTAATTGATACATAAAAACCTTTGATAACAGAATGAATTTAAAAAAAAATATTATATTGAATAATTGCAATTAATATTAGATTAATTAAAAATTTATACTTTAAATGAAAATTAATAATTAGAAATAATAATTTCTTTAAAGTTAATGGAAAAATAATTATTTATAATTAATTAGATGATTCTGAAGTATGCTCTAATAAATTGCAAATGTTTATTTGATGACTTTTAATGGCAGTTATGGTGATAATGGTAACAAGAAGTCTAGACTAATGAGAAATTAATGAGTAAAAGTATACAAATAATATATAGTAAAATAATTTCCGGTACGATTAGAGCTTGTCGCTTGTTGGGATCGAATATGATTCATAAGGTTATTATACTGAGTTCTGATAAAGTGTCAAGTTCGCAGCAATGTTTTAACACATGGCAAAATTAATTAAATGAATATCTCGAAATGCATAAGCATTATGTAATTTAATTATCATTGTTTTATTGAACAAAGATCAACAGAATTTTATTTTACATCTGAATAAATAATTAAGACATTTCATCTGTGTCTTTCATGAATGAATCTTCAAAGTTCGTGTGATTCAATACATTGTTTGAGGAAAACCAGACAATTAAATAAACTTGAGAAACACTTTACTTAAAAGTAATTAAGAAGTCCACAACTACAATTAAGTTGAACTTTAAACCATAATGTAATACCTTTTTCGACCATAAATATTCCATCTAAACTTTTGGTGCATAAAATGTTGAACGAAAAAGAGAGTTTATCAAGTTTATAATTTCAGGATCATAGATTGACTTTGTTTATTTCAGTATAACTTTTGTTTCTCTACTACTTGAATATATATTTTGTTGCATAAACATTGCTAATACCACACTCACAATTTATTACTTTGGATGAAACATAAAATAATATTTTCACTAATAGCAAATAGTTAGCTATATTACATACAGAGTTCATGTTTTAAAATATTTATACACATGTTTCTTCAATTATTATAAATGTGACTCATATTTTATCATCATTCTTTCAAAGTTGATCTAGTAAAAATATTTGTTCAAAAATAATAACTCTATATTGTGACTTTAACATTGTTGATCATCAAACATCATTATCCCACAGTAAAATGAAAGTTATTAATCAAAAAAGTTTATTTAAAAAAATTTCTAATTATTTGTGATTGAATCATTTGTCCTCGATTACTTTGTCACTTGTCTAAGTCCTTTCTGATAAAAATTAATATTAAATTCCCTAAGCAGCAGGGGATAGTAAATGATTGAAGCTACATTATCATATACTCATCAACTTCCTTCCTCAACATTTGCCCAAAAGCTTAATGGAACACAATTTCAATATTTTTTTTTGTCCATCCCAAATCTTTTTCCTTATCATCCTATTCTTCATCATAAACCTGCCAACTTTGTACATCGCTAGAAGTAATTTTCCATGACTAAAAAATTCATTTAATAAATTGTTTTATCATCCTCGTAGATTATATTCTATTTAAAATTGTCTCCTATCCTTTTCTTGAAATTTTTCTCAAAGGGTTTTTCGTTAAATTGCCAACAAATAACGTAGAAAGTGTAAAAAGTTATTCCTGGATTTGCATACACATGAATATACATTCTTCTTTTTGTGTTATAATCTGGAGAACAAATACAGTTATTATATGAGAAGAGTTCTTTGTTGGAACATGAAAAAGAGAAAGAGTGGGTAATGGTAGGAAAAGTCAGACACGTGGGTTTATATACATTTAAATTTCTAACAAATGTATAGGGTAACATTAAGTGTGATAATATTCTCTTAATGTCATAACTTTGAAGAGATTCATCTTCCACGTATAATTTTCAACTTTGTATATTCACAATAACGTTGTGATCCATCATTGTGGTAATGAATAATCTTCATCTCTTCCATTCCTATCCTAATTCAAACTAGGTTTATGCATTGATGTGCAGCATCACCAAATGATACACTAATTCAGCATTCCACGAAAAAATCTACCTAACAAATTTATTCATCCAATGGAAGTTTGAAAAAAAAAAACCATCAACTATTCATATAGAAGTTAAAATTAGAACTGACATCCTTTTTTATTCTTGAACAATAGCAATCATGCTGAAAATAAATTTAACTCAAGGAGATAAACTATTTAATTAAAATTATCTATTGTGTCCTCTAAAATTTTTTCATCTGAATAATAATGATTTTATTGATGTATTTTTAATTTACCACTATATAGTTCTAGTAGAATGTAATGAGTTAATTATTCATTTTGAAAGACCTCGGGTAACAAAATGAAAAACTGATAAAAATTATGACACTATTTTCAACGTTCTCGTTTACAATAAGTGATTAATCTAATGAAGGTTGTGTTTGAATAACCGCATTTTTTATTTATCCAGTAAATTGAAAATAATCAGTCCTATGTCAAGTCTGATTACCAAGGAAATTACGTATACGACCTTTTCTGCATGACTAAAAGATGATAAGAACCTTCATGTTTGATAAATAATCCTCTCTTTAAAATTGCAAAGATATATTTTTCTAAAAAGCTATTATATGAGGTGAATTCCACCAAGAATATATTGTCCTTTTTGTCCTTTTAACATTTCTTTGACAATGTTGAAATAAACGAACACAAGGGTATGCCAACAATCATTTACTACAATTACATAAAGAAGAGCTCATTTATTTTAAAGCTGGAGAATAGAATACTAACTAGGCTTCGTTTGTAGTCTTATCGAACTTTCGCTGAAGATAACAAGACAACCATCAAGTTCTTCGTTATTAGTTCTAACCCATGGGTACAATTAATGTAATTGCTGACCCTATTTGTCTACCTCCTATTATGTTTTTACTTTCCATTTATAATGACCGAAACTTCTTCCATCAAATTTTTATCTTCATTACTTCTCCACAGATAAAATAAATATCCAGCTGATCTTAACTAGCTGTCTAATCGGTATCATTAATTCACAATCATTTCTTTCTTATTTCAAGTTTCTATTTAATTTGTTTTAATTAATTAAAGTTCAATTGAAATTAAAAGCACTTCAATAATAAATTCGTGTATGAACTTGTTACAATCACTGCTAATTGCTAAAAGGCTTCATAATTGCTCCTAATAAATTGTCATTGTAATCAATTTATTGTAGGATATACAAATTCAGTAAGCAATGATAATTTATTATTAGCTATGTTTCAATAAATTCCAAATGAAATTACAGCAAATTGATTTATTTTTAATTAAAAAAAGTTAGAGTATGATCAGATGAAACATTCAAACTACTAAGAGGCTTCAGAAAACGAAACTGGTATGACGGATATAAAAAGTTGATAGAGTATTGAAAAATATAAGTGTCAAAGTGTTATAAAATTGCTAATATCAAAAGCGTATAATGTATAGGAAACTTTGAAAACTTTTATTTAATAATTAGAAGTGAGAAAAAACTTACCATGTACTACGTGTTGCTTCAGTGAAATCTATTGCCAGGGAGAGTTATTGAAGACAGTCCAGCTGGCTGAAATTTTTCCTGATAGCAAGACCTTCGTTGATCTTTATCAATTACATGATCCAACCGTGACCTTGGCCAAGTGAGTAATCATCTGCACAAGATTAATTCTTTATATAAGATTATAGTATTGACAAAAAATATTTATAGTTATGACAATCACACTTGAAAGTTTGTTCAATTTTTCACTTTAATCATAATTATCTCAATTATTATATAATCCTCCAACGTTCATAAATCAATATCTGAAAATTATTTATTGAATGATATAACTGCCTTGTCATTTTTATCAACTACAAATATAATTAATGAATGAGATAGGACTTTTCATCAAAAATATTGTAGATATGGTAACAGATGTCTAACATGATGTTAATTGATCATTAATAGTTTCCAAAAGTTGATGAGTGACACTGGTGGAAAACCAAACAAAACTCAAGTTGCTCAATTTGTGGCGGAAAACTTTCATTCAAGTATCGACGTGTTGCCTTGGTCACCTCCTGATTGGCAACCAGACCCTGCAATACTCAAGAGTATTCAAGACCCAAATTTTCGAGAGTGGGCGAGACAATTGAACCATATTTGGAAGAATCTTTCACGGCAAATGTCGCCAGAGATATTGTCAAACCCTCAAAGATATAGTGCTATACCATTAGAAAATGGCTTCGTTGTACCTGGTGGACGCTTTCAAGGTATGCATTATGTACAGATATACATTTTAAATTTTTTGACATCAATAGTTTGAAATAAACTGACCCTTTATCTATTTTTAATCCATCCTAGCTATTAGTTTTCTGTCTGTCAATTTTTATTTTACCGTTTGATATTTCCGATATAGAGTTTATTTTTATGACAATCATATTCTGATATCAATCATGTTCATGCTACAAAAGTTTAACTGTTTTTAAATTTCTTTCCATTCGGTCAGTGTAACTGTTTTAGTTACCAATGACTTTTTTAAAAAAACAGAATTGTGAATTTGATTTATATATATATATATAAATTACCTTAGGGTAGGATTTTAGTTTAATTAATCGAGCAACAAATATTAAAAAAATTTTAATTTTATGAGAAATTTCTTTGTAATTTTTTTCCTAAATTTTCATTAAATCTAAGTAAATTCATGTTTCAAGTTTGAAAGTAATATTCTATTTTTTCTGAACTTTAGATTGTAAAAATAAAATAAATTTCAAAGCTAATGTTAGCTCTTCTGAAGAATGTAAAGTCCATTCTTAGAGTCTATAATTATGAATTTTACTACATCTTGAAAGAAAAGAAAAAATATCTAAACATTATGAAATATTTTTGTTAAAGAATTTAATTAAATGAGTAGAATGAATATAAGACTCTTTGTCATATTTATAAATAATTTATATACTGAAAATTTTCAAATTCATTACTCTAAAAAATATTCAAATGATTCAATATAAAATCTTTTTTTCTCATTTTGTCTGTTCCAGTTCATCAAAGCTCTCACTTCTCTATAATCCTCTTATTCCACTATTTTTATATCATATCTGAATTTCATAAGTCAAAAATTTTTGTTTGCCATCATTTAATAAAATTTTTTTTACCAAAATAAAATAACTAAAGCCATTTTTTCCATTTTTAATGAATAATCTCATAATATTCATCCAACAAAATGCAACAATTTTTATCATTATGACTACTTGAACTAAATAAACCAAGTCTTTAGTACTCCTCTCTTGATAGCTTTGGATACCAACTCCTATAAACTTCTGTAATTAATTCAAACTATCATAGTCCATTATTAAATAAACTCCATTATAATCTTAATTTAACTAAAATACTTTGGTACATTAAATTGAAATGCTTGAACGAAGCTCAAAATTATTGATAATCAAGATTCTTAATCTGATCTTTTTTATTTAATTGAATTGGCTCGTAGAGAAATATTTGATTTAATTTTATGCTTTTAGAAACCTATTACTGGGATAGTTATTGGGTAATCGAAGGTCTTCTACTTTGTGGAATGAACGAAACAGCAAAAGGAATAATTTTAAATTTCCTTTCGATGGTAAATAGATTCGGTTTTATTCCAAATGGTGGTAGAATCTACTATTTGATGAGAAGTCAACCCCCTCTACTCATTCCTATGGTAAGTACATTTTGAATATGCAGATTGTTATTACGTTGTGTAACTAACTACTTGGAGAGTGTTATATATGAAGCATCAGGAAACTCATTACAAAATTTTAAATATGTTCAAAACTCTCAAAAGTCAGTAGTTGTTTATCTTTTGAAGTAACAAAAAAGCTTGTAATTTACGAAAAAGATAAATATATGCTAGGTGCTAATAATGTGTTCGTGAAAAAGAACAACCTTCCATAACATTCTTCTATGAGCCCCTTGGCAATAAAGTTGTCCCCTTGAGTATACAGTCAAGACTGTTGTCCTGGAATCTAATTTCTCCCAAGCTTCCTGAATTTCCATTCATTCTTTATACTTTTCTTTACTCTTCTTTAACGTTTTTACTCATTGGTCAGCTGAAATTGCTCACTATGTAATTTAACAATGGTTTATAGCCTCCAGAGGAATAAACGAATTCCTGAAAATTCAAATTAAGATCGTAATACAATGAAATAAGTAACAAATAAAATATTTTATAGAAAACTTTTTTACTATAATTGACCTTTTTCTTTTTTTCCTAATATCTTTGATGAGGAAACAAATATTTTTCTGACAGAATAATTTCTGATATTCGAATAACTGAGATAGAAAGATAGAAATTTTAATTTTTTTTTCCATTCAATCAATTATGTTTCATACTCCAATATGCACGTCGATAATTTTAATTAATTGTTTTTTTATTGATATAGTTAAAAATAATTTCATTTAGCTCAGGTATGAGTGGAATATGAAAGAAGGTGAAATTTATATATTATTGGAAATATGTAGAAGAGAAAACATTATCTTTTATACAGTCACTGAGCTAACTACAATGACAAATTTGATAATATTGAAATGTCACGTATGTTACTGTCGATATGCGTGGAATTTATGTAAGTTTATTGAGAGAAATAAAATGATATGAATTTCAATAGAAAATTCTGACACTCATGAGCGTTTTGTTAGTTTTACAAATGTTGGAGATATTTCACTTGACATACAAAAGAATATTCAGAAACTAACATAACAACTTTTACTAGTTGAGTTTTTGATGTCAAGCGATCTGTGATTTAATTATGTCAGTCTCATATTACAAATATCAAAATATAGTTGTATATGTGAGAGGGATTTTCCGGTATATATAAAGCTAAAATTGATTTATCTTGAGCAAATTAATTTAATTCTCTGTGATTTTGGTCGGGATTTAATTAAAGCAGAAGAGCCCAAAAAATGAAACCACTACAATTATTTCAGCTGACTCAGAGACAAGTAGGGAAAGATAAAGAATTGGCTTTTTATTTTAGAAAAAACATTGTTAAAAAAATCTTCAAATATAAATGAATTTTTGGCTGAAGAATAAATTAAATTTATTGAGTGAATAAAAATTAATTTAAAGAAACAAAAATATTGCTTAAAAGAGCTCGTAATTCTGTTTAGCTTTAAATTACTACCAATGTTGTGATCATTATGTAATAGTTGTTAACGTGCTTCTAAACTTAAAATAGAATTACAAGCAGTATCATATAATATTTCTCTATCTTACAAACTACTTCAGAGCATCGTCATTATCAAATTAAAATGTTTTGCTGTAAAAAAACCATCATACTTTTGATAATATATTTCATAACATTCATTACATCAATTAATTTGGTTAAAAAGATTATAGAAAAAAAAATGGGTCTAGGCTTAGTTTGTGCCCTGACGACGAACTTCCCATTAATTGAAATCCATAATTTTGTCATCTTTTTTTTTGTTTATAAAAAATTACTATTGTTATAAACAATATACAATTGTTTAATCATATAAAGTTATTTATAACAATATTTTATTGATATTTATAATTAAAACCATTTTTTATTGTTTATAACAAATTGAATTTGTTATAAACAATACATAATTGTCTAGAGTCATATGAAGTTATTAACAACCATATTATATTGACCTCAGTTGTCAATAATGTTAATCATCTAATAAGTAGAATCAATTTCAAATGTCTTTTTTATTCAACTTATTTTAGTCTTTTTGTTACACGGCTGGACCGAATTTGTTTAAACTTCTGTCAGATTTTCTTCATTATATTATCTTTAAAATGAAATTTGTCCGAAGTCAATATCTTCAGTGGTTTTCGAGATATCGAAAACGAAAAAAAACCTGACACACGTACGTACAATTGTACGTACGTACATAAATTTATTTTTAAACCTTCTAATATGCTTTCAAATGTCTTAAAACGTAAAAATATGATAAAATTACGAATTTAAAAAATCGACCCCATTACAATAACTTCCTAATGAGAAGTTAAAAAACTCAAAGCAATAATTGTAATTACCAACATTTAAACAAAATATTAAACTACAATATCCTTTAATAATGATACTAATAAAAATTTTTTTACTTCCCTAGAGTAAAAAACTTGAAGCTTCCCCAGCTTTATCTAGATATTCCTTTCGATTCAATTTTCTCATTAGCCCCTGGAATGACCTATATTTTTTTGCACATATGCCAAGGTAGTAAAATTCGGAAATGTTCCATCGTAGAGAAGCCACAACTACCAATGGTTGATCTTAAAAAATTTATTTTAGAGGCAAAATAAAAAATTTGTTTCAGGTCGAAAGATATGTTGCAACAACTGGTGACATAAAGTTCCTGGAAGAAAACATACTAACTTTGGAGAAAGAGTTTGCCTACTTTCAACGTGAAAAAAGTGTAAATGTTGTAAAAAATGGTGTAACATACAAGATGGCACGGTATATTGTCAACAGCGATGGACCACGCCCGGAAAGTTATCGGTGAGTTTAACTAAACCAACATTTAATATATAACTCGTGATAATTTTATGCATTGTTGGTGAATTGAATACAATATTAGTTGTCTTGTCTATTATAACTTTCATTTGGTTATCTGTATATTAGAGAATGTTGGATTGTATAATAATTTCAGAGAGTGACAGTGAAAAATCAACTCAATTTCCCGTTAGGTTTCATGCTTAACTGATACTTGGTAGCATTGTAATTGCTTGGTAAACCACAACCCAGTAAAACAGGGACACAAATATTTTGAGTTAGTAATTTTCGATAATTCATTTTCTATATGTTTATTCGACTCGATGAAGTTTTATGGAAATTAAACTATTTAATTATTTCAACTACTCTGATTGCTTTGAATATTTGCAAAATAAATATGTAATTATTATTAATTAAATTTGATTTGGAATAATTCTTTTAACTATTTACAATAAATTCTTTCTAAGAAAAGACTTTTATTACTTAAAGATATCATCTTTTTTTTTATTTCATAATAAAATATTGAAAAAGAGCAAGAATAGAGAAAAATGTTGCAAGAAGTAAAATATCGATTTTTGAATTAAAAAATACATATTTTTCTTTTGGAAGTTTATTTTTTTTTTTTAATGTATAAATCAAGATGTTTTTTCCATTGATGTTTATACAATGTCGATAAATAGATGAAAAATACTCCCGGAAGTAGTGTATTTCAGAGCAGAATAGAAATAGAGATATAAATATTTCAAAGCTGATAGATTTCTAAAAAAAAACATCATTAAACTTTTAAATATTTAGCAAGCAATAATTTATTATAAATCTTTGCATTTTATTTTAATCCTTTTCGTATGAAAGAATCATCACACTAAATCAGAGATTATAAGAAAAATTAAAGCAAAAACTATAGCTGTAAAATAAAAATTAAGCCGAAAGATTAGCATATTTTAACACAATCATATTCTCTCACATTGTCACATTTTTACAAAAAAAAAGTAATCTTCTTAGTTTTATTAATTAAAATAAAGCGATTAAAGCATACATTTTCCACGACTACAAAAATATGGGTCATTAGTAGAATTACATGTGATCTATTTTATTTCATTTTAAAAATCCATTAAATTTATAGAATTAAGTGAATGTGATACCATGGCTGGCTTAAAATTGGATAAACTACTTGATAACGATTTTATATTTATTATACATCTATTTCTCTGTAAAATATTCTTTTTTTTTCATTTATTTGAATTCTCTTTAGATATTTTATTCATTCTTTTTACATTCTGTAGCTCGATAAAGACTATTATTTCAAGTTTATTATTAAAAATTGAGTGGAAACATCACATAGAAGGAAGTAATTTTCACATTACGATTAACTCAGTGATAAATTATTTTGTTTATTAAACTCATTCAAGCTTCAAAGCACATAATTTCAAAAATGATTTTGAAGTCAAGTTCACTTAGAAAATTATGTAAATAAAGAAATTTAAATAAAAAAATTTATGGTAAAATCTTCTCATCGTAGAGATATTAACTTTCTTTCCTTTTCTATAGGGAAGACTACAAAGAGGCTCAAGCCTTCGAGACTGATGAAAGAAAACGTATTTTTTACGAAGACATAAAAGCTGGTGCTGAAAGTGGTTGGGATTTTTCGTCACGTTGGTTCATCCCTGACAAGCCTGTCATGGGGAATCTCTCTGACATTTCAACAAGAAATATTATTCCTGTCGATCTTAATGCTTTCCTTCAGCGTAATGCTCGTCTTCTGAGTCAGTTTAATACACTCCTAGGAAACGGAGCGGTAAGTAATTGCTTAGTAACAAACAACTAAAAATAGCATGGAAAAAAAAACCTTTCTTTAATTTATTTCTTAAACTTTTTTTTTTATTATTACACTTTAATAAATCGTTCCTTGAAAAAAAAAATTTTTTTCGTAATTAGAAGTTGAAAAGAAATTCATTTCAAAGCCAATTCTAGATATAAAATGTCCCAAAACAATAACTGACTACCTTTGGGCTTCTATCAATTAATTTCAATTTAATTAAAAGCGTATATCTTCTTATAAGGCTTTGTGTCAGTTTATTGAACCTTATTTCCTAATTTATGACAGGAAATTTTTTTATTGAGTCTTCAACTCATCTTAAATTAAACAAAATTTTTTTCAACTTATTTTTCAACATTAAAAAAAAAGATCCATTTTAATTCGATGGCTTTTACTTGAATTAAATTATTAGTTCATTATTCAATAAATTGGAGATTTAAAAAAAAAAAACGTGTATGTTATGAATAATATTTCTTTGTCTATTATCTTGAAAGATTGTTGAGCTTTCTTCTGTAAATTTCAATTCAATTAATTTTTTAAAAGATAAATCGTGTGAATATTATTCGTCTAGACGTTCTTTTTTGATTACACTGTAATATTTGAAAAAAAAAGACCGATGAGATGATTGTGTTCAGTGTGAAAATAATTTTTCATTATCTAGAAAGCAAAGAAGTACAAGGACATTGCGAATGACTATCAGACTGCTATTGATGCGGTTCTTTGGAGCGACGAACTGGGCATTTGGCTCGATTATGATATCAAAAATGAACGACCAAGGAAATTTTTTTATCCTTCCAATCTCACGCCACTCTATACTAAAAGCTTTAATATGAAGAACGCATCATTCTACGGTCAAAAAGCTGTTGATTATCTTACTGCCGAAGGCATCAATACATTTATGGGTAAATAAAATTTTTATCTTCACGGTACTGTTTCGTAAAAATGCTTAACTTGCTCCTTGGGATATCTTACTTTTAGAGGTCTTATCAAACGATTTTGGAACAATAAAAAACAAAAAACAAATACTGAGAGTAATGCAATTGAAAATAGCTACTTTTTGTTATAAATTATTGTTGTAACGTATTGCCTCAAACAAAAATGAACAGGAAGCTTGAATTTTTATTTTAAAAAAAAATCATAGATATACCAGCTCGAAAGGGCTGTTGAATATAAAAAAAATGTCTAGAAATATATAAGCTCTTTAATAGATATTTCCATTAATTTTTAATCTTACAAATTGGAGCATTCAAGGAAAAGATTATTTTCAGAAAAATACTCAAAATCATTTATTTTTTTCCTGCAGAAAAATGTAAATAAAAATATTTCACTAAATTTCAACGATTTATTATTAAATATAAATATTTCAACATTTTTATAAATATTACTATTTTTTGTCACAAAAAATGTGAATATTGAAAATATTTCTCTTTCCAATATGTGAATTGTTTTCTCTAATTGGAAATTCTATAGCAACATGACATTCAAATTAAAAAATTATTGTTTTTTCATCTATCAATAAGTTAAAAAATAAAATCAAATTCACTGATAAAACGATAAATATTTGTTGAAATAAAAATTCCCCCATTCACGAAAAATAATAAAACACTTTACTAAAATTTCTTGAATTTAATATTTTACTCAAATGCTATGCTTTTAAAATGATATTCGTGTGGGTTGACAATGCTCAGTTTAATAGTGTCCAATTAGGAAGGATAAAAAAAAATGATATATGAATTTAAAAAATTGTTTTACCTCACTTTGCTGCGTGTGAAAATCTAATCCATCTTCCTCCCTCTTTTTCTGGGGATGTATAGGTGGAACCCCAATGTCTTTGAGTCAAACTGGAGAACAGTGGGACTTTCCTAATGCATGGCCACCTCTACAATCAATCATGGTCCAAGGACTCCGGAACACGGGTGCCCAATCAGCCCTTGTAATGGCTGAAGAACTCGCAACTCGATGGCTAAGAGCGAATTATTTGGGCTTCGCTGAGTATGGCATGATGTTTGAAAAGGTAAGTCTGAAATGAAATAATTATTTTTTAAGTATATACCATGAAAAATCTCATTTCCCCAATTTGATGATGAGATAACAACATTTTCTGATTCAAATTCATAGTAGTTAGATAGCAATCTTGATGATAGCTATCGTATTGTATTAATATTATTTGTATAGAAAAGAGTATTTTAATTGGAATAGAAAACGCTCTTATAATCATAGCTACACAAATAGGAGAAAATGTAGACTAAATTTATTAACCTACTTATGAAATTATCTTAGAATTAAAGGAAATAATTTAAATTTACTCGACATGAGTAGAATAGTAGGAAGTCATTATATTTTTCGTTAAATAATTTTCTCAAAATCCTCTGCTATTTTCACAGCAAGTGATAAATTATTAAATGCAGAAATAATTTATATAATTGTAGAAATGTCGTTTATAAAAAATTCTAGTTTTTTTTTCTTTCCATTTTCTTGCTTGATATTATTATTATTTTTTGTTCCTTTTTCTCTTTCTTGCATCTGAAATGAATTGACACACCAAAAGTATTTTTGAAATTATCTCCAAGCTTGTTATTATTTATGATGTTGCATCCATCGATACATTAACAGTAATATTTCCTAGATTTGAATAGAAATGCTTCATCATTTCGCAGTGTTTTCGTTAAAATGTGCACTAAAGTTTGACCACCAACTACTTTTATATGTTTCACTATTCTCTGAGGACAATGAAATATTCTTCAAACCATTCACGTTCTAAATTTCTGTAGTGGAGCTTTTTACAGTGTACATGTAGAAAATAGAAGACTGCCGAGTATTAAAAAAAATCCATTTTTTCATTATTCTTATTCTTCTCACTGAAATTATTTAAAAGCTTTCATGAATTAAATAAATTAAAAACGCGAAACATATTATTTTAACAATAAAATGTATTTCTATTAAAATACAAGATAAAAATTCGATGTTTATCTCGGCATCAAACACATAAATTTTTGCATCTAATATAATTGAAATTTACGCTTCAACAACATTAATACACATCACAATTGAGTTGGATATTTTTTTTTCACTTTCTCTTCCAACATTAAATAGTTGAGATTTTATTTATAAAATTAAAAAAAGCTAAGATATTAAAAAATATATGTAATCATCTAGAACAAAACTTGAAAGATAAAAAAAGTTAGATGAATTTTTTGTCTATCCTGAAAGCACGACAATAGCTGAGTAGTTATTTTGCAACAGTCCATTTTTTTCCAGAGATATTTCGGAAACATTTCCACTCCTGATGAACGTTTTTAATTATTTCCATTCAAATAAATGATGTAATAAAGCTGAAAAATGTGCTGCTTTTGTCATAATTATTTTTCATAAATCTTGTTATTGATACTTCAGCATCTTTCATTCAGAATAAATTTATTCTGACCTTCTGACCTAATAGTAAATAAAGCTTATGTACAGTAAAGAACAGTTAAAAAATGCCTCGTTGAATAATTATGCAAAGTTATACCAACTATCGTGCAATGTTCTGAAGATGATGCGTACAATGCTGAGAATTAGAGAAGCTAAAAGAGCGTAACAGATAAAGCTCATTCATTGTTTGTATTTGGTCCTATACATAGATCTTAAGAGTTGTAGAATAAAGCTTTGTGAAGTATACAAATCTGTAGTATCAGCTGCATACTAGTAGCTGATAGATCCATCAGCACTCAAGCGAGCAATATCGCGACCTCGTTTTTCACACTTCTATGACATTTTTATTTAGAAAAAAACATTCTAAAGGTACATGAGAAATTAAGGATCATAAATAAAAAACATGAGGAATTTTAAGATAAATAGTAATAGTAAATAATAAATATAAGTAAAAAATGTATTAAATCATAAGTACTACCCAGATGATGAGATAACATTTGAAAGTATGTTCATATGTTATTTCTGAAAATGGAATGCTGGAGGCTGACATCTGCTCCATATATTCTTCAAGTGAATCGATATAACTGACCTTTAGGCCTTAAATGTTACTCAAACGCGATAATTTTATTTATGTTTTATTTATGTGGATAAAAAAATCGAATAATGATCGAATTTTTTGTTATTTATTGCCTAAAATAATTGTCTTGAATCTTTTATAGCTACAAAAAGGATGATACCTATGCCAATAGATTTATATCTCGCCAATAAATAATAAAAAAAGATTGCTGAGCTGTTTTTCTGGATTATCAAAAAAAGTCACCTTTGTATTCTGAATTAGTACCTCTTTGTACAGAAAATACATGATACTTCTATTTATTCTTGTAATATTTATAATGGTGAACTCTGGTATTTTATAGAAAAAAAAAGACATCAGTCATGTTGAAATATAGTTCTGAAGTTAAATGTGATGTTGCTGTAATACCATTAAAGATAATTTCATATTATCTATCAAGAGTTTGATACAAAATGAAATTATTTTTAAGTTTAATTGTTTTATAAATATTTGATTATCAAAAGACCACGGGTTATAGATATCTAGTCTAGAATGAAATTCATAACTTAGATGAAATGTTAATTGGTAGCATTGAAGGTAAAACTAAAAGCATCCTAATACTTTTAATAATTTACAGTAATGTACACAATGAAAGACAAAATAGAGTAGCTAGTTTCTGTGTACTATTTGTTCAGTTTTACTCACGTGCTCAGCAAACATTTAACATCTACCATCTGATCTTGATCTAAAGTTTCGTAAAAGCTTCCTCTACTTTATGGTTAAACCATTAGAGAGTTTCTGTCAGTTTTGAATATTACATAAAGTTTACAAAATCGACGAAATACGGATACTAATGCTAAACTAATCAGTAAATTCCACGTACCTAAATAAGTAGTTGAGCATCAAGTTTTCATACTCCAACACAACTTTCTCACACAGAAAATACTCTTGTTCTTTTGATTGAAATTTGAAGTTTATATATCAATGTTATTGATCAAACTAAATTTAATTCAAATTCATGCTCTTTTTCTTATCTATACAAACCATTGCGCATTTATATTAAACTAAAATTAAGTTAGTTTACAACACAAGATAAATTTCATTTATTTATTTTACTTCATTTCATGAAATAGTTTGCTCTTTATTAATTATTTTCCAAACTTTAATGGCCCGCAAAAAATAGAGCAAAAACGAATTGACAGAGTTTTAATGAGAACTATCGCGTTTAAAAATAGCATTAAATAATTAGGAGGAGGTTCATTAAAATAATCTTTCTTTTATCACTCTCTGATTGTGTCCATTCGTTTGTCGTAATTATAAAAAATTCAAAATTTTCATTCTCTACAAAAATATAATTGTACGTTTATTTTCTCTTTGTAGTACAATTCTCTACAACCAGGAGAATATGGAGGTGGAGGTGAATATAATGTACAAGCTGGATTCGGATGGACAAATGGTGTTGTACTTGAATTTTTAAATTTATATCCTGGTACAAAATCCAGTGATAGCAGTGATAGCATTAGCAGAGTTTCACCAGAATCCTGAATAAAATAGTAAGTTTATTTCTCGTTTTAATTGTTTTCTATATTTTCCCATTTCTACATACAACAAATACACATTTTTATTTTACATTTAAAAATTCAATTCCACCTTTCCTTTCAATATAATCCTTTTTACTTTATCTTTTTACTCCTGTTATCGAGTTATCCTCTTATCAAGTTGAAAAAAAGATAACGCCTGAATTTTTAAAAACTTAATCCTGTCATAATTCTTAGATTGGAGTTATTTATTGACAATATCTAGAATAACAATTATAAAATCCGATAAAAAATTGATGCAGATTTTCCTTAATCTTGTATTAATCGATATTGCTCAGACTACACATAAAAACCAGAGACAAGTGTAAAGTTAAAGTATCATAAACATTAATTTTATTACCTTTATATTTGTCGTGTAAATTTTTAAGACTTATGACTTTGGTAGATTTAATCATTTTTTTAGTATCTCCTACATAATTATTTTTTGATATTGCAAAAAAATGTTTTATACTATTATATCACACTGCAAATCGTAGTGTTTTAATTTAAAACACTTAAAGTGTTGTAAAATACGTTACCCATTTGATTAATATTGTAGTCACTTTTTAGATGCTTGGAAGTGTCTAAAAAGTGACTACAATGTTAATTAAATGGGTAACGTCATTTTACAACACTTTAAGTGTTTTAAATTAAAACACTTTGAAAATTTGAGATTTGCAGTGCATAAGCAGTAGCTAAAGCACATAAAAAACACTGATAAAAATTTTCTTATGTTTTTGATAATTAAAACTATCATTAAGATAAAAATTACATCTCCACTCGCACGCGCATCGTATTTTAAATGTCTAAAAAACAATTATGCAAATTCAAACTAATGTAAATTTTCATTATTTTCTGCATTTCATAAATGCCTTCCTCGTCTCTATAGAATAAGCAAAAGTAAAATCTAAGTAAAGTTACAAATATGTATATTTTATTTTTGCGTTTTACTTTCAGGTACTTTCAGGTGAATTCTTCGGAAATGCCAGCAAAAAAATTCATTTCCGATAGCTGAATGACTAAGAATTAGAGTCACTTATGACTCTGAAGCTTTAAATTTTATAATTTTATTTAAAGAGTAAATACTAAATTAAGATATATATTTCCAAAGAAAATTTTTTATAACTATTTAGGAATAATTTTAAAATTTATAATAAAATTTAAGAGAAAACTGATGTTCATAATGAAAGCAGTATTTTGTGGTGTATAAATCTTTTTATAAAAATTTATCAACTAACTATGGATGTAAATATGTATTATGAAAAAGTAAAAAGATGCATTTTATTTTTAAAAGAAGAAAAAGAGATAATGAAATGAATATTTTATTCTACGGCTGTGCTCACATAAAAAATTTAAATTAGTTCAAAAAATTGTAAAAGAACTTATGTATGATTGTATTATTATATAATAAATAAAGATATTTAACAAAATAAATAAAATGTAATTTTCAATATCTACCAATCTATTATGTTTGTTAGCTATGAGTAATATTGTGGCAAAAAGCTGATGAAAACTATTATAAACTTTAACCGTAATTAAGAATGCTAATTAGCTTACTGTGTGTATTCTACCACTTTTGGACAACCATAATGTAAAGATCAAATAAATTAGGAAGGAAGAAACTATTTGAATAAATTACATTTAATGCACTGTTTGTTTCAACTTATTTAGTATTTTTGATAACAATAAAATTTTTTTTTTTTTGCTATATATCTACGCTTTATGAGAAACACATGCGTTCGATTACAAATGTAACGAAATCTAAACTTGTTCAATTTACGGTCATTCGTTTGTACATTAACTTGGGATGGAATGCTTTACGTTTTCATCGCTTTAATTTCATTCGGAGCACACATCGTATACTCTGACCACAAAGTTCAGTTTAGTTAAACTAGTGTACGATAGCCTTTCAGGATTTATTTAAATTTTATGCAATCCTTTTGCCAATCGTGATCATTCTATTATTCTCAACTGTTTTAAGCTTTTTTAGTCAATAAAATATCGAAATTTTATCAAGATAAAAATGTTAGCTAAAATAAAAATTCTTATTCTACCTTTTTTCACCACCATTAATGTAACCTAATTTTGCAAAATCCTTCAAAACGACGTTGAAAGTCACCACGATTTCACCCTGAACTTTCATTCGCGTTACTGCAAAATAAAATAAAAAATATGAGATAGAGATAAATATTAAAATTATACTGTAAGTTGTGTTGGTAAGAATAATTGCTATTGTCAAATTGAATTCTACTAGTTAATTTTATTACATTCTCTTCCGTTTCCAGATGCCAGAATTGACGGTTCAATTAGTTCCGGTCGTTTGCCAGTAATCCATGCTGCAAATTGTTGCAGTATCGATGATGACTCTGGTACATATATAGGAATCCTATGAAAATAAATAATAATAATTCTTATTTTCATTAGCTTAGAAATAACAGCTATCAATTTTATGCTTTAAAAATATCAATAAAAGAGTAGAAAATATTCAGTATTAGTTTTTGTTGTTAACAAAAAAGCCAAAGCTTTGAGTAAAAATTTAATCTCAGACTGTATTTATTTTCAAATAAAAATGTTCGGTTATATTTTATTAATGAAAAAAATAATTAATGATCCAGTTTCAGCATCGATTTTTCTACCTTTTTTCATGCCGGCCTGATGTGAAAGGTATATGACAAACTCCGTATCCTCTAATAACATCATGACCAAAGAAATCCAATCCGTAAACCGACAATACTAGTTGAGGCCCTGGAAAATTTTCAAACCCATCATCTCCAAATATAACAAACTAAAAAGTAACTATTTGACATTTGAACCAAGCTTCATTACATTCAACTTGACATAATATGGTTTAATTTAACTTACATCCATGTGGTAATGTAGCTCGAAAAGTGATATCTAAAGGAAAATTCCAGCTGGCCAGGCGTCTAACATCATTGCTACATTTGCTCATTTGTGTTAAACCTTCTTCGATACCCTATGAAGTATGATTACAAATGAGTAGATGAAAACATAGGAGTTATTGAAATAAAGAAAAAAGTTAATTAAATAAACATAGACTACTCGAAATTGCTTTTGGTTTTCTTACTGCAATAACATTCCATTCTGATCCAAAGTGATAGCCGTATTTACAATATGCATTATCAATTTCGTAGAACTCGCCATATTCTATGGATCCAGTAATGCAAACAAAAAATACACCTTCACTCATTGTTTTAATTAAGCTAAAATAAAAAAAAAATAATAATCAACTCGACGACGATAAGTAATTAATTTTTTAAATTAACAATATCAATAATAATTACCAATCAAACAGTAAATGTAATTAATAATAGCAATCTTCATTTTACTGCTGGATGAACTTGATGAGTACAAAACAAATTTATTTATTACTTTAATAAGTAAAAATTTTAATTACTAGAATTATTAACTAATTATGAATATTAATTATTGAAGATAAACTATACTGCCTATCCTAAAGAGGTATTAAAGTTTTAGTGGCACTTGAAAAGAAAGTAAAAATGGTTTGCGACTGTTTGCTGTGAAATTATGTTGCCATAGAAACCATTCATGTGTTCATAGCTCAAAGTGTCTAGAGCAAACAGGTGTGAAGCGGACATAGAGCAATGGAGATAGTTAAAATAACTGACGTAATGATCGCAGTTCTCAGGACTTGGATAAACTGAAAAATAAATTGGTTTTTTAAATAATAAACTTCTTTTTATCACATACAGTCAATCATTACGATTGCTTTGCTTTTTTACGTTTCTGAAGAAAATTTATTAAAAAACTCATTATGACATTTTTTAAAAGAATTTTAATATTTATGACATTTTGAAAGAAATAATAACTTTTCTCTCATTTATATTGAGACTAAAAACAGTAGAGAAGTTTGAAAATGTCACCAAATACCATACTAGAATATTCAAGAATACTTTGAACAATTTGTAACTCTAACTGCGTGTAATTGGTTGTGGTAACCGACCAAATAGTTCTATCGAAGGCAGCTTTGTAAAACTCCATGCATTAGTAATAAGAAATCAGGTATGTAAGGATTCCCGAATCCATAAATATTAGTTTCCTTAGATCCATAAATCAACAAAAACATAATGAGAAAATTAAATTGGGTTACTAACAAAAAGTCATTAATATTACATCACCAGTAATGAATAAGAAACCAACTTTGTAGTTTTTTCAAATATATTTGTCAGACATCATTTTTATTGGGAATCGTACAAGAGCTCGTATTGAATTTAAGCTCAAATTGTCTCCTCAATATGATGAGAATAATGTACAAGTTGATTAGATAATTTCATCTACAAATAACAATGATTGAATTTAAAAATACGAATTTCTTTTACACTCTACATTCTATATACACAATCACTGCGTACGATTTATGAGTATACAATTTAATTCAAAACAAAAATTATTTATTATTGGTAACGGGGCTGGATGTTGATGAAATACCCAATAATAAAAAATTTTATTTCAATATTAAATTGCTCTTGAAATGGTCATAAAAATTCAGACACACCTTACAAAAAAATAAAATAAGAAGAGTTGACATAATATAATGAATTAATTCTGAAATTACATAAATAGATGATTAAATAATAATTCACGAGGTAATTAGTAACGGTTTAAATAGATTTTGTTTAATCGAAACGATACATCACAATTTTATCAGTTCTCTCGATTAATTATTTTTTTTTTCTCTTTCTTAACCGTAATAACGGTAAAAATTTTTATTAATTTTTAATTAATTCAAGATAATTTGAATATCACTTTTATCAGCATAATCATTGTCGTACGATTCATGAAAATATTAGTACAAGATTCTGATTTGTTCTCATAATTTTCAATGACTACACGTTCTAGCGTCGTGCCAAAATCAATATCTTCGACTATTGTGACTTGACTGTTTTCGAAACAGTTGATATAAAGAGTTCTTCAGCTAAAAAAGCCTACCTAGAATAGATTGCATACTGACATTCACAAGTTATGTCACAGCATTCTTTTACATGGGCAATAAAAATAAGAATAATTATTAGATAATTAAATTAATATTTTTACTGTCCTGATGCAATTTCCTTCATACGATTGAGAGCAGAGCCAGCTTTGAACCAACCAATTTGTTGCTCATTCATTGTGTGGTTTAGCATAATTGCATCTACTTTACCGTCTTTATGTTTAATTTCTGCTTTGACAGGCTGTAATTAATACAAACGTGTTATTATCATTCAAATGCGCGAGTTTTTTTTTTTATCAATACTCATTGAAAAGTTTTTAAAACCTATTTACATGGTATTTAAAGATAATTTTATTAGCTACCTTATGATTGAAAAATTTTAAGCATTACTGCAATATTTTTTTTATTTTCTTATACTAATTAATTTATTGCATAACGAAAAAAAATTTTATGCTAACACGAAGTAGATTTTAGACTGTTCAATGAGCAAGTTTATTTATAAATAAATTAATATTCAATGTACAAAAACTTACTTTTCCAGGTGCAAGATCTTTTAATCCAAGTAAACTGATTTTATCAGTAGGTTGAATTTTATCATAGTCACTTGGATTAGCGAAGGTCAATGGTAGAAGACCTTGTTTCTTGAGATTAGTTTCATGGATACGTGCAAAACTCTTAACGATAATGGCACGACCTCCAAGATGACGTGGTTCCAAAGCTGCATGCTCGCGAGATGATCCTTCTCCGTAGTTTTCATCTCCAACTGCTACCCACCTTACTCCATTCTTTTTGTAATGACGAGCTACATCAGGGACAGCTCCCCATTCACCAGTTAATTGGTTCTTAATTTTGTTTACTTCACCATTTTCGGAATTAACAGCTCTAAAAGTAGCATTAAAAATTATAACAAAAATTTGCAATGTTGTATTCAATACTAGTTGTCGTTGAAGAATCATTTAAATTACCCAATGAACATGTTGTTTGAAATATTGTCAAGATGACCACGGTATTTTAGCCAAGGTCCAGCAGCAGAGATATGATCAGTCGTACATTTGCCTTTGACTTTGATAAGAACTGTCAAATCGGTGAGATCTTTACCGTCCCATTTGTCAAATGGTTCCAACAGTTGTAATCTTTGTGATTTTGGATCTACATCAACTTTAACTTTGCTGCCATCAGCAGGAGGAGCATTGTAAGTCTCCATGCCGGGATCAAATCCACGAGATGGAAGTTCGTCACCTGACAAGATAAATTATTTTAATCAATTTATCTAGAAGAAATCTATTATCAAGTAAATAACTTACCATATGGATTATCCAAAAGGAATTCTTTTCCATCCGCACCCTTGAGCTTATCAGTAACTGGATTGAAATCGAGCCGTCCAGCAATGGAAAGAGCAGTAACGAGCTCAGGGCTGGTCACAAATGCGTGAGTAGCTGGATTAGCATCATTTCTACCCGTGAAATTACGGTTGTAAGATGTCACAATAGTATTTTTATCTCCTTTCTTAATGTCTTGACGATCCCATTGACCAATACAAGGCCCACAGGCATTAGCGAGTACAGTTCCACCAAACTCGCGGAGTGTTTGAGCCTGTAATTAAAATTAATCTTGATAAATTTCATCTATTTCTTAAAGACTCATAAAACCACCATAAAACTGATAAAATTTATGGATGAATGTTGTAAATAAGTAATTAAATAGGAAACTTACAATACCGTCGCGCTCAATAGTGGCACGAATTTGTTCGGATCCAGGTGTGACATTAAAAGCAGACTTGGATTTAAGGCCGTGTTTGATAGCTTGTTTAGCAATATTAGCACATCTTCCCATGTCTTCGTACGAGCTGTTTGTGCAAGAACCAATCAATCCTACTTTAATATCATTTGGCCAGCCATTTTTCTTCGCAGTTTCCCCTAGAAATTAATTTTAGTATCAATATTATGTTAACAAGATTATCAAAACTTCGCTTTAATAATATTAGATCGATAGATTAAATAAATTTACCAAGCTTGGAAATGGGATGCGCAAGATCTGGAGTAAACGGTCCGTTGACGTGAGGTTCAAGAGTAGACAAATCCAGTTCAATAAGTTGGTCGTATTTAGCATTGGCATCGGCAGTTAATAAGCTAGACCTGAACATATCAGCAGCAGCTGCAATATCAGCACGACTTGTCGCTTTAAGATAATCTTGCATGCGGAAATTATATGGGAAAATAGATGTAGTAGCTCCAATTTCAGCACCCATATTACAGATAGTAGCCATTCCGGTGCAGCTAATGCTATCTACACCAGGTCCAAAATATTCCACAATAGCACCAGTTCCTCCTTTTACTGTAAGAATTCCAGCTACCTTCAAGATCACATCTTTCGGACTTGTCCAGCCTTTTAATTCTCCTGTAAGCTTAACTCCAATCACCTTGGGACATTTCAGCTCCCAAGGAATGTTAGCCATCACATCCACAGCATCAGCACCACCAACACCAATACATAAGCCACCCAAACCTCCACCGTTTGGTGTATGTGAATCAGTACCAATCATTAATAATCCCGGAAAAGCATAATTTTCCAAGATGATTTGATGGATAATTCCAGAACCGGGATTCCAAAAACCTACTCCGTATTTAGCTCCAGCTGATTGAAGAAAGTTGTATACTTCTTTATTGATGTCTTTGGCACGGCTTAAATCCTTCTCTCCTCCAACTTGAGCTTCAATCAAGTGATCGCAGTGAATTGTTGATGGTACGGCAACCTTTGGCAGTCCTAAAATACAAAGTTAATTTAATTTATAATCTAAATTTAGTTTCATACATTGTTGATTAATTATTTAATTATTGTAAAGACTTATTAATAAACAATTTCTATTACCTGAGCTGATGAACTGTAACATAGCCATTTGTGCCGTAGCATCTTGCATTGCAACACGATCAGGGCGAAGTCTGAGATAACTTGTTCCTCGAACAATTTCTTGCTTATCAGGCTCATCGAGATGGGAATATAATACTTTTTCAGAAAGAGTTAATGGACGACCTAACCTGTTACAATAAATTGATAATGTAATAAATTCAAAAGTGTTTGATAATCTTATGCCCTTGTAGCCATTAGAAAACAGACTATCGTCAGACTTACGTATGTTGCTGTTTTTTCGTTTTCTAACGTTAGTTCAACGTAAAATCAACGTCAGACGTCAGATCTTGGCTACTAGGCTGATTACTATCATTTAAATGTTTTATAATTTACCTTTTCTTTACAACTTTTAAGTTTTCACTGAGTTTATCATATGGAAGGTAGGTGGATTGATCAAATTTTGACATCGCTACTTTCGCAGCAGCGAAGCTCAACGGGCTCATGCTGAAACATCTTTGCTGAATGTCTGCTGTTAATCCACATAGTTTCTGCAAAATGCAAACACCTTAATAAAACCTTTCGATTATAAAATAAAAATATTTATAAGTCTTGAACAACATAATCCAGCCATAAAGTATACAACTATTTGATATTATCAGTGACTAAGAATAAGGTTTATTATTACAAGATGTTATCAATATATGTTATCATTTATGAACAGATTATTCAGGTATTCAACTAGAGACTGATGATATTAAAATCAAAACCAATGCGTACATAAAAAATTAAAAAAAATTTCCTCCAACAAAAATAAAAGTACCGTATAATTACCATTAATTAAATATTCTTTATACATTCTTCAATTTTTTTAAGTTCAAATCACTCATTCATACATTCAAAGTTTTTTGTTGATATAAACTGAAGTAAGAACATCTTGCCGGAATGAGGAACGAAGTATTACAAAAATTAAAAAGGAATTAATTGAAAGAATAATTTTTGGAGCAGGTATTATGAGTACACTACTAAAGACAAAATAAAATGACAAAAAAAATTATCTGTCAAGATTGCAAAATCAAACAGTAAACTCAGAACCTGCGCATTCGACCATCTGGTTATAACCTCTCATTCTCAAGATATATTATATATGATATATATGTGCATCACAAGATTATGTAAGCTTTTAAAAATATTTTTCTGTTACGCGATTGACATTTTTCATTGCAATAATTGTATTAATAAAAATCTACGTATATATATATATCTATTTCTTTAAATCATTACTCCAATTTATTTTGTGATTATTCTGACATTTCTCACATGACATTTGATTCCGACATCTATTTAAAACATCCCTAATAGACCATCGCATAGATATTAAAATAAAATTCATATTGATCTCTTGTTTATTGATTAAATAAACCAAAATTTAGAAAAAAGATGGATATAATTTTTATGTCAATTTTATGTAATGTATTATTGACCTAATTTTGTAAATAGGGCAATTGAATACATGCATTGATGGAGGCTGATATATTTCATATCATAAACAGTATAAAAGACTATGTATTTCCGAGGATTGAAGGAGATGGTGGTAAAAATAACAGGGATAAAAAATGACTGCTGGACACTGGAGGGAGATGGAGCACGTGATAAAATACATTGTATAACAAACTAATTACTTACCTGTGCTCGAAAAATCCTCGTGCAGTAAGACATTGTGGAGAATTGAGGTCTTTACAGACGATCAAATAAAAATTAACGGGCAAAGCGCACGCGCTTATATTCTATAAAACTTTAACTTTAATGTGGCAGTCCTTCTCAAACTGGCCACACAAGAACTGAATTGAATTTGACCTACCAGCTTTGTAACACTGCAAGTGTTATGTATTCACGCATGCGTAGTATATAAAATATGACATTGGAAGTAAAGATTAGTGGTAAAGTTGCGATCAATTTTAGCGATCATTAATAATCTGTCATAAAATCAATAAGAAAACTTTACTTTTTTCTTACTTCAACAGTGAATTTAATTATAAGTAAAATAATTTATTCATTAATAATAAATTTAGCAAAAAAGAGAATTTAAATCCTTTAGAGTTCAAAAGCGCGCACTTTCAGAAATTAGCTGTTAGCGCAATCTTCAATAATACAAAGAGAATTAAACACTGAGGATAATTTGAAAAATACTCATTCCTGCGGTTGGTAATTGCTCATAAGATACATACCAGGTATTAAGGCTTTACTTGAAATTTTTGCCCTATTAGCTATAGCAGACAGCACCTGAAAAATGATAGAACGAAATCCATCCCAATTACTGCGTTATATTGTGTAAAATAATTTTATTTATAATATAATAGTCCAGTCAAATGAGGGAAATGGGATAATTTTGGTTTGCTGCGGCCAAATTAATGATTTATAGATGACTGGATCGGAAATTTCGCGAGAAACACAATGGTGTAGGCTAAAATTGTTTGGCACGCATAGGGGGGGAGTAAATCGCGAAAAACCGCCCCCCCCTCGCGAATTTCTCGATTTCTATGATAGATATGAAAAAATGTTTTAAATAAAAGTTGTTCAGAATTTAATTTTAATAAAAAACGTACTGAACACTTTTTTTCATATCTATGATAGATAAAAAGTTATTCGCGACTGAAGCTTCACTATTGAGAAAAGCTTCAGTCGCGTCTAAGAAAATTAATAAAAAATACTTAATGTTAGAAATATTAATTTTTGGCGATTGATTTAGAAAAAGGAGATATTGAATTTCATTTTTAGAGAAAAATTTTTTTTTTCATTAATTTTTTCATTATTTTTATAAACAATGAATTATTTAAATCATTCCCATTTTGGTTCAAATGCACCGATCAGCCCGATTTTGGGCTCAAAATGTGCAGAATTAAAAATGGAACATTTCATCCATGCAAAGTTTTTTATTATTTTGCACCTGTTAAAAGTTATACAGGTATAAATATTTGGTTATATATAAAAAGGGTCTCTATATTTATTGTTTATAACAATTTAAAACTTATTATTTAAATATTACTATGATTAATAATCACTTGTTAGTAACAATGTTCAATTTTTATGGACACAATTCCATATTATTGACAATTATTATTGACTATTATAGCGTCTTTAATGCTGTTTTCTCAATCCTGACACGAGTTTAAAATTCTTTCATTGCCGATTATGTTTTTTAAAATTTTTTTTTTTCGATAAAATATTGTCATCATATTTTCATACAAATATTCTAATCATTTAATATTCATATTTTTTGAAAGATTTTGAAATTTTGTCTAAAAAATGGTTTAATTTATAAATTGAGCCATTCAGGTCATTTTCCATTTTTGCTAGTTTTTTGGTTCTGAAAAAAAATGGCTGGACCGATTTTGTTGAAAACCGAATCAGTTCTAAGTTGCGCAACTACGTGTCGAATGCAGTTGGTTCCATGTCGATATTTTTTTTTGTTCTCGAGATAATCGAGGCGAAAAATAATTCCGAACGCACATACGTACATACACACACACACAGACGTCCACTGGAAAACGATCGTATTCGACTCTGGGGACCTTAAAACGTGGAGATATGTCAAAATTCGGGATTCGCAAAATCGGACCCATTACTATAACTTCCCACTGGGAAGTTAAAAATAATAATTAATTATTTTCTCTTGACGGCCATGAAGCATGAAAAATTTAGTAATAATTCGATGATAATCTTGTTTCTAATTAAATTTTATTAAAATATAAATTAATAAAATAAAATGCATACCAGCGGCATTCTACATGAAATAGGCCTTCTTTTGATACCTAAATTAGTGGATATAATTACAAATTGGCTGATAAATTAGTTATTTCCCGACTCCTTTGGATTTTCTACGGGGAACCGAAGTAAAGCTCAGCCTTAATGTTTCCGAGCGTAATCCAATGTAAAAAAATTTATACAGGGTGTAGACACCCTGTAGAGCAGAATAAACTCAAACACAATTTTTTCGACTAACTGTTGAATGCCAATCTCTCACACAGCGTTTGAATGCTAACAACCATACACACAAGTACAAGTAAAATGAGTTTTAAATGTTTAAATTTTTATTATAGGTACTTCTACAAGTAGTAAAATCAAAGGATCTTTTTCAACCAAATCTGATTCGAGAAATTTTAATCTCTTAAAGTCTTTTGAATGTTGAGAGAAAAGTCTTCTGATCCTTATTTTAACTTAGTTATCTTAAAAAATGTATAACTCGTATGTTTAAAAAATTTTTTTTTACTGACTTATAACATTTGGCAGCAAAAAACTCATTACCAACTGCAAATTTCATAACTTAAAAAAAAAAAGCTGTCAAAAAATAAATTACCTGCCATATCGTAATCCTTAACATCTTTATTGTATCCCTTTTTTCAAAATTCCTCCTTATCTCATTCATTTTAATTGCTGATTTTTTATCAGCCTTTGATAATTCCGAATGTACTTCTCTGCTTTTCTTTTGCTTCTCTAGTTGTTCAGAATCATAATCACTTAGCCATGGAGCACACTCACGTCCAGAATGTGTAACAGTTAGTGTTCCAGTATAATCATTAGCAGTTTCTGCCATTCGGCAATCAGCAGCATTTTCCAATTGTACAATCTTGTCTATAGAACTTGTCAGTTGCAGCTGGGAAGAAAAAATTTAGATACAAGGTCTTATACTGTCTGCGATGATATGTAAAGTAAAACTTCTATAAATTTGAAGTTATAGGAGCGAAAGTTATGAGTTAATTGAGTGAAATATAAATAGAAACGCTCGAACTTCTTTAATATTTAAAGTTATAGTCGAATATGTATACTTTTTCTAAAACTTATCATGAACCAAAGGATTGTAAGAGAAAAATACATTTCTTCTATACCCTTGGGTTAGTACATCAAGACTGTAGTGAGCAATGAGGTCAGCCTTGTAAGTTTGGGATTTCCAGGCTACCAAGGTAGAAGTTATATCGAAGATAATTTATGAAATAAAAAAATCATTTTATCCCAATAAAAAAATAAAAAAATTTGACAATAAGTATATATAAATACCAAATAAATATATCTTTGGAGGACAACGTAGCACCCTTTCATCCATTCTCTTTCTCTTGGCCCCTCCTTTGACCCAGTTTCATACCTTGCATATCCTGACGTTGTACTTTTATTTAATTCACCAGTTAGTGATTTGACATGCAGTAATCTTGTAGCTCAGTTATTCAGCCGTGCCAATGAATCAAACTGTAGCCATACCCTGGAGATATAACTGTGATTGACCATATATGAAAAAGAAATAAATCTCCACCCCCATACCACACATAATATTATTTTCATACCTTTTTTATCCCTCTACCTGTCACTCCCAATAATATTTTACGTTATTCATAACTTTCTTGATATGATTTTTTTAGTTATATTGGTTTCCGGTCATTTTTGCAGTTGGCTTAAGCATTTTTCAACAATTGTAGAAAAATCTCTGACTGATAGGATAATGAAATCTGTAAAGTAATTTTATTTGTAATAGAACTAATTCGAACAATAAATTAGGAAATAGCAAGCAATATATAACAATAAACGATTCTTAGATTTTTTAAAATATTGAAAGTTACAATAATTTCCAATTTAATTATTTCTCATTATATAAATCTTTTATAAATTTTAGAAACGTATTAAGGTTGTTCGATCATTAAGTGAATTTAAAGATTAATCTATAAAAATTACAAAAGTGATAGCTAATAATTCAAAGAATTCAAGTTCGCTTTATCAATAAATTTCATCGTTTAGTTTAGCAATAATCAAGAGATACGGTAGTGTCTCGTGCGCCAAGCATAAATCGCCGCCATCTAGCCCTTACGTCATGACGAGGCACTACCGTTGTTGTTGTTGTTGTGTGTGTTGTTGTTGTTGTCTCTATACAAATTATAAGATGATTTTTGCAGGTTATAATTTTTAAATTAAAATTTTTTTTCTTATTATAACATAAACATGGGCTGAAATTAAGAATTTGCTCGGAAAGCGATCGTTGACTTTCGATTAAGCATACTATGAAGTATTATCATTGCTTTGTTCATAATATACGAAATTGAAAAAATTTCTTTGCGCAAAAATTGAGTGAAATGAGAGTTTATTCATGGAGCAATCATACGTTTTTTTTTATCAAGTTGGTGATCAGAGTTTTTAATTGCTAAGAAGTTCTCTCACTAACAGATTATAAAGTTGGTAACAAATTAATTTTGCTCGAGCACGAATATACAAATAATTAAAATATTTTCTGAACAGATTAATTTTTTTTAAATATTCCTTTTCAGTTGATATGTACAAAAAATGGTGAAATCTCATCAAAAACGGCCCCCTTCTTCTGGGCTGTATAAAAATGTGCGCCAAACATAAATAACGACAATGATGAAATTACAAAAAGTCCTAAAATCATTAAACGCCAATTATTTAAATCTACGAATCAACACTATTTAAAATGAATTATTTTCTTCGGTTTTTTTTTTTGAAAAAAAATTTAGTACGTTTAATGACACAATAAACATAACAACCAAAAACTTGGCGTGACTTTTAAGGTTTTCTGAAATTTTTGAAATTTAATAGCTTTTTTTTGAAAATAAAGTGTATAAAATGGGAATTGAAAACAAACATTCAATCAGACCAAATATTTTTGAGCAAACTATATATACTTAATTATTTTTCAGTTTGTTGATTACTGTACCCTTTCTTTATTTCATAGAGCACAATTATGATTAGGACCTTCAGGTCACCTTTCCCGAAGTCTATTGCATTAAATCGCTGGTTTGGATTAATGACTGTGATGGCTACTGAACAGTGCGCGTGCCTAGATCTTGATCGAGATTATAAAGAACGTGACAAGAGCGTAGATTTGTTACAATCTCTAGTTTGATTTAATAACACAGATACCGCCTCATTCTCAAGGGTCAATTCTAGTTATGCTCTATCATAGAATCCCTTTTACGACACAACTACAATCACATTGTGATCACGGAACTTACAAAACAGCAGTCGGAAAAATAATGAGCTGACTGATAATTTAACGTTTCCTTGATTTCAACGTCAGTCTAGTTATGAACATGAAAAGCAATTCACTAAGAAGAAGTAGTGGGAGTATAGTCCTGCGAACTTCGGCATGCCTTCAGGCAATGATCAAAAGCTGGCTCTTACTTTCGCCTGTGACAAGGAGCCCCGGGCCAGACGACTGGATTACGTCGAGGTATTATTCATCTAAAGATATATCACCCTATCAATTCGTTCTTATTCCCTTTTTTTTCTTTCCAAGTCTTTTGCAACATGGCGCTGAGAAATAAATACATGATTCTTGTCTAAAATTGATCAGTAATGTGCATTCTCCATTTCGGTTATAGCATACATGTACATTAATTTCTTTCTTTATTTACGAAATACAATCTGGCTTTACTTCATATCAAGTTATTACCTACAACATTAATTACACACATGTTTGTATTTTTCATTCAAGTAAATAATAAATTACTTCAATTTTTTGAAACTAACAATATACATGTGGGCAAAAATAAATCAATAATTCATTGCTTCCGTAAATAATGAACCGACTATTCATAACTATAAAATTACAATAATATTTAATCTTATAATGATTACGTAAGTCTTTGCTATAAAATTTATTTCCATCATATAATATAATAGTATTTCTACTAATTCAATGAATTTTTTCCATTCATTCTTTTTGCTTCCTCTAGGTGAGATTTAATTGCATTGTTATTTAATCAATTAATTTGCCAAATCTATAAAAACTATTGACTTATTTTTTCCACCATCTGATATGTATTTATAGTACTGATTTTAATGATATCATGACGATTGAGTTATTGGTTTGTTTTGATCATATCAAAAAATAACAGAGAAACGATTAATCAATTAATGACGCTTAAATATAAATAAAAATTGCATGTATCCATAACTCTCATAATAAGATTAATAATAAATAATAACTTTCAGATTGAAATCAATTTGATGGGAAGTCATATCTCTCCAGTGATAGACATAGCTGAGGAAATGCTGAATAAATATGTTGACAGTGGTGTTTACTCATGCTTGTCGATCGACCGTGGCGATCACTTGAGCGGAACAACATAAGAGGAAATTTATTATGCTATGTAGATTAATCTTTTACGTCACCTTGATTGTTATATTTTACATATCTTTCACTCTCAAACATCAAATGAATCAATCAATAATATTGGACCAACCCCATTAGAATCATCAATCAGAAAGTTTACCAACAAAATTAGAAATTAACTTCCATAAATAAAAAAAATATTCCATATAAATTAGCTAATAGCCTTAAATGCCTACTACTTTCATCAATTGATGATTCAATGACTCACTTCAATCATCTATCTTTCAACGACTCCTATTTAAAATTGATACAAATAAGGAGCAAGATTCCTTGGTAAACATCACACAAATAGCATAAATAGTTAAGCGATTTGTCGCCTATTGCTGTGTAAAATTGCATGAAAAACAAATTCTTGAAACTGTAGAGATATTTTTTCTCAATCTATTCACGGATTAGTTGATGCAATTGCACTGTTTGTTCTTGTTTCTTTAAAAGCACAACCTCAATCAGAGGCATCAACAGCGCATCAGTAATTCACTAATTTGTTTAAGAGTACATGCTGTTGCCTCAAGGTGATGTAATCTTTCTCCTTCTTCGACTTCTTCTTTGCCTTCTTCGAGAAAGTACCAATGTCTCATAAATAAAAGCAGTAAAAGTAAGGACACACTTTTATTGCTTATTAATGCAGCAGATATGCGTTCAGGAATTTTTCTGTAACAATGAAAAGAATTGCTTTGAAGTAAGCGTCAAATTAAAGATGGAAACAAAAATTTTCTGTCATTAATTGTATCAAAAAAAAAAAAATAATTATTCTAGCAATTTTGTTTGTTTAAGTTGATATTGTTTTTTTCACTGAGTAATTTCATAGTAGGATTATTTTTTTTTTTTTTTGGTGACTTTATAATATCATAAAAGAAATGAATAGTGCGATGAACGTGCAAGGTGAAAACGATTGTGCAAACTCCAACGAATTCGTCACATGCAATTAAAGATTATCCATGAGCCTTCACACAAAAGTGCCAATGTGCAATAAATCTGTTAACATGAAGACCACTTTACTCATAAGTCTTTCGACTTAGACCGGTTTTTGTTAGTCTTAATTCTTAATGTTACACAGAAAGAAAGAAAAAATGGAGAAAAATAAATGACTAAAGTTAAGTTAAGAGTACGAGAATCAAATATATGATTGGTATGAAAGCGAAAGCATGTCATGTCATAACGATTAAAATTCTTGTGGGTAAACAATTAAGAAAAATTCATTGACAGTATTGTGAGTTCAATCCTAGAAATGCTAACATAAATCTTCACTTTTCCAACACTTTAATTATTCTAGAGTTTAGCTTTGCAATTTTTATTTCATTAAATCATTAAAAAAAAGTGTACAATAGTAGAAAACGATAAACTTTTCAGCCAATAATTGATCAGAATTAATTATTGTTAATGAGATTTAATTCAAAATAACTAGATATGAGTTAACATTTTAATTTTTCTTCATTAGAGATAAGTATAGTCGTTTTAAAAAAATCATAGCCATTAGAACACGATCTTTGTATAAGCTGATGATGTCCTTATCTAACGATTAATGAAGACATTCTATTTTTTTTTACTTAACTATTCAATTGTTAAACAAATTATCTGCTAAGAGGATTAGATGATTTGTACATGATTTATTCTTTATTACATCATTTTTCGAAGAGGCCTTGACAATGCATTCAAGTTGAGATTTCATTAACACAATATTAATATGTAATTTCATATAATACTCATAAAACTCCTTCTTTTTATTGTTACCAAGATTTATATTACTATGTATGAATTAGAAATTTTTACATCCTGATAAACAACTTTATAATCCCGGAACAAATGAAGAATAACAAATAATTCTTGAAAACAACTGATTCATGTGATGAACGTGAAAGCTAGTTTATTAAATAAATTAATCGAGAATTTTTTGGAACGAAATAAAATTTTTTTTTTTTTTCAAACCGTAAAGTATTGAATGTTTTAAACTGATGTCGGTTTTATCGAAAGGGAAAGCATAACCTGAGGCTTTCGTGCGTCTTTGCAGATACTTAAAATACTGTCGATTGCTTGAGGCACTTGAATTTAACGTGAAACTTCGCCCACTTTAAATGTATCCCTAATTGTCGATACATAATCTACTTATGTGTTTATAATATACATATATATCGATACATTTATATACATATTTTCACAATTGGCTTGAACAAAATGTACAGAAAGGTCAAAGAAAATTTTCACAAGCCGCAGTCTCTTAAAAAATAATTGACTTCATACCTTCATATAATATTTTAAAAGCCGTAAACTTTCAACGATAATTTTGCCATTACAATTAAGAATTATATCTTTGAGATGTTAAAATGTTACTTAATACAATTTTAACTGAGAGAAAAAATTTAAGCTATTAACATTTTTAATGAATGATTAAAAATTCTTGAATACATGATAAATGGCTAATTAATGTCTCTTAAATTATTCAAGCTTTATATTTGAACTTTTTCATTGATCAACAATAAGTAGGTTCTTTCTCTTATCTCATTATTATTCAAAAGAATAAGATGTGTAGCAACAACAAGAATGGCAATCGTTAGCTTCCTCTGTAGAGAACAAAATTGTTAGTTTGTTTTTGTTTTTTACAACTTCCATATGATGGGTTTGCTCAACTCCACGCTCATCAAATTCACAATCAACGAGGTCAAATGGACCAATTATAGCGGAAATATTTCACAATTTCTTGTACTGTAACTCTTGCCATCAGTAGATCTTTTTTACACTTCCTTTTTATTGAATACTTTTTTCAGTGCAAACCATTAATCTTCAAGATTCACAAGACACCCACGTGTCGTTGGTCATGAGAAAAGGTATTTTTCTTCATGACATCACGCTCCTTTCCTCTTCTAGGACATGAGAATGGCGTGGTCATCGTAAATGTTGCACCAGATCGCCCTGAGCGATCTGATGATCGACATACCGTAACTTTTCTCAAGTTTTTTTTATTTTTTATCAGCCTACTGTTTGATTCAGATTTCAACATTCTGAAAAAAAAAATCAACATTAATTTCATTCTTAATCAAAAGTTATTATAATTGATAAACTATCATATGAATAAATAAAGTAAAAAAATCATGGACAATAAATAAGGCTCCTTGAAATAATAATACTTGTTTATTTAAATATTATGGAGTGAAGTGAGAAATAATTTATAAAACGGAAGTGTAAAATAACGGAAAATGATCTCTAATAGTATATTCATCCTTGTTATTTCACTTAATAAATATTATCATTATAATAATTAATTGATTAAATAATATACTCATTTTCTCTATGACGTATTCTTTATGCAAATACATAGCTATATAATTTTCCGAGTCATTTGTTCATCTATTAACGTATTGCAATTGATACTTACTAGAAGATTGCTTATGAAAATGTAAAGAAGTTGAAAGAAATGTAAAAATATCCACAGATAAGTTCAAAGTCAGTTATTGCACAAATACAAATATGAAAAATGTATACTTTAGCATCTAGTCTTTAGCAGATGAGCAGAGAGTGAAGTTGAATATTAGAGACATTCTCTTTCTTTAGTAATTATTTTTCAAGTCTATTAACAATAACCACATAAAGTAAATAAGTTGGAAAAAGTGTAGATAAATTATTTTATTTTTAATTTTGTAAGCTTTTACTGAAATAGTTTTATTTTTTTTTTTAAATAAAACTGAGAAAAATCTAAAGTTTAAAAAGAGATAAAAGTAACAGAAAGTTGGATCTGTGATCAAGATTAACCTTACAAAGTAGTGAAAGAACTCCTAAAACGTCAGGAAATAAAACTAAAAAGAATAAACAAGTTAGAAATAAAAATCACACGCGATGACAAATTGTTTTAACGCAGTTGAGTGATCAGTTGAACTAGACATGCTAGTTTATGAATTTCATGAGGTCTAATAAACTCGAAACTGTTAACTAATTGCTTATTAAAAGATCCAATACTTCGGCACACTTTTTATTGCCAATAATGGAAGAAACAGTTTGACTCACAACAATTTATAGATCACTTTCTGGAATCGCACTCTAATTTCTTGGAATTTTCATGATTTTATTGGTCGATTGAATTTAATAGAAAAAAAACTATGAATAATTATTCAAACATTGATTGAATACCAATAAATTTTTTAAACCTAATCACTAATAGCTTAATGTTTTAATTAATTGGTGATTAAGTATTTAATAGAAAGTTCTAGTCAATAAATACACCACTTGTCTAGGACTTTTCGAGCAAGTGAAACCTGTTAATAGACCCAAATATAGTTTAATCAATTCATTAGACTAACCGAAAAAATTTTTTAACAACCTTTTGTCAGTCAAAAAAGAGAATTAATTAACTCAAAGATAAAAAATTAAGATATTTCAGTGAAAGAAGTAAAAAATGAAATTTATATGCAGAAGATAAGAGAAAGAAACGTGCCAAAAATAAAGTAAAAATTGTGTCAGAAGTATTGAGTGACAATTAAAGTGAAAAAAATAATATTTTTTTTTAATAAAAAAAAAAAAGAGACACAGATATTATCACTCTGAAGGTGGTCCATGCAGATAAAATCAATTTGTTTTTGTCAAACAGACTGCATGCATTGACTTTCTACCTTGTGTTTCATTCCCACCCTATTACATAAAATATCAATGTCCAAAAGTGGTTTATGAGAACTCGTTTTTCCGCCTCATTGGGGAGTCTTGAGCAGGCGTATGAATCCTGAGAGCTACTTACACATAACACACTTGGAGGACATACAGGGAGAATACGGGAAGTGAGGAGTACAGCGATCTGGGCCATGGACCTGGGGACTCAGACCCCACCCCATGTTGAATTGCGATCGCTTTGGTCCCTCTTTGCGCAGTAGACATGTACGGGAGAATTACTTTGGCGCTCTACTCACCACAGTTTCATCCGCACGAAGTCTTTACTAGGTGAACACGCGATTCGTCCCAGGGTCCAGTATCAATCGTGTACTCCAACATCAAAGAACCCTCCTAAAGAACAGAAGAATAAAAATTAATCCAATTCTAATCAATAGCCATCATCATCAAGAACTATTTAGTGTTTCGAAATTAGAATAAAAACTTTTTTTTCTATTATTAAGTAGTGTTTTTGATTTATTTTAATTTTGGTGACAATACAATAAGCAAAGGAGGGTGCAGAGTTTAATAAAAGAGTGTGAAAGATGGGGCGGTTTATTATCCTGCTCCTCTTGGGGTTAATCACGCTTGGATATGCAACAAGTAAGGTCCTACTTTAGAAAAATTCTATATGTTTACAAAGCTGATTCAAAAATAAATTATCATTAATAAATCATTGATTCTTTCAAGCTTAATCCTTTTTAAGGAAATTTTTGAATTAATGAAAGTTATTTATTATCAAACAAAGAAGTGTCCCCTGATCGTTAAGGATAAATTACATCAGTAACAAGTAGAGCAGCAGGTGCCAACGAGGCCGGTACCTTTTTAGTTGATTTTATTCCTATCACGTAATTTTTATTATAAAGAAGACTTTATAATCCAAAGTTGATATTTATTCAATACCATAAAAGAGTGAAAAGAAGTTGAAACAACTTACAAAGTAAAATTTATTGTATTAAAGGAAGCGAAGAAAAAGTTTGAGACCTTCATGACTGTGTAATCGTTAATAAAACTTATATTATTGCATCGATCATGAGTAGATGATGTCAACACGTGAACTTCTGTTATCTAATAAACATAAAAAACAATTTTCCTCATTATGTTAATGTTCATTTGATCGAAGAATTGTTTTTTTTCAGAATGTCCACAACAAAGAGTGTCTCCTGGGAGAGAGATTTTGTGCTATACATCAAGTTTAAACATCAAAGTCTTAGAGAATTCAATTTGCAGATGTACGACACTTGTCCACCAAGGTCATGATCTTCAAGATCTAGGAAAAACTGGTAAGATGATACAGAAGGATTTCAATCAAGCTAATGAATGTTTAATAATAACAGCAAATTGTTTAAATGACTAAAATAGCAACGATCAATAATGATCAAAGTACAGGAAACTGATCACGATGCCTAGACACGTGTAATACGAGAAATAAGCTCATCTTGTAACCGGATCCACAGGATATTACGCAAACATTTACGTGCCCTTGCACTTGTAATAGAATACCAAATCCTTTGGGTTATTGAAGAAGAAAAAAATAAATTCTCTAGTCTAATTTAAGAATTGAATTATTACTTTAATTAATCTTTTTAAAAAGTTGAAAGCAAATAGTTGTTTTGTATGTACATACTTTTGTACGATCGTTTGTTAAATTAATTACGTAGATAATGAAATTATATACTTCCGTAAGAGAAAAGGTTCATGTGATGATGGAAAGTAATAGACAGCTTGTTAAAATCCTAAGATGGTATAACTATCAGAATATCAATTGTTTTTTTGGAACATACTTAACACGCTTGGTGAACTAAAACATTTTCAACCAATTTTCGCGTGTTTATAAATAGTTTTTCTAACATCAAGAATGAAACTCGCGTGTGGAATAACTTCTTGAGTTTATTCTAAGTACAGTGATTTAATTTAGTAACATCCTTGTTATTATTATATTTAACGCCACGAATCATAAAGCTTCCCCTGCGGGATACACAAGTTAACTTTCGCTTTCATTTAATAGAGGTGATTCGTCGTCGAGGGATTATATCAAAGAGTATAACATAAAGTCTTTAGTACTGTCGTTCACGACGAACCACATAAGGAATTTCACGCGCCCCGCCCGACTCTACATATACAGGAGAGTCCGAGAGATCGCGATCATTTGATTGCGTAAACCCAAATAGATTTCTTCACAAAGGGACTTTCGGCATCGTCTGGCTGTTCATTTATACATAACAAAAAAAAAAATCTTGTAACACACATGTTGCGAAATTTAACGCGCCACACCCCTACACAAACCGATCTGACTTCTTGTAATCTGACAAAGTGGTCCAGGATATTTTATTTAATGGACTTTTGATGCAATTTATCAACACATTTACCTAACATCGATTATCTACTAACAGTAAACATGATAACCAGGTCAATTAAGAGATTTAACAAAGTAGATGTCAGATAAATTACTCGATTTGATCATTTATTATTGTTTGATTATGCTTTTTGTTCATAGAAAAATGTAAGAATTAAATAAGCAATCATTTATATGAAAGCATTAGTTTAAAATTGCTCTAGAATCGTTAGATGTAATTTATAAAGGAAATGGTAGACAAATTATTCGATAATATTTTAATTTCAGTTTCTTCATAAAGTAAATGAGATCTAATAAATTATTTCATAAATAACTTAATCTTTCCTTTCGATTTTGCAACATCAAATTAATAACAAAAAAAAACATGAGAAATTATTTTGTATCAAATTAATTTTAAATTCATAGCATATTGTGTTTTGAAAATAAAAAACAATTATTTTATTTAAATAATGAAAACATGTCAAAACTAAATTAATAATCTCAGCAACGAGATCAAGTGTCAAGATCATGTTTGGTCTCGAGGCGGGGATCCTGGACCAAAATAAACAGAGATTTTGCAACTAGTCTACTTCTCAGAATGTAAAAGTTGGTATTGAATGGAATGCTGATCTCGAAGTCTCAAGTATGTCCTTAAAATAATTCAACACTTTAAGTTTGGCCTGAACAAATGGTAATTTAGACCACAACCTCACACGTAAAAGCGTCTTGATGCTAATTCATCGAGACGAGGTCGCCGCCTCATTCAATTGAGATCTCTCTTTCTCTTGCTCACTTCTCTCACTCACTTTTACTTTCGATTAAGTGAGTAAACGTGCTATTGAACTCGATATCAATTAGAAGGAACTAGATTAGAAACTCCATAGACTAATTAAATTTAACAATGAGCTCCTTGAATTTAATGATTTGAAAACAGAAAAATATATATTCAAATAATTAAAAGTAATATTTTATTTTCTATTACATCACAGGATAGATTTATTTTCATTGAATCTCTGTGACATTTGATAAAAATATTATAGCAATCATAAAATCAATAGAAATTGTGGATTTGTCAACCATTTAAGTGGTTTGTCAAGTTAGCATTTCCTTTCTCCAGTGGAAAATTGAATAAATTTATTATTGCCTTGAATTATAGAAAATCTTTTCAATAATATGTAATTAAACATAATTAAATATTTTCCAGGTCTTGAAGATTTGCGTAAATCCTTGAAGCAATTGAATCATGCGCTCCAGTTTGTCATCAGTATAAACGATGCTCGAGGCATCTTGAAGACTTCTGCGGATTCTAGACAAGAAGCAATAGCACGAATTATTGGAATAACGAATCAAGTAATCAATTTTATCAATAGAAATATCTGTTCCAGTTAACTTCAAGCTCAAAAATTAATAATCGACTATTAGCCATGCTTATTTCCTATCCAGATTTACTAATTAACATAAAATACCTTTCTTTCTATATTTCTACCACAATGGAAGTTTTATATAAGATCCTTCTTACATCAACCCTTTAATAAATTTCTTTCATAAACGTTACTATGAGAATATTATTAAAGTCAATAAATTGGCAAGGAAAGTCTTGTTTGTAAGAAAAATAGCTTGAGGGAGTGTGCAAACGAAAGTACCTAGGCCGAGATCACTAGCACATAATAGTCAATGTTCGGACGTTCACCAAGTTATTAGATCGTCCAACTTTTTACTTTCCTCAACTTCAATGTCTTTCTTCCTTACGGCGAAGTTATATCTAATAATTTGCTCACTTCCGGCATAAAGTTTTAAACTGTAGCAATGGGATTTTTCTGCCTTAGATTGATGGTGTTGAGCTCAACGTGACTGCAGGTTCTAAAGAGCGTCTGGTTCATTTCATTCAGGGGTTGAAGAAAGAGATGGTGAGAAAATCTCGAGAGAAAAGAATTATAATAGCTTTGCCAACTAAAGCTGAACTGTTGGCTAAACATTATGACATCAAAGAACTTTCCAAGTGAGTATTTCATGAAATAAGACATTTATGAAAATTAAATGAAATTGCTGGAGAAAAAAATGTTTGATTTTTCTTTTAAATAATTGTTCGGGAAATGAGAGAAAAGTAATAAAATGTTTGAAAAGAAATATTTCCTCACGACAATTAATTTTTTCAATAAAACTATTACTTTTATTATCCGAAAGAGTTAAGTAAAAATTTTTGGTTTTATGGGATGATTGAGGATACTAAACAATGTAATTAACTCTTCTTATCCTTGAGCTAGATGCTTGACCATCTAATCTGTCGCAATCAACGCACTAGATCTTTAAACGAAAAGGATTGCGTTGATGCTTTAACTCTGTTTTTTAGATCTTCCTAATATAGAGAACTTAACTCTCATATAATGACTTAAGTCTTGACAGATTTTCCTTAATGCACGTAATTCAATCTTCATCATTGAAAACTTTTTTTCACAGATATGTCGACTTGTTTTCTATCCCGACTCATTACTTGATGGATGACAAGGATAACTACCATACTTTCCACCCATCTAGGCTCATGGGACTGTTTGATCTTCTAAACACTGATAGCCTAGTTGATCTTGTTCATGGCCTTGGTGCTGTCAAGAGGAAAATTCTCGTTTCCTTACCCGCTAGTGGATACAAGTTTACCCTGAAGATCAAGGATCAAAACACTCCGAGCTCACCAGCTGAAGACAAGATGCCAATCATGCTAGATAGAGTTCAACTTTGTAATGAAATTTTACAAGGAGAGTGGACTATTGAAAGAGATGAAGATCTTACTGCTCCTTATGCCTTTAAGAATGATTCCTGGATTGCTTTCGAAGATAAAATATCGTCCAAAATTAAGGTTGGATACCTGAAAAAATATCTGATTAGTAAATTGGATAAATTTTTGGAAAAATATATTAACTTGAAATTTTTTGTTTACTTGATAATTAGGGAAAATATATTCTACTAAGAGATCTTGCGGGGATAGGAGTTAGAAATATTGAAAATGACTTGCCAAATGATTGTGGAAAGACTGTTACTGAAGATATTTATCACTCATTTACTACAAATCAGAGAAAGTCACGTGAAGCTGTGCTTATGTCATTGGAAGATGATATTTATGTAAATATATTTTTATCTTTATTACAACGAATAGATTATAGCATGTTTTATGATTTAATGCTTATAATAGGAAAGTAACTTTTTATCCAGGTTTATTAAATCATTAATTAATTGTATTTTTTATTATTTATTTTAGAACTCAGAAGTTGTATATCCAAGTAACTTAAAGTCTTCTGACTTTAAAATCGCTCGTATTGTTGATACTCAGGGCAATATTCACGCTGTTCGTGAAAATACTCACACTGAATTTTCATGTCCAAAACAAGGATATTATGTTCATCCGAAAAGTTGCAACAGGTACTTGTTAATGATCATTATTTATGAATTAAGAATTTTATTTAATGGGATAATAATCAGTTGTCTTACCTCATCAGATTTTATCGATGTGTCAAGTTTAATCAGCAAATAGAACAATACAGCATTTTTGAATTCGACTGTCCGGCTGGACTAGCTTTTGATGAAACAACAGAAGTGTGTGTTTGGCCTGGATCACTTCCTCAAGGGTCAGCATGTCCCGGAAGTCCTGAAATAGCTCCTTCAGGTGCAAGACGATTCCACTGTCCAGGAGAAGGTTATTACGCTGATCCACAAAATTGTAGATGGTTCTTTGCTTGCATGGATCTAGGTATAAAAAATTGTATTAATCACTTTTGAATTAAGAAAATACATTATTGAATTAATAAAATACAAGAAAAAAACTATTCGTTTTTTAGGAGCAGAAAAAATGATGGCATATGAATTCCAATGTCCTTATGGATTAGTATTTGACGAACATAAATTGGCTTGTGAATGGCCTTGGTTAGTTCCTAAATGTGCAGGAACTGGCTACGAACGTAAAGACTATGGAAACGAAGGAGGACAGAGTGGTCATAAAGGACAAGGTGGTTATGATGGTCATGGAGGACAGGGTGGATATGATGGCCATGGAGGGCAAGGTGGTTATGGTGGTCATGGAGGGCAAGGTGGTACTGATGGTCATGGAGGGCAAGGTGGATATGATGGTCATGGAGGGCAAGGAGGTTATGATGGACATGGAGGTCAAGGTGGTACTGATGGTCATGGAGGGCAAGGTGGATATGATGGTCATGGAGGGCAAGGAGGTTATGATGGACATGGAGGACAAGGTGGATATGATGGTCATGGAGGACAGGGTGGATATGAAGGCCATGGAGGACAAGGTGGTACTGATGGTCATGGAGGGCAAGGTGGTACTGATGGTCATGGAGGGCAAGGTGGTACTGATGGTCATGGAGGGCAAGGTGGATATGATGGTTATGGAGGGCAGGGTGGTACTGATAGCCATGGAGGGCAAGGTGGATATGATGGCCATGGAGGACAAGGTGGTACTGATAGCCATGGAGGGCAAGGTGGTACTGATGGTCATAAAGGACAAGAGGGCTATGGTGGTCATGGAGGGCAAGGTGGTACTGATGGTCATGGAGGACAGGGTGGATATGATGGTCATGGAGGGCAAGGTGGATATGATGGTCATGGAGGGCAAGGAGGTTATGATGGACATGGAGGGCAAGGTGGTACTGATGGTCATGGAGGACAGGGTGGATATGATGGTCATGGAGGACAGGGTGGATATGATGGCCATGGAGGACAAGGTGGTACTGATGGTCATGGAGGGCAAGGAGGTTATGATGGACATGGAGGGCAAGGTGGTTATGATGGTCATGGAGGACAAGGTGGTTATGATGGACATGGAGGTCAAGGTGGTACTGATGGTCATGGAGGGCAAGGTGGATATGATGGTCATGGAGGGCAAGGTGGATATGATGGACATGGAGGACAAGGTGGTTATGATGGACATGGAGGACAGGGTGGATATGATGGTCATGGAGGACAGGGTGGATATGATGGCCATGGAGGACAAGGTGGTACTGATGGTCATGGAGGGCAAGGTGGTACTGATGGTCATGGAGGGCAAGGTGGATATGATGGTCATGGAGGGCAAGGAGGTTATGATGGACATGGAGGACAAGGTGGATATGATGGTCATGGAGGACAGGGTGGATATGAAGGCCATGGAGGACAAGGTGGTACTGATGGTCATGGAGGGCAAGGTGGATATGATGGTCATGGAGGACAGGGTGGATATGATGGTCATGGAGGACAGGGTGGATATGATGGCCATGGAGGACAAGGTGGTACTGATAGCCATGGAGGGCAAGGTGGTACTGATGGTCATAAAGGACAAGAGGGCTATGGTGGTCATGGAGGGCAAGGTGGTACTGATGGTCATGGAGGACAGGGTGGATATGATGGTCATGGAGGGCAAGGTGGATATGATGGTCATGGAGGGCAAGGAGGTTATGATGGACATGGAGGGCAAGGTGGTACTGATGGTCATGGAGGACAGGGTGGATATGATGGTCATGGAGGACAGGGTGGATATGATGGCCATGGAGGACAAGGTGGTACTGATGGTCATGGAGGGCAAGGAGGTTATGATGGACATGGAGGGCAAGGTGGTTATGATGGTCATGGAGGACAAGGTGGTTATGATGGACATGGAGGTCAAGGTGGTACTGATGGTCATGGAGGGCAAGGTGGATATGATGGTCATGGAGGGCAAGGTGGATATGATGGACATGGAGGACAAGGCGGTTATGATGGACATGGAGGACAGGGTGGATATGATGGTCATGGAGGACAGGGTGGATATGATGGCCATGGAGGACAAGGTGGTACTGATGGTCATGGAGGGCAAGGTGGTACTGATGGTCATGGAGGGCAAGGTGGTTATGATGGCCATGGAGGACAAGGTGGTTATGATGGCCATGGAGGTCAAGACGGCAATGATGGTCATGGTGGACACGATAATCAAGGCAGTCACGGCTATGATAGTCATGATGAACATGGCAATACTGATTATGATAATGAAGGTCATGTTAATCACGACATCGATAATGGCCAAGGCCATCCAGGAGATTATGACAATCATGAAGGTAATCAAGGCGAACATGATGGATATGATAATACGAAAGGTGGTCCTGATAATCAATATGATCATAACAATGAAGGTGCTCATGAAGAAAAAGATGAACATCATGAAAGCCATGATGACAACGGGCATGATGGTTATGATGAACATCAAGGTGGCGGAAGCTATGGTGGATACGACGAATCTTCTAAAGGCGGTGATAAATCATATGATGGCCATAGTGGTGGTAATGATTATGAGATAAAAAAAACAGATCATGGCCATGCAAATGGTTTTAATTATAATCAAGGAGGATATGACGAGAAAGGACACGGTGGCTATGATTATTCTTCTCCAGATAGTAAACATTACGACGGTCAAGGTAGTGATGACAACTACGATAAAAAAGAACATCCAACTGGATATGATAAACATAAAGGCGGTTCCGCAGTAACAGGACATGGAGTTACTGTCGAAGTAATACGTCACGGTGGCTATGATGGATCTCAAGATAAAAAACATGAAGAAGATCATATTAATAAAGGATACGATGGAAAGGATCAAGGTCATGGCATAGAAAAAGGCATTAAGCATCCAGGATACGATTATCCTATTTCCGTAGATCACGAAACGACTTTAGGACACGAAGAGAAGAATATAAATATTCACGGTGACTTTGGAGCAAAAACGACACGTGGATTTTCTCAAAGCTATGCTACGTCCGGCGGTTTCACACCATCCTTTAAAAGTACAGGCCAAGATACTCCATCAATATTACACAGCGGATATACTCCATCTGATGGTTCTAGTCACACCTTTGGATACACGTCTAAAGCTAACAGCTATACACAGCATGAAGGAAATCATGGGCATTATCCTAATACTGTAACAGGATCTCATGTAACTCCAGCAGTAGAAATTGGAGGTAAGCCATCGCTAACGACTTCACATGACTCTACAATTTACCGAGGCGATTCTGGAAGATTTACTGGAAGTTCTGGCACCGTTTTAACAAGTCCTCATCAAGGTGTAGGTATTATTAGTGGAGTTACTCAAACAGAATTGATTCATACTCATTCTGGAGCAGCGAATACTGCTGGATATTCAATTAATCATGGAATAAATACAGATTACGGTAAATCTACAGTTCCGCATTTTGGAGTTCATGGCACTACTCCAACAAACGTAATTCCTGACGTATATATTCAAGGTCACACAACAACAAAAATCATTCCAGGATCTAAAATTACTACTGGCAATGAATATTACACTAATCAAGCTCATAAAATTTCGACTGATGGATATACGACTAAGAATAAAAATGGCTATTCTTTTGGTGGTTCCTCAGCAGTTCCAGGAACTCAATTTTACACAAAACAAACTCCAGCATTATATTCTCAAGGATTTACAAAGGAAAATAAAAATGAGGCTGGAATTACTTTAGGAGACTATTCAACACCTCAAGACAATAAATATTACACAAATCAAGCAAGCCTATCATTCACTGGCTCAATTAAATCAAATGAACAAGGTTTTACTCCTTCAATGTCTGTTTCTGTTACTGGAAATCAATATCATCCTAACCAAGCTGGCGAATCTTTTACTAGTAATAAAATTGCCAAAACTCCATTAATATATACGCCTATTTCTTACACGTCCAGTGATAAATATCCCACAAACGATATAAAAACATCTACTCCAACCTCTGGATACCAAAAAACTCCCTCAAAACTTGGCACGACATCGTCTATAAATTATTCCGGTTCAGGAAATCGTTACTATACAAACCAAGCAGGATATAACACAAATATTGGCTTTTCAACATCTTCAGGGTCTCTTTTTACTCCAAAACAATCAATAACATCGAGTGGAAACCAGTATCATACAAATCAAGCAGTAATTCCTACTCCTAGTGGTCCTGAAGAAATCCCTATTACATCAGTAAATGATGGTAGTGGATACAGGACAAATGAATACCATGACAATGGAGGTCGTGGTACGATTCGTTATAACAATGGCGTAGTAACACATAAATATACAGAGGATGATATCAGAGATCATCGGGCCGGATTTACAGATCTCCCACCAACGGAAGTTACTGAGGCTAGTACATTTACGTCACTTAATAGCGGTGGAGTGTATACAAAAGGTGGATTCACCAAAACAGGACCAACTAAGACAGGAATTACTACTGCACAAGTGGGCGGATCTGGATCGTATGTTGCTGGAGATATTTCAATGAGACCAACAGCAAAACCTGATGAAATTGGAGAAAATGCTTTTGGAACTGTTTCCAAGGGTATTTTTGGAAAGATTAACTCTCTTTCTTATTCTACTCCTTCAAGTAATATTGATGGATCTTATGTCATTGATAATTCAAAAATGACTGGTACACAGTCGAGCGTTATATCCTCTGGTTATTCATATGATATCCCAGAAAATAAGTTGAATATCTATTCTACAGATGCTCCAGTTCCTCAAACTTACACAGACTCTTCTCCTCCATACTTAGATATCAAAGTTTACAATATGAAAGAGACAACGACACCTTCTCCATCTATCAATATTCAATCTCATTCAATTACTTCGCATAATCTTGATGGATTACATGCCACGGGCTTTTCAAGAATATCTGGAACACAATCTCCAGGGCATTCATACGATAATGCGCGAAATCAATTTAATACTCGTCCTACTGTAGCTCCTGTTTCGCCACAAGGTCATTCATCTCCCTACTTCGATATTCAAGTCTACAATAGGAAGGGTATTTCAACGCCTTCTCCAACCACAACATCACCAGATACTGTTAATACTCACTCCTACGCGAAGTCAACGAGTTCTCAGTACCAGGAGACTATGTATCAGTCAGGAAAGTCATCGCATGCTGCCTCTACTGGAGAATATTTCAAACCTACACCTCAGAGAAAGTACCCCACTGTTTCATCGACCGCTCAACCCGTCGGCTATACTACTGGACCTTTGAATAGTTATAAAACCACTTTATTCAATGCTGCTAAAATACCTGTTACTGTTCCTATCGCTCGACCAGTTTTCGATGCTAATCGTAAGACTGTCATATCAACAACAGAAATACCAGTTCCAATAGAGGGTGCAAATTATGATTACAAAGGAAATGATTTTATTGGATCTATTGCAACTAAAGATGAATCCTTCCTTAATGTTGGAGTTAATTTCGAACAACCATCAGGACCTGTGGGTCCTTCAGCTGCTGGAAAAGTCACTTCTTCAGTTAACTATCAATATTCTACTCAATCGCAAGATGTTGCGGATAAATACACTGAGTTAGAAGAAGTTGGCTCTTTGGGATATTCTCTAGGTAATGTTGACGGTGACTTTGGATATAAAATAAACCAAGAAAGTGGAAAAAGCTCTATAGATGATCATCTTACTATTAATATTCAACCACAGGTATGGAAATATAATAATTCTTTTGCTTTATAAAATTTGATTTACAAATTTTGTGTTATTAATTTTATTATTTACTATTATATAAATAGTAAATAAAATAATGAATAATAAATTATTAAAATAATTAAATAAAACAGCTAACAATCATTTTTATTCTTTGCAGGGTTTCAAACGACCAAGTACAGTTTCCCCGTTAAACAAAGAAACATATAATAGACCTATTGAAATTGGAGGCAGTTATAAAGACTCATCGAAATCTAAGGAGAGTTTCGATGGATATAAATATACTAAACCAACAAAAGAGTTCAATAGTGGATCAGTTGCAGCAATAAAAGACTCTTCTACACTCTCTCCATCTCAATCAGTCACGACTTCACCCAATTTCAATATTGGTATCTACAATAACGAAGTAACCAAGCCAGAAATTAATTATAACCGAGGAAATGCGAAATATACTCCTTCTGATGAATACGATGATACTAAATTTTCTTCAGGACTTTCGAAAACTACAACTTATGATTACACTACCACTTCAAGGTTTAGAGAACACGAAGGAATTGAAGTAAATATAAACAATCAAGAAAAAAGTGAATTAACTACACCTAAAAGTTCTATATCTGAGCTTTCAAGATTCTCTCCATCAATTCCATCACAGAGACCATCTTTAGGAGCTCAAACAAGAACTTCAACTTATTCTCCACCCGTTACAACGTATTCTGGTAATTACAAAAAAAGTTCTACGACTCCCAACTACCCAGTGATGACCAAATCGAGTCAAGAATCAATAAGCAAAGGCAAAGGGAAAGTAATTGTGAAATTGAGTGATCTACATCCAGTTCTACTTGGTAAACTAAGTGCTGAATGTACGTGTAAAGCAGATCCATTTGCTAGTTTCCGTGGAAATAAGCCACTGCTGATAGAATCAGACAAAGGAAAGGTTGATCTTAGAAATTATGATGAATCTGATGTTTACGTAGACCTAGAAAATAGCAAAGAGTTAAATAATTATGGTGAAGAAGTAGAAACTGCTGTTTATCGATCATCAACTCCATCAGTATTAATATCCACCCACGAAAATCCGGTTGTTAAATTTAATGAAGCTGTTAAGTCTAGGAGACCTGCTTCTACTTATCTACCAGTTGCTTCTACACCTCGACCTCCATCTTCAACCTACCTACCATCCACTACAGCTTCTTCGCTGCTTCGAGTATCTGCTAGTGACATAGAAGCAAGTTCTTACTCTTCTCGTGCTCGATCTCGAAGTGGAAAGAGTCTAGGGTCTTCAAGGTCAAACAATTTATCGAAAGAAAAAGCTTCTGATCGTACCGACTTCGGAGAAATCGGAGTACTTGAATTGAACCCAGAGGGAAGAGCTGAATGTGCTCGACCTGGACTCTTTAGACATCCTAAGCACTGTAATAAATTTTATGCTTGTCATTGGGATGATTGGAAGAAGAAATTTACTCTTCACATATTCAACTGTCCAATCCATTTGACCTTTGATAGTAGTGCTGGTGCTTGTAATTGGCCTAGCAAGGGCCCAGCTTGTCAAGATGATAATCTTCTTATTTGAAACATCTGATTGGAAGAGTTTTAAAAGCTCTATTGAGGCCTATCATTACACTGAGAAAATAAAATTTAATGTGAATAAGATGACACATAAATAGATAAAAATACAAATATATATTTAAAATAATTATAATAATTATACCTGATTGATATGATTCGAATGATTAAGTGAACGAATTTTTTTCCCAGTGTACTTGATCTTCAATTCCACTTCTATTAATTCTGGGTCATCATCCTAATATACATTCACGCCCAACGTCTTCCAGTCTCTAGGTATTCATTTCTGTATTGTTTGACGACAGACAAAGCAAGCATAGTAATTTTGGCGAATGTCTCTGAAGAGTATGGTAAATAAATGGAAGATTGTACACGTCTTGTATTATGCGGTTTGTATAATAAACTGAATTTTGAATCGAGTAGGTTGATGGTAAGTAGCGCGAAAGCGTTACTGTCGCCTCGAGTGAAAGTCGATCGAAATCTACATTGACTTGATCATTCAGCTAAAACTGACACGCTCTATTCAATAAAAATATTATGAATCGGAAATTTAATAACTATTAATTTTATATATGATTAATTCGACTTTTAAAGTGTACTTGTGTAAATAATACCATCATTGAATAACTTTTATAATTATTATAAAGAAAATAACTAATTTTATAGAGAAATATATAATTATTTTTTTTTATTAGAAAAGAATTTTCAATTAAAGCTGTCTTCATTTTCCTATCAACACATCTGGTTGATTTAATGTCTTCGAAAGTAATTATGTTCTTTGATGAGATTATTGATGAACAATTAATTAATCATTGAGAAAATAGATTTTTAGCCCAAGGATTTTTTATCTTATTTTCCATCAAAAATTAATTATTTTCTTTCATGGAAATTTCGAAATGTGTAAATAAAATTATGATCTACATAAGAGAAATATTAAAAAAAGTAATCAGTGTTGTGAGCTAATTGATGATATTATTATAAATTTATGTGCTTGAATCAAAGCACTTATTTGTACTATGTATATAACAATGCAATTAAACTGCCTTTGTAAACCAGAAAAAATCATTGAAAATTTTTTTTCATAAACAAATAATGATAATAATAATTATTATTATTATTAAGCATATTATTATGAATTAATTTTTGAATACATATTTATTTATTTACAATATTATTTACTTACACATGCCATTAAAACTTTTTCAACCATAAAATATAATCATTAAACTCATAAATGAAAGTAGACTTTTAAATAAGATTTTACCAAGGATCTATTAACCTTCATATTTCTAAAAAAACTTTAATAAATTATCATGTAATTAAATTTTCTCGTATTCTATGTTGAAAAATAAAAATCTTCAAATTGAAAAAAATTGGGAAAGTTTAACAAAAAACATCATTTATCAAAAATATTACTTTTCAAAGTTGAAATAAAATACTCTATTTTGTAACATGGCCAATGATAAAATATTCAAGATATCGCTCTCGATTAATTGAAAGTTATGCTTTAACTTGCAACATTCTACATAGACATTCAGTAGGGTCAGCGAAACCCAACAGGAATAAGTGGTGAAGGTAATCAAAATGAATAAAGAATGATAGAAAAATGAAGTGAGAGAATAATCAAGGTAATAAACTAATTTCATTCAGCCATGGCAGTGAGGTCTGCTAATAAGCCTACATAATAATTTACTGTCTATTCTCTTCAATAAAATTGAAATTTAATGAAAATAATAAGTAAATAGCTATAGCAGGCATTAAATGGACTCTTATCTAATCTTACTGCTCAATAAGATTTTTTTCTAATAAAAAATAATTAGCTGAAATAAACATCTATTAATATGCTTAGCTTAGCTTAGCTCCAAAGACTTAAAGTCTTTCATCTCACCAAAAATCAAGTATTTCAATTTTAAATTAAAAACCCAAAATGTAATTAATTGCATCAAGTCAATAAATAAGGTAATTGCTTGTTAATTATATATAAATACTATCAGTTAATTTATAGAAGCTATTAAAGCAATCGTTCTGATGTCAACAAAGCAGTTCTGTCTTTTTCTAAATAAATCATGCTGTTTTCTGCACATAATGTTCTCCAGTTCCCCAAGTGCCTTATCTTTTTATACTTCTCATATATTAAAAGTGTTACAGGAACGTGTCAAAATCTGAAGTGTACATAATTACTCATAAATTTTGTCATGACTGTCATGAGATAAAAAAGTATGTGAGGAATGGAGTAAAAAGAAATTGATGAGTTTTATACTTAGCTTAAGTATTTTAAATGTTAAATGAAAAAAAAGGTTAATATTATGGACTAACGTCTTCCCGGATTTCATTCATTACATATATTATACGAATATTATGCGTCACTCCGTTCGTTAAGGTGAAATAAAAGAAAGAAGAAGCAGAGAGATAGAGAAATTACGGGATCTCTTGTGGTTAAAAGTGTGTCGTAAAAAGCGAATGCGTGCTATGACCCAGTGATACATTTTCTCGTGAGGTTGTTTTTTTATAAAAAAAAAAAAGGACAAAGAAAGTAAAGAAGTGAATAAATTGAAAATAAAACATAAAACTCACGATTTTCATGCTTGATGCTTCTGTAATTATTTCGAAATTAACGATGAATCAATTAAATCTTGATCTCCACATTTCTAAAACAAAAAACAAATAATAAACATTTTTGAATGATTTCTAAACAAATAAGAAAAATAAGTTGCTTTCGTGAATTTTTATATAACTCTACACTATTTTGTAATTAAAATACTTCTATTATATAATGAATTCATAATTTTTATTAATTAATTTTAAAAATCTGTAATTTTGCTGTTTTGTTTTGCTGTTTTTGAATTCTGAAATTCATTCTACTTATTTTATTTAAAAAATAAAAACAAAAATTCATTGTTTATATTTCCAACTTAATTGAGAAGTTATAATTCACTCACTTGACTTTATGCCCCTGTTACGCAATGAGCAGCATGCACACGATGATTGAGTGTCATGGATTTGCGAATTAAATGCAGACTTTGTGAGTGTGGACAACGATAGTAATGAACGTTGTTGGAGATTTATTAATTTGACATACAGTGCTCGTGCTATTAATATGTTTCCGACAGTTCCTGCTTTGAAAATTACACGGTGTAAGGAACTTCAAATTACTTGGTGCACTATATTTGTAGTTATTATCCTCGTTGTATTAGCAAACTTTAGTTATCCCGCTGTCCTGAAAACCAAATGTAATTATTTTCTAGTTCAACCTGATTTCTTAGAATGTACATCAACTACATGCATTTATAGCACTGTGATTTTTAGCAATTTTCCAGCCGATTAATCATCAGAAAAACAGCAAACTTCAACAGAATTTCTTCATTAAAAAACAATTGTTGTTATTAAATTCATCAACAAACTATCAGTAATTACAGGAAGAAAATAACTGAGATTTCAAAGAAATTCTTCAGCTCAAATACTAACAATAAATTCATGACAGCAATTTTGTGGTCATAAAAATGTAGAGTTCTAATAATTATTTATCAGTTATTTTTATACACATAGATAATAGTTAATAAATAATGAAATACTAGAAAAGACCACAATTATTTCCAACTTTTAAAGAACTAAATAAAACTTTTTATATACTCCTAACTTTTTATTTAATGGACATATTTAAAGAGACTTCTATTCCTATAATGACTTCAACAATTTTTTTCTTCATTCCAATATATTGATTTCTCTCCGAAAAAAGACTTTAATAAAAAATATTAATTTCATTAGAAATAACTGGATTTTTAAACAGTTCAATAAATTATCCAAACGCAATGATTGTCATAATGAAATTTAAATTTCTTTATGGTCCTAAATCTTTTACTTAATTTACAGTTTCTTTCAAAATCAACGTGGGCCACGTTATAGATTAAAATTAACAGATAAAATTTTTTTGGAAAGGTAAGTCTGTACCTTTCAAATGTTTATAATCAATAACTTTAATACGTTCCAATACATACACGACATTATGTGTATGTATCTACGTACTGAATATCAAGTAAAAAAGTAAATGTAGAGTGGGGCACGTTGGATAGTCGCTGAAGAAGAGAGGGAATACGTGGTACAGGGTGGAGAAAGAGAAAATAGAGACGCCGGAGCGTGAAGCAGGTAGTCCGAGTTCGGAAGTGATATAAAGGCGTGCCGTGGTCCCTGGAAGGTTTAACGCACCTGGAACTGCGCTCAGGAAACAACTAAGATCGTGGGCAATCCCTTCTGGGGTATTGTTGCTGCCACACCACACCTTTAACATCATGTAAGTCATTGAGATATCTTTTTTTTACATTAATCAATCACTTTTTATCATTAACTAACAATTCTTATATTCATTAGTCCATTAGGAATTTATTACACTAATCACTTATTACACTCATAATAATAAGTTCAAGCAAAACAATTGCTTAACAACCACCAGTAAACAATTTTACATAAATATTTATTGCAATCCACGGCATGATAATTTGAATGTTAATTAATTCATGCTCACAATATTTAAATTACCCAACGGTTATCTAGAATTATCGCTTTTATAAATAATAATTGTAATTTTTTAAATAGTAGTTTTTTTCAATAATTTAGTTACTTATTAAAAAATTTCAATTAGTTGGTATTTATCAGTTTAAATTAATCAATAAAAATAATTTGATTCTTGCTATCTTCTTGATAATTTGCTGAACAAGCTAATTGGTACTCTTATAGTTGATATTTTGTTGGAGGTCTTTTGTTTGTTCACTCATGTGTTTGTTTTTAATTACTATTATCATGATTATTTTTTTTTTTTTAAATCACTCAACAGTAGCTACTATCGAAGTCTGATACGCGTTACGTAAATAATTTATCTTTAAATCAGTGTTAATACATGGGTTAGAACGTTGCGAAATCACATTTTTTCTCATTTACTTCAAGCATTGACATTTGATTTAGATACTTTTAGAATTTCTCATTGATTTTCATGACATCTTACAGCGTTTTTTTTATTACAAGTAAGAGAGTTGACGGTTTAAGATAGTAGATAGGCTTTAGAAACTTTGAGGAAGCATTGAATCGATTGAATAAATCTATTTGAAAGTTTAATTATCTGTTACGTGATGCTTAACAGCAGTAGTTTTAAACTTCTGCAAGTATTTATGACCATGTAGTCTTTACAGATCATAAACCTGTTATGTTTATTTGTGTCATAAATTTATAAGGGAACGGTAAAAATATTATGATTCTTTTTTAAGAATTTCTATCAAAGCTTGCAACATATCTGAGTACATGCATGTGGACATTCGTCTTTTAGTGGACATGTATGTACTTAACTGTTAAAGTCAACCTATTCCGCGTCACGATTTTGCCTTGAAACCACCCAAGAAAGTGAAAGGGTCTTGAATTTCAACCCGTTCATCGCGATTCACGATCAAACAATTTTTTTTAACATTTAACACCCACGTATGTGTCAACTTATTCTATCAATATCGCAACTAAGTGGAACGCGACCTTTGATGCAGGCTGATAAACAAAGAGATGGATTTATTTTTAGTTTAAAATTTTTATGGTAATCGAGTAAATATTATCTTAAATGGCAATCATTGTTTGTTCATAAGAGATCTTGTGGTATTCGTTCTGTTGAATGCCCTCCTTTATTGATATCATTTGAATAATTCAAACTTTCAATGAACTTCAATCATTTATCAATGATATCAATAGCTCTAGATGAATTGAATCAGCTTTTAGATTGTAATAAAAATTGAATGAATAGAATAAAAATTGTTGATGATGATAACAAGGTCAAAATGAATAACATTATCACTTTCCTTTCGTAAGTTCGGATTAGAAAGTGGGGTAAACCGATGGTGCGTGAACTCAGGACGTGTCTCCTTATTAGCCATGTACTCATTTGATTTGTTACCCACCAGTCCAAGTTCCACTTTTCATTTTTATAACATTTTAACTCTTGGAGAAATCGTAGCTTAATTTTTCTTTTTTTCTGACCTAAAAAAAAAGTTTCAATTTATTATTTTTTCATAAATACAATTAATCTTAAAGAAATCTAATTAACTTTATTCTCTTAAGCGTTATTTGATACTCTATTCATACCGATAAACGATGCATATCACAAGAGAAGTAGCTTAACCTCAAGTGAAAGGAGATGCTTCTTTACTTAAAGCTTACGCTTCGAAGACAAACGTGTGTTAAAGAAATTTATTCATGAATAATTACTTACACTTTATTATTTTTTATTCGTTGCGTAATGTAAAAAATTTGCTTTCTCCTGTCGGGATAACGAGTTGAACCACTTAATAATTCCTAAAAATAATGAGAAAAAAACTGATAGTATTTGAAATTTTTTTTTAAAATAAAAAATATAAATAATCCTGTTATTTAATTACTTTCATCTATTTCTTATAGTATTCAATTATTTTGTCAAACTTTTTTTACATTTTTTTACCAACATCGATCAGATTAATTAATTAAAATCATTCAAGTACAAAGAACCTTTCTCTAGACAATGTAACAGTTAATTTACAGTTTATTATTGTCTAAAAAATAATAGCAATGTTGTAATTCAACCGAAAAATTTTTTTAACGAATAAGAAATTGCCTAATAATATCTAGACTTTGCAACATGTCCAATTATTTTTGTTTTGTTCAACATTTCCAATGACTCACTCATTATTATTTCGCATACTTAATGGATAGACTCTTTGTTCATTTTATGTGCTTTTATTCAAAAGTAAAGTCAGGTATTTGCTATTTAGACATTTAATGACTTACAAAGTTATAAACGTCTCTCTGTATTGCTTCACTCTGTCCCCTGAAGCAGTGAAAGTTCTCCGGTTCAGTTGAACTTTAGAAAAGAAGAACTAAAGTAACCAAGTTGCATGTAAACCTGAATTTGTAATAAAATTTGATAAAATGTGATTTATACATTTGAAATTTGCTTGAATGAATTACGTATGCTAATATGGATAATTATTTAGAATTATTTACCAGTTCTAATCATGACTTGTCTTACAGGCTGGTGTGGGCGGTGTTGCTGGGGTTGACTACCAGTCTGTTGGTCAACGCAGCTCGACCGGATCCTCCATCTTCCGGTATCACCACCGTTGGATCACAGAAACTCGCCACTGCTGAAGATTGTGCGCGAGTGGTTGCGTTCTCCGCGACTTCCGGCTTCAAAAACGTAAGTTTTCAACATGTAATTCAATATTAAACTTCAGAAATAATTATGAACCATTATCTTAATTACCTTCAACAATATCTCTCTGGTAAATGATGAAATTTTCATAAAAAACTTTTGTCATAATCTAAAAAAATGTTGAAATTAACGCAGTTCTCTCAATGCTACAAATCTTTGCTTTTTGTGATGTAATAAGTTATTATGTAATTGTCTGTTGAATAATAAAATGATATTTTTTTATAGGATGCTCATTTAAAATTTTCTCAAACATTGGTCAACAAAGGCGTCGGATACATCGCTGAAACAGGAATATTCACCACACATTGTCCAGGACTATACCAATTCAGTTTTTCCGGATATGGCAGTACTGATCTAAAGCTTACTCTAAAACGGAAAGCAAATAAATCTGATAGTTGGCTACCAGTTATATCCACTGGCACTGGTGGTGGTTCAAATCTAGTTCTTCTAGATTCCGAGGCTGGTGATCAGCTTGCTGTTTTTGTCGACGCGGGGAAATCAACTGAAGGAACAACTTTTTCAGGCTACCGAGTCGCTAAAAAATAGAGAACAGGTTTTAACTGAAAAAAAGAAGCCTAGCGACTTATCGAGATATCGGAAAAAATATAATTAGTTGCCATGATCACTTGATAAAAATGAAACTGTTTCATCGTTCGGAACATTCCCACCAAGAAAAGTAAAAAATAATCGAGAAATCGAAGGGAGATATTTGGATTTCTATGCAACATTGCAAATTACATTGACGCTACTCCCGATGTACCTTATATTGCTTTAAATGATTAGATTGATTTCAAATTGGTTATTTTACTTTTTTTATATAAATAATTTACTGATACTTTGATCTTTAGAATGATAAAACACACTGTGATAGTTCCTCAAATCTTTTCTTTTTTTTCAAATATTAAGCTCTGTCTTTTGTTTTTCTTTCAAATTTAAATGTTTATACTTTTTTTTTCATTTTACTATGCATGTGATATTTTCTAAAATTCTTCCTTTCATTAAATTTCTTACTTTTTCCTTCTTTTCGTCTTCAATTTTTGTATTCTTTTCCAATTCTTCTCTTATCTACTTCTACTTTTTATCTTCCTACTTTTTTGCTCCAAAAACTTTATACTTTCTTTTTATCACTTTTTTTACTTTTTCTTTTCTTTAATTTCCTGACTACTTTCAAAGTTTCTCTGTATCTTCTGATCTTTCATTTTACTTCTTTTCCTTTTTTTTTCTATTTTCAAAATCTTTCTAAAATTTCTTCCAAAAGCTGAACAAACTATTACAACTTTATTCTTTTTATAAAACTGTATTCTATAAATTCTCTTGTATTCTAAAAATTCAAAAATTTCTTTTCCAAATCTTGTACTTTTTATTTCCTTTATCCTATGTGTGTTTCTACTTTCTCTATGATCTATACCTTGCACCTACCCACCAGTATTATGATCTCGAAATTAAACGCCAAGTCTTGCCGTAATGCGCTTTCAAAAAAATTTCATTTTACCGAAATTTCTTTTTCTGTATCTTGTAAACTTTTTTACTCCGAAGGTTTTTTGCAAATCTCTAACGATCTATTTCTTTTATCTATTTCTTCTACGCTGTTGTAATCTGTACACTCTATCTACTTCTTTTTTCTTTTACACTTTCAATTTATTTTTATTCTATTTTTCTTGTACGTAGAAAACTTCAGCTTTTATTCTATCTTCTATTCACTATTCCTTATCTGACTTCATTTTTCCAAATTACTTCTATTCCTGTAAACTTCTATCTCTATTTTTCTATCCAAACTTTGACTACTCTTATTGCTATACCTAATCTATCCTGAAAATTCTATTCAAAATACTTATTTCTTTTCATTACTTCTCTTTTGCTAGAGCTATACTTCATCTCTCAAATGATGCTCTTCTAAATGTTTCTTTTTTTCAAACTTTCCAAATTCCCTTTCCACTATATCTTTTTATTTCTTTGTCTTTTATTTTTCCTTATTCTATTATTCAACTTTAATGTCTTTCATTATTTTTTAGTGTCTTTCTATTTTTATTTCTATTTTGTGTATACTTTTCTTTCAACTACAAAGCTGCAAAGCTGTGATTTTTTATTTTCAACTATTTCTTTTCTGTACTCTTTCTACATTTCCTAACTTGTCTTTTACTGTACTATTCTATTCTACTCTTATAACAATCTTTACAGCAATATCCAGAGTCTTCCAGATACTATCAAAAATTGCCTATTGATTTTTATAATCTATTTTATTCTTTTCAACATTTAAACCACCGTTTCCTCTAGTCTATCAAAACTTTCTTTGTAAATTTTTTTTTTTCATTTTTATGCTAAACTACAATTGTCTATGATCTATTATTCATAATCTATTATGTATTTTTTACTTATGATTTATTATCTATGCTACCAAAATCTTTTTTATAATATACTTATGACTCTTGTTTGTCTAATTAATGTGTTCTATAATTTCAATTTTCCTAAATTTCAATCTAAACTTATAACTATTTTATTTTTATCTATTCAATCTAAATCTCAATGTACAAAACTCTATATTCTATTCTTTCTATTTTAAATTGAAATGTTTATTTTCAAATGCAAATAAAAAAATCAATGCACGAAAATACTTTTTTCTTCTTATTATCCTTCTACCTTCAACTATTTTATCTATCCTTGAATGTTTTTTTACTTAATAATTTCCTCTTCTTTCTCACTTTTCTGTCCTATATTTTCATGTATCTATGTGTCTATTTCTTTGTGTTTATCTTCCTCTTTTTCCTCAATTTTCCGGGCCTATCACAGTCAAACAAAAAAAAATACCAACGAACGCACGCTTCTATGTATTCAACTTCAATAATATTTAATATTACTCTCCTCTGTACTATCAATTATTGCAACAAAATTGTTATTCCATTGAAAAATATTTTATTTTTAATATATAAACAATCTGATGCATATAAAATTATCACTGTCAACAGAATAATTATTATTGTATAATATTTCCTGAAACATTTCCTTATCCTAATAATAATTTTATCCCCAAATTTATACAGTTTCTTTTATAACAATATTTCACAGATATAAATCTAATTTAATTAGATGACCTTGTAAGCACTAGAAACAATGATGTACGTTTCAAAGTTTATTTTAAACGTAACGCATACACCTATCTTTTCTCTACTTTACAATTTTATCCTCTGGTTTAAACACTTTATCAGATAAGTTAAAAAGGGCTTGGCTCATCGGAGAGAAGGTAATCATAACTCGTAAATTTCATTCTAGTTGATGTTTTTTCGTGTTCAAATAAATAAGTTGTACTAAATAACACTCAATAATTTTCTTGTTGAGAGTCTAATTTTGTCTTACTGAAAGTAATAATGAAGTTTTACATTTATCAAAATTATTTTTTAAATTTAAGTGCGACTTTTAATGACAAGTTTGAATTCGGACTATGTGGAATAAAAAGTGTGGATACAAATTTTACAGTATATTTTTCCAGGACATTGTATTTACATTACTCAAAACAACCGCAAATTTACTTACGCGGTCTTGTCATTTTTTTTACTTACGGTTAGTGAAAAATTTCCCTCCGTATACTCTAAAAGCATTTATTTAAAATTCCAATAAAAATTTTTAATCACTATCACACACTTAGATGTTGAGTTCAACAGGTCCTAGATCAAGTCCTTTATACATTTCAATAATAGGATAAACTTCTTCATTAAGAAATTCCACCACTTGTTCAGGACATCTTCCAATGAATGTAGAAGGGTCTAAAAGTGTATCTAACTGTCCTAAAATTGGTTTGAAGTACGGATCATTTTTAATTCTTTCAACTAAATCATTGTCCAATCCATGTAGTTTCACTTGGGCTCCTGCTTCTTGCGATAAAACCCTAATCTTTTCATGGCACACTTGTCGATCGCCTCCCGCTTTAACCATCGCCATAATAATATTCTCCGCTGACATAAATGGCAACTCCTGTGCTACATGTCGAGCGATAACCTTTGGATATACTACCAGACCCTCCGTAATATTTTGAAGAGTCATTAAAATTACATCAGCAGAAAGGAAAGCCTCAGCCAAAGTAATACGACGATTCGCCGAGTCGTCTAGAGTTCGTTCCATCCATTGAGTAGCTGCTGTTTGCAAAGAATTGCTTACCAATGTCATCAAGTGTCGGGCTATGCTGCAACAACGCTCCGAGCGCATTGGGTTTCTCTTATATGGCATTGCACTGGAGCCGATCTGGGTACTTTCAAATGGTTCTTCGATTTCTTTCATGTTCGCGAGAATTCTGATATCACTGCATATCTAAAATATTTTTATGTATTAAAAACTCTTTTAATTTCTATTCAGTTATGCATAATTATTTTCTCTGTTTAATCAATAAATTTCATAAATACGAAAAATTATTCTATTATGATAATACCTTATGAACAGTTGCTCCAAGTGAAGCTAAAACATTTAGACACTCTACATCCACTTTTCTGCTGTAAGTTTGCCCAGTTACTGAGTAATGTTTCTCAAAACCTGCCATCTTAGTGACTAAAACATCTAATTTCTTGACTTTCTCATTATCACCTGTAAAAATATTTTTTATTAAATGAATAAAAAATAGAAATAAGAATAGTAATTAGAGAAAATTGATTTAACCATTGAAAAGTTGAAGGAATGAAGCTTGCGTTCCTGTGGTTCCTTTGACACCTCGAAATTTAAGATCATTACGAGCCCGACGAAGAGCTCTTTCATCCATTATCAAATCATGAAGCCAAAGGGTGGCTCTCTTGCCAACAGTAGTTAGCTGAGCTGGCTGGAGATGAGTGAAACCAAGTGTAGGAAGGTGTCGATATTCATCTGCGAAGTGTGCTAATCGAGTTATTACTCCAGCGAGTTTCGGAAGAAGAATGTTGAAACCAGCTCGGAGAACTAGGAGATCCTAAATGATAAAGATAATAATAATCAATAATTTGTAAATCTAAATTGATATATTTTTTATAAAGGATAAATAAAAGATATTGAAATTTAAAGAAATATAACAATTCATCAAAGTTAATAGATAAATATTAAGAAAGTAAAAAAATGTAAGAAAACCATTGATCTCAATATTTAACATACCGTATTATCACCAACATAACAACTGGTGGCTCCTAAATGAATAATCGGAGCAGCTTTGGGACATTGTTGACCAAACACATGAACATGCGCCATTACATCATGCCGAGTAGCTTTTTCTTCTTTTGCAGCTGCAACAAAGTCGATGTTGTCAACATTTGCCTCCATTTCTGCTATCTGTTCTAGTTTTATGTCTAAGCCAAGTTCCTGAAACAAAAAAACAGATAACACATTATTTATAATTCAGGAGTGGCTTTCTAATTTTCCATAAACGGAAAATTGAACGATAAACATAATGAGATGACTAATTTAATTAAATAATGTATGTTTCAAAGTTTGTTTTAAACGTAACGCATGCGCTCATCTTTTCTCTACTTTAGGATTTTATCCTCTGGTTTAAACACTTTATCAGATAAGATAAAAAGGGCTTGGTTCATCAGAGAAACGGTAATCATAACTCGTAGATTTCACTCCAGTTTATGTTTTTCGGTGCTCGAAACAATACCACATCTCCATTATGGTTACTGTTATGACGATCGGTGGCATTGCCTTGAAAGTGCTTAAATTGGTAAGTTAAATTATTTATAATAATTTTGAAACTCATTTAATTTGTTTATTATCATTTTAAGTATTTACTTATTTCATAAAAAACATGAGTTTTGAAATAAGATGAACAGTTACTGTTTATTACATGGAAATTCAATTTTTATATTAGATGAAAAAATAATATTACAAGTAGAATTTTAATTATAAGTATTTAAAGAAGCATTTTCTCTCATATAAATTTATTTTGATCATTGATAAATATTAATAAATCAGTATCTGCAACTGGTGAATCAACATTTGGTAGTCTGGTAGAATTATTTCATAATATTAATTTTAGTTGCTGAGAATAAATAAAGTGATTTCATAACTAATTTACATTATAATAATATCTATTATAGTCTTCTATTTGATGCATTGAAAGAGAATACTCAGAGAATTTCTGATTCACCTGTTGGCACGTATCAGTGAATGATAACGAACGTTATTCGTAGAGATAATTTCATGGGTGACACATGCTCAGAAAGAATATGAAAACAATACTTTTGATCAAGTTTTTTTTCACAGTTCCGCCTTATTTTATTGTTATTGAAATTACCTGATTCGTTAACACAATTTTTGAAACTTTTATTCATTCATGTGCATGTTTTAAAAAAATTATTCATTCATGAATTGATAATTTATAAATTTTATTCATTCATTGAAGAAAAGTTAAACTATAATTTTTTGATTCATATTGATTTCCAGGTGATGAATTTGATAATCCTTATCCTGTATCGGACCGGATATGGAGGAGAGTTCTTGGGGGTCGGCGGAACGTGGAACCTAAATGAAGACAAAAATCCGGACGCCGAGATTGTTGCATCCGGTGTCTTCGTAGGTTTTTTTATCTATACAAGTGTCGTTCTATTGACATACTGTTTTGGAACGACAGAACATAAGAAGACTCTCGTGGTGAGTAACAATATGCCCAAAAACTTTCTAAAATCACTAAATAATAATTTTTTATTCTTTTATTTTCATCGTTTTTTTTTTCTCTTCATGGCTTATTTAACATATTCTAATTTTTCTAGGAAATTATTATGAATTTTGTCGGAATGTTTATGTTCATTGCTGTCGGAGGTACTGCATTGCATTATTGGCATGGATACCAGTCGGAGCATAAATACCTTCATGTCGCAACTGAGAGACAGGTAATTTTTATCATCAATAGAAGTTATTCTAATAATGACAATTAGATGTTAACAAAGTTAAATGCATGTCAAATGAAAACATCCCTGCTTCTGTCCTATATCTTTATCTACCCATAACTGTCTCATGCATTTTTTCAACAATCCTACCGTCCATGAATTAAATAATTACTTTACATTAATTAATTTAAATTATTTTTTCTTTTAGATTGGATTAGCTCTCGGCTCTTTATGTGTCCTAGAAGGTGCTGCATATTTATTGGACACTCTATTGAGTTTTTATGCCTTCGCTAAAGAAGAATTTCATTAATAGTTAAGGATTCTTTTGTTTTTTTATTTTATTATAGGAGGATTTTATATATAAGTAGTATTAAATAAAAAATAAAATTTGATTAATACGTAAAAATGAAATTCATTGAACGTTTAAAAAAATTATTTATAAGTTCTCCTTACATGATAAAAATACTTCATTGGGTAAGATATTAATTTTGATTGAAAATAAAATTTTTTATTATAAAATTGAGATTACTAAAATTTATTATTGTTTTAACCTGTATAAGGTTATGTGATTTGATAGAGTTTACAATTTCCAGTGTCTAGTTCTTGTAAGTTTAAGTGTGCTACTCCAATATGAGAGTTATGAAATAACACCCTGGTTGTGGATAATCTACTGTATCAATTCCATCACATATTTCCTGATCGTATCAGTCATGTTAATTAATTGCGTATTAGTAAAAAATCCAGAGGTTCTTGATTTTTATTTCACAATCGCTGGAATACCAATGTACTTAATTGCAGCGATAGGTGGTATTATTCAAGAAATTAAATTTGAACCAGAAGATGCCCAAAATGGGCCAACCCAATTATATTTGGCAGGATGTTATATTGGTCAGTTTCTCAAATTAATTATCAACAAAATCACTATAATTAGCAGTAGAAAATTGCAGTTATTTTTTTTAACAACAATTAATTTTCCGGCATTAAATAATTGTTAAGCAATCTCAGTTACTTTTATGACATTTTAATTTTCAGGTATTTCATTATTTATGATAGCACAAATATCGTTGGCAATATTCTTTCGAAAGGGTAGTGAATCACAAACTAATGACACATCAGCAGGAAACAGTTAGAAAATAATTTCCATTTAATAGCAGATGTAAATGCTTCAATAAATGTTTGAGTGTAAATTGTTTATATTCTGTTTAAAAAAAATCCATTTATAAATATTTTTAAGGACTAATTAAATGGTAATTGCTATAAACAAAAAAAAAATCAATGTTATAATTTCATTAGTAGAATCTTAGTTCAAAGAGTCCTGCACATTCCAACCAAATATTCGAGTCTATCAACACCAAAAAATAAAGTGTGGTCAAATAAAAAATTCATTAAGTATTTATTGATCTCTTTAGATACTATTGTCATTACTCCAATGCTTTGAATGACTGCTAGCTACTTCTCTACTATTTCCTACTCTTATTCGTCTATTTTAATCTACTCGTTTACAACTGGATATATTATGATGATGATGATGATGATATTATTGTGTAATGTTGAGTTATTACGATTATTTCTTATTGAGTTGATTTAATTACTGTAAGTAATTTATTACTAAATAATCCCACGATTCATACCAATACCAATACATAACAGTAGCAACTAGCATAATTTTTTCAATAATTTGCCTAATCGTTTTCTTGATGAATTAATGATTAATTAAAATAACAGGATAGATGTAGATTTTTTTCTAGAAATTATTCTTATATGATTGCAATACCAACCACCAGAGCAATTATTTCATCATTTTTCTAATAATTTAATTAAATAAAAAAAATTCATAACCAGTAAATACCCAAGTTAATAAAAATTGAAAATTATTTCTATCATCATCTTAAGTCATTTGTTTATCGTTGTATATATATTTGTAAACTTGTATCATTCCTAAACAACTTCAGAGAATACTTAGAAATGGTAAATAAATAAAAATGATTAAACTTATATCAAATGTACGAACACGATTGAATCATCCACCTCCAAAAAATGCAGCAAAAATTCTTCTGTTGTGTAAAATTAATGGACTGGTAAGATAATTAAAACTTTCCAATTAACTGATTATTTATAAGCCTAACCAAAATTCATTTCTAGATATGTTGTTTAGCAGCAACAATAATTCTAGCATTTTTACCAAGTACTTTCCTCTATTGCTGTTTAATTGCCTACGCACTACCAGGATTTGTATGTGGATATATAATTGTCAACTTCATTGGTGTTATCACCAATTATTCCCAAGTTGATTTAATCACTGTAAGTGATAAAATCATATTACTTTCAATCCTTTATTAATTCAATTAATCTCCATTTCCTTATTGCAATATTAATCTTAACATTCTTCTTTTAAAAATTTATATTATAACTTCTTTTGTAACAGGATATCTGCTTTTCTATTTGTGGTATATGTACCAATCTGTACGTTTCCATTGATATTGTTGTAGACTGGGTACTGTGGTACAGTCATGATCCAACTGTTACAACTTACATTAGTCACTATGGGTAAGATAACTCTTTTATATTATTTCCAATACACTTTCATGCGATTATTCATGCGACAATAATCCAGCTGAAATTTGTATCTAATTTTTAAAAATCTATTTTAGAACAGAATTTCTAATCCTATCGACGGTATGTCTTGTAAACGTAATCACTATGTTCATTCAGTTGGTCTATAGTTGTCGTGCAAGTTTTCACCAACGTGTTGCAGAAGAAACAAGACCTGAAACTAAGGAATAATCTCATGAATATAATTAAATGCAGTCACTTAGTCTAACTCGTTTAATTATCTCAATTTGACATTGAAACAGTCTATTATATATGTTCTACTCATACATAATATTGTATTTTATTAACCACTACCCTAATTATCGTGCTGGCATTTCATTATTGCGGATAAACTCAAGGGAATCAGAGATATAGAATAACTTGGGGATAATTCTATAAGAGCAAAGAAGAAATGAACCAATTGATCTACATGACCCTATGATCTTTGTCATTTTACCATTGCTAGTCTGAGTTTTTCGCCCACATAAGCCGGATGACCGGATGATTGCTCATCAACTTGTCTTAATTTGTCTTAAGTCTTAAGTAAACAAGTGATAATTATGAAAATTTAATGTATTCCACCGGATACCTATGGATTCATCAGTTCAATTTCCTTTCTTGGATAATTAACCTTTGAAACTCACCTCCTTCTATTTGATTGGGTTTCATTGATCATAAAAAAAATTTTTTTTTACAGTTATGAGTCTTCATGGAGTTTATGTTACTTTTTTACTATTTTATTTCTTGATTGATTAATTGATAAATAAACATTAATTATTTAATTGAATCTAAGAGCGAAAATTTTTATTAATTGTTCATAAGTACTCAAAATGTATGTTGAAATACTAGTTGATAAATAAAAAAATTATTTTAACGATTTTAGGGTTAAAAAAAATTATAATTTAATTAAAAAATCCAAGAATTAATCATGTACTGTTATTTGTTGATAAGAAAGATTAAATATATTAAGTTTACTAGTCCAAATAATTTTTTTGAGCGCTTTGGATTCTATGCGATGCATGTCTGATCATCATTTGTTGAATAAAAAATGATTCCTTAGAGTTTTATGCTCTACAATAATTTCTAGACCATTAAAAACATGTGCAACAGCTGTCTATACACAGTTCATTGAACAAAAAGATAAAATACAAATTGTCAGATGTAAAATTGGAAATGATTTGTAAACTACCTAATATGCATAAAAAAGTATATTTAATTATGACTCATAAGATAAAAAATTATTTCATTAAATTTAGTTCACTAAAATAATTTCTAGATCATCACAAGTGTATGCAATGCATGCCTGAACATCATTCAATGAATAACAAATAAATATATTGAACTTGATGCTCCAAAAGCATTTTTAGATCATCTATGAATTAGAAGAATTTTTTAAATTATAAGTAAGAATATGTAGCAGATAGACAGTGTTGGAAGCATGTACTGCGTTGATATACGTGTTGTATTATAAATATTGAACTCAGGGACAGGATGTTTTTCATATAAAAGATCGATTTCTACAAGTGCACGATGTGCAACGAACCTTGAAGAGGGGTCTTTGCTACGACCTGTACATTGCATAGTTAGATATTTATCTACAGTTAAGCATGTACAGTAAGTTTAAGTACAGAGGAAAGGTGTAACTACGACGCGACCCTATTTTCTATAGGCCTTAGCTGCGATTCAACTCGCACGATATACATACAACCATAGTGGATTCTTTCCAACACGTAAAACATCATCGTTTTGCCGATCGATAGACGACCACAAAGCAACAAAACAAAGCTACCAATGCTTTTTCCTGGTTTCTACTTACACTCTTATAATAGCTTTTTATTTCATGTGGAACGCTTAGATTGTTTAAGACCGCTATCAAGCTTTTCCTTCGCAAGATTGACGTGGTTACTCTGCAATTTATATCATTTATTGGATTTAGTTAAAGTAATGAATGAACTGCGAAGATTTAGAAAAAATTTATTCATCTAATTTATCAATAAAAAATCATTTGAGTTAATTTTGAGTTAAAAATCAACTTGTTGGAACACTTTTTAAAATACAAATTTATTTACAATATATTAAATAATTATTAATATATACTGATCATTCATGAAATTTAAACAAAAAAATATTAAAAATATTTGCTTTGAATTTATTTTAAAAAATTTTCTTTACTTTGCATATAAAAAATATTTTTTCAATCAAAACAAAATCGTTAATCTAAAAATAAACTTCAAGGAATAATGCTAATCAATTTCTCTAACTTGAAAAGATTTAAAAATAATTCAAATAATTAAAGATCCAGTGGTTCCTGCTCGTGATATGAATTAATGATGCATTTAAGAGTGAATGAATGACCGCACCCAGACTAAACCTCAACTCTTTTCTTTTCAACTCATATATCGATGTGTTCATCAGTAGCATGTTTACCACTTACACTCCCACGCAAATGTGACGTGTAGCTATATGTATACATAATTCTTTGATACAATACAAATACACTATCCCACTACTTTGTGTTATAGCGTACGCACGATGTACTCTACACCAGGACTCGCCTTTCAGAAGTAGCCGTGCCCTGTCGCCGTCCAGACGTCGTGTCACGCTCCGCGTTCCAGTTTAAGTTGAAACTGCGACACGGTTTCATGCTCACGTCTGTCCACTTTTATTATTGTGCTTTTTTACAGTCTTATTACAAGTCTTGATCTCTTTGTTTCCTTGATGTAACCATCAATCCAGCTAAAATTATATTATTTAACAACTAAACTTCAGTTTTATTCAGTGATAAAGTGGTTATTTTATTCATACTAGACACAGTCGTTCAAAGAAAAAAAAAACACATTCAGGTGAGTTTATTTATTAAAATAGTATTGACAACTTAAAAAAGAAAGCCAATAAATTCATTTAATAAAGAAATATTCCAAGAATTCGAAGAATTTTAATTAAAATTCAATTTAAAGGTGAGAAAGTTTGGCTAGAAGTTGTGAAGACGTTGGACGACAAAGTTTAACATATAAATCGAGAGAAAAAAAAATCTATCAAACTGGGAGACGGTAGAGGTAGACCAAAAAGAGTCAGGATGGCTGACGAGAGTTTAGCAACACCTCCACCACCAAAGGAGCGCAGATCCTGGCATGTAACAATACTGATAGCAAAGATTGTCGAAGTGGTAAGTACTTTAATAGCTCATAATCATTTCAATGGATCTCTATTTACTATATAGAATGATATGTGACCTTGTCAGCAACTTTCACAAGCTTTTCTTTATCCACATTTAAGTATTTTACGTACACATAAATAATTATCACCATGTAAAGTAATGTTAATTATAATTTTCCAGATTCTTGCTATCGTCATTGTTGGTCTTATGGTAGATCCATTGAATTCTTATCAGAAAATTTTCAACAGACCTCGAACGAAGCTGGATGATGTTGCTTTTGTTTATGTCGCTGTAGCTGGTTATTTACTCATCAACGTCCTTTTTCTCATTGGATATGTGCTAGGAGACAGAATACCTAAGCGCACGGTAATTAAGTTTTTTCTTCATTATTCTCGCCTTTGATTACAGAATCATAACAAAAAATATTTAATGACTTTTTAACTTAATCAGTTTATCAGTTGCTCATGCATTTACTGACTCACCAATCATTTTTAATACTCATCAAGATAATATTCTAATGTCTTTTTTACTATGTTTAAAACTGAACAATAGTAAACCACAAATTTCATGATGGATCCTTCAATAATCAATTGTCATTCCAATCATTCGTGAAGGATATCATTCAACTTTGATGATTTCATTCAAAACAAGATAGAAAAAATTTTCTATTGTTCTAGACTTGATTTTGATTGATTCATTTTTAAACAAATTTTTTTTTTAATTCGTTTAAATATTGATAAAAAAAAAAGTTCCACGTGGTTTGTTGAACCTTGGATTCTTTGGAGTTTTTGTTTATCTTTCCATCACTTTATTAATAAATATAATCTTTTATTTACTAGAATATAAATGGTTAAACTTCAAATAGTTTCTAGTGTGTATCAAACGTTGCACAATTGTTCAGTCCCCATTGAAATTGCGTAACAAGGAATTTATTTCCGCAGGTTAATTTTTTCCTGTGATTTCAATCAAAGTATATTAATAATAGACCATAATTTTATAGAAGAGCTATGTTTTAATAGAACTCTTTTTATTCTTTAAATAACATTTATGACATTGATCTTGATGTAAATATTCATTTTTATATATAAATAACTTATTTTTATTTTTTTCAATTTATAGAGGAAATCTTCTAGAGAAGTAATTTGTTGAATAGTAATTTACTATTACTGATTTAGATTCGAAAATTATAACTTACATTAGATCTATCTAGCCTACGCCCTGGTGCTCATTTACACAGCTGAGTCACAGACTCATGCTACTAATCATACGAATAACTAATTGGTAGTCACATCAAGGCCTCGATGAGTTTACGTCGATCATTATTGTTATATTAATCTTGTAATATATCTACGTGAATTATTATAATAGAAAATGAGCTTCTCTCTAATTTTTATCGTTGAATTACGTCACGTTTTTCACGTTTAATTCATGTCACGTAAATTTTTCACGTTTCACACACATGACATTTATTAGGCATTTGCTGTTAATTGATAATCTTGACTAACAAGAAACCTAAAACATTTATGATATAAATCAAAAGTTTCTTTATAAAAATAAATACCATCAGTTCTTTAATTATTCTTAATGATTTTCTTGAAAATAATTATTTTTCACTTGGCGAAGTTTATTTGATAGCTAAAAAATTCTTCAAGTTTTTGTTTTAAATTAATGTAAATGATTTTTTTTTTCAGCTCATAATGTTTTCTACCGTGGGATGTGCTATGCATATTGCTGCTGCTAGTGTGATGGTTCATACCTGGAGGAAAGCAATGGGATCATATTTGGACTTTCATAACAATGCAATTCATTCAAGCAAGCAATACAATGATATGATATTATCAGGAGCATTTTTCACATTTGTTAATGCTGCTGTTTTGGGTGCGGATGTTTTTCTAACAATAAAATACTCGTAGCGGACTATTCCGCGACAGTACGGCGTGTCCTTGCAAGAACTAGGTCGTTACTGATCGCACAACTCGGATCTATAATATTTCATAAAATGTTAAACAATTAGAGATTTATGAAAAACTATTTTATGTCATATAAAAAAATGTTTATGACAATCAAGGCAACTGCCTAAAAGCTTGAATGTACAATGCTGTAACCCAAAGTTCAAACTTTTAATTTGTTAATTTTACTCCGTCCATTTGAAATTCATTTTTAAATTTTTTAATATTAACTTCATAATGATAGAAAGAAAATTTTTTTTTTTTAACATTCAATAGCACTTAATTAATATGATCTTAAATCGTGAATGAACGATTGAACTGGAATTGTACATAAATTTTTATAAATATTCATAACTAAAGTATATATATTAGAGGACAGTATAGAGTAGAAAAAGACATATCAATTGTTATGCACCATCTAAGGTTTTAGTTTATGCAAATATGAATTATTTGAAGCCCGCAATTATTCCGTCCATAATATGTATCGAGCGTTTATAATAATTATTATGATAAAGATATAGCTCATAGTGTATAGTTTAATAAATGTACACACGTATTTGCAAACATTAGTACAAGATAAATTATAGATGTAAGTTTGATGTGTAATTTAAAAATATTTTTAATTGTTTACGAATATTATATATTTATGGAAAATTTACATTAAAATTTATTGTCATTAAAAATGGATTTTTTAAATTTATTATTACTCAACAATTATGATATAAATTCAATTCTATATATTTTTCTTTCTCATTAAAAATATTATAAGACTTGAAAAAGTAAACAAATGATGTTCGTTTAGCTGTCAAGAGCAACGAAGCAAGAATAGAGGTTGACTAATTATCTGAATGGATGAATTTGGAAAAAATAAGTTCATGCTTAAACTCATCCACGGGAGAGTAATTTAACTATTATGACATCCAAAGGTACATGTTGAAATTTTTTTATTTTAAATTGTGTATTTAAATTATAAACTAATTTAAGTGACTCATTGTGTTTGTTGATACTTAAAATACAGAAAAAGTTCAGTATAATGATGATGAAGAAGTAAATGATACATATAACAAAATAGTAGAAAGAGCTGCTGTTCGAACAGGTTGTTTAGATGGCTATCAGAAACCTTGGTACCTAATTTTGACATTACCACTTCGGATAGCTGAATTTGTAAGTTATTTAATTTAGAACAATGTTAACCTTGAACTTTTTATATAATTTTAATGTTCGTAATTAGCCAAAAAATCTTTGAACTAATTTATTTATTGAATTGTTTTTAATGACAACATCAATATTCGTGTAATTCATTTATTGTAGATAACAACGTTACTTTTATTTGGGGTAGTAGTTTTCTTATCAACAGAAGAAGAAAGTGGATTACGTGACACAACAACAATTTTTATGGTCACTCTTACAACATCCTATCTATTTTTTGCATGTATTCAAATAATTGCTCACTTTACTGGAAGTAATCTTCCCGAGTATCCAGTATGATTACTTTAACTTAAATAATTCAAGCTATCTATTGATGCATTAAGTAACATCAAATAAATTTTAGATATATTACAAAACTCTACTTTTTATAGTTTGTGTTCTTCAATTTTTTGGGTATGTGTTTTTATATGGCTGCAGCATTTTCAATACTTTATACAGCACCTACAAAATCCTGGGGACGATTATCAACATTTCTTTTATGTTTTTTGATCAGTGGCTTCCACACAGCTTCTGTTTTAGTAGTATTAATGTAAGTAATAATATTAAAATTTGTATCATGAATTAAAATGATTAAATTGAATTAGATTTTGGAGAGAAAGGTTCAGAGCTATGCAAAAATGTAGTATAAGAGGATCAAATAGAATATATCCATCAACACAAATGTTGTATTCGAGAGGTTCTGGTGGTTTTGATGCAGCTACTGTAATATTTTATTTTTATATTTCATCAGTAAATTCAGTAAAAAATGAAATTATAATAGATAGCTTCAAATTTTTAAATTAAGACTTGTCAATGTGAAATGGCAACGAGTGTAAGTCATTGTGGAGTTTTGGAAGAAGTTCCTGATGACATAGCTATTGAAGCACATGGATCAAGAAAAATAGAAACAGGTCATAGACGTTCATATGTAGATAAACATTGCAGTTGTCTTGAAGTTGCTGTACCAAAAGCTATGGAAGTCCAAACAGATTGTGGACAAATTACAACAGAAGAAACTCAAGTAACTATTATGACAAACCACTTTCTTAAAGTTACTGTTTAGATGAAATATAGTGGAAATATTTCTTTTAGACATGTTTGGAAGTTAAAGAAATAATAATTCAAACATTGAGTAAATGTGAGCTTTGTAATCGTCAAATGGTCGACCCTGAACCTACTCCAGTGACTCCAGTTCCCTCTGAGGAAATTCCACCTGAATCTCCATCTCTAAGTGTAATATTAGGAGTACCACAATCAACACCACCTACACAAAGCATATCTACTCCTCCTCAGGTTCCAAAGGTTGTCAATCAAGCTACTCAGAGTGGCTGTATTATGCCATGTCCTAACGCAAGCACTCCTACGCCCTTTTATATTATCCCTGGAGGATTAGGATTAAGAGATGGAATGAATCCTTGTTGTGGAGCGTAAGATATTATATTAACATACAATCTCTGATATAATATAATTGATACTTGCTATTCTCGTTTGTATCTAATTTATTTCTTAAGTAATGCATGGAGTTGTTGTGAATTCAAATCGTTGTATCATTTTCAGTTGTAATTGTGGACATACTCCTAGTATACCATCACAACTACACTGTTGTCCTCCCAAAGAACCGGAACCAAAACCATTGCCACCGCCGACACCAACACCACCACCACCTCAGCCGTCATGGACTACAACTTGCGAAACACGAGTCGTAGAACCAGGACCATGTGAAAAAAGCTCATCACGTGATCGGGGTGCGAATAAAAAACGTCGTGTGAAAAGAAATTCGCGGAATATTTAAATAATTCATTTTACAGATTTAGTCGTAAACCCGGGTGACAAAACAGCAAGGATAGTATGCCCGGGCATTGAGCCCTGTAAGATTAGTTCGTTACTTTATTTATATTATTTTAATTATCTATCAAAACTAATGTAGTTAAATTAATTTATTTATAACGGTTTTAAATAACATTAAATATTTTAATACATAAAAATGGTTTAACTAATTCTAAAGTCCGTGATAACAATCAGAAAATATTGGAGAGAGCGGGGCAAGACGGCCAATTAAGGAAAGATTTAGGATGATAGACCGTCTTGCCCCGCTAAAAAATATTCTGTTTCCTTTGTCTACAGTTAAAACTTTATTTTCAAGAACACGCGAATTTTATTGATTTACTTCAAGACAAAAAATTTGGTTGATTATATAAATATCAAGACCCTTTTGCCCCGCTCTCTCCTTATCTTTTAGTGGAAGAAATGCCAAGGTGACGTTAAAATAAAAACCTGCATGCAATTATTCTTGCTTATTCCTACAAATAATTACCAAAATTAATATCTTTAGCAAAGTTTATTGATCTATTTTCAGATACACAAAAAATGCACAAGATAAAAATAGCAACCAAAGTAGGATCTGGAACACAGCAAGTGATTGACTGTCATTCATCTTCTGTTCTTATCCAGAAAAATAAAAAAACTCAAACCAAAGTTAGGACATATGTCTGTGCCTCTGAGGAGAGCAGTGATGAAAAAGATGACAAGTTGAAAAATTTTTCAAAACTATTAAAGCTATAAAAAATAGAAAAATTATTTAAATCAAACTTGTATGAATGATAAAATGATTTAATTTTCTTTATTTCAGGAAACCTTGTAGGTGTCGAAGGGTTTTACACGTGAAAAGTCAAATAAAAGGAAGTAAAATGCAACAAATCGATGAAGATTCTGAAGATTTTTGTAAAAGAAAAGGTCATTGTGGAACTGAACAAGTATTGGCAATTACAGAATCAAATATAAAGAGTAGTAAAAGAGTAAAACCTTTATATCGAGAATCAATAGAAGAGAAAAAATCAGGGCATGATAGCAAAAGTGATAACGATAAAGAAAAAATAGAAAAAATAATCGAAAAAGAATCCAAAACCTATTATCAAAGTGAATTAACTAAAGAAATATCAACAAAAGAGATATCAGCAAAAGAGATACCAAGAAGATTTAAAAGCAAAGTTAGTCCGTCACCATCTTATACTCAACCAAGTCAGGAGAGAAAGAAAACCGAAGAAACTCCACCATCAAAGCCTGCATGGCAGCGATCTAATAAAGATTATTCTGGCGATGATAATCCTGAGGATGCTACAGTACGAATAGAGGATGTAACAGATGATAATCAACGACACTCGACACAATCCCCCGTAAACTATCTCCCACCAACTCAAAACAGAACCTCAAGGGAACCTCAAATTGACCAGTCTATCAAACCTTATAACAAAGAGCCAGATGAAGTGCAAAATGAATTTCCTGAAGAATTTTAATAGATAAAAAAATCTCAGAGTCTATAGATGTTATTTTCCAATCATCTTATAAGGCTTGCAGATCACATAGACATAAATATAAATATAGTGATGATAAAATTTTTTATAAGTATAGGATATACTTTTTAGACTTATTTTTGTTTTAAAATAATTTTTGAAATTTTTACTCTGCTTAAGCTATCAAATTAGTCAATCCAACTACTTATATGTACTTAATTAAATGTATTTTCATGAAATAAAAGATTTACAGTTTAGCAAACAGTATATAAATGATTACAATAAATTTTTAAAACATTATTAATAATCAAACATAGTAAAATTATGAATATTATCGATGTCATCAATTTAATCAATAGTGATAACAACAATCAAAAATTTATTTCTATAAAGTTATCTAAATAATACTTTGATTGTATTAATTATTTGTTCTATTTTTGAACCATGCATAAAAGATATATAAAGAATTAATTAACTTTTTTTTAATAGATTATGTAATCGTGATCAATCGTTATAGCATTAACTGAGTTATTATAAAAATTTAGCAATTATGCATAAGTAAAAATCAACTTTGGCCCATTTTTTGGCATCATATCCTTAAAAATTTTTATTGTTGATTGATTAAAATAATAATCAATATTATATTAATAATAAAATGAAAATCAAATATCTCAATATATCACGATTAGTTTAAAGATATTTTCATAGAGAAAGATAATTTTTGAAATGTAATAAAAAAAGAGTTAAGTACAATTTATGTACGATAAAAAAATGAAGATAATTATTTAACATTTTCTGATAAATTTCTATTTAATATAGGTCTGGGATATTGTTGAAAATTAGGTTTCATTTTACCTAAACCAAATGCTTTTGTATCATATTTTGGCATACATGTGACTCCCATATTATTGAGAGTGATTCTTTGAGTATTTTCATTATTACAAAAGTTATAAAAAGGTTTTATGCCATTAATATTATTCAAAAAGTTTTGATTATTTTCACAACAATTATCGTTAAAAGAAATTCCAATGTCTGATGGCATTGGAATAGCATTGTAATATTGATTATTATTAACGACTCCTGGATAATAATTTGGCATTTGATTATGATTTATAAAACTACCAGAATTATTTGGTATTTCAACATGCCCTGTTTTATTCATATTTTCAAAATTATTCTGTTGACCTAAATTCCAATTAGGATTGGGGAAATTAGGTTGAACATAGCTGTTTCCATTGGTCATACGATTATTGCCATTAGACATTAAACCATAGTTGTGATTGAATCCGTTGTTCACCATCGAACTGAGGAGTCCATTTCCTGCATAATTTGGTCCAGGTTCCAAATTAAGATAGTTATTGAAAAATTGTGAAATATTTTCAACAGAAAGACATTTATCTTTGTTAATTCCATCTCTTAAAGAACTTTGAGAATTCAAATTCATCATGGAACTTGATCCAATGCGATTATTGTTAAAAGAAAGATTTTGTAATGAAGCTGAGATTGCTGGATTCGACAAATACATAGGTTGATAGTTCATTGCATTTCTCAGATTGTTTTCTTGATTGAAAAAAGGACGATTAAGAATATTAGTTGTTTCTGGATAATTGTGATAATTACTACTTGTTTTAGAAAGATCCATATTCGATCTGTAGTTTCTTGAATTTCTGTTGTTATTATTATTATGAATACTATTAAGGCTACTATGAGATCCTCTCATTTTAGCCATTATTGATTGTTTTGAAACTGGCCGCAGTGACAAATTGAGATTGCTTTTACGTAGATCATTTTCAGACATGGCACGTTGTTTATTCGAATGATTTCGAAAATGAACGAATTTCTCCCTTTTTTGACGTCCTGAAAAGTTACTTCTCATTGAATTCCTAGAACTTCGTCCGGAATCTTCTTCAAAAGCTTCTTTATCTTTCGAATTAAGAGACATATCTCCATTTGCAGTATCACTTCGATAGGAATTTCTTCTACTCCTTTTATTTATACACAAATTCGTTTTCGTTATTTTTACTTGACCATCTTCATCAAGAACTCCGCTTTCCTCAATCTTTTAGTCAGCAAAGTTGAATTTTGTTTGGGAAAAAGAAATGGAAAAATTTTTTATTAGTTCTGTGTTAACTTCAGCTTTAAAAGAGCCTCATGTTTGCATTAAATCAAGAATTTTTAAAAATGGTTGTTTCTTTTTTTGAAGAAATTATCGTAGAGCAGAGATCGCCGCATTTATTAAATTAAAAAAAAAGTACTCCATATATCGCTCATCATAAATTAATATTAATTTTTATGCTTAGCTATCTGGATTACTAAAGAATTTGATGATAATCTTTGACCTAAATTTCATCACTAAATTTTGTAATTAATGGTGAAAAATAAATCGTCAATTTTCTGAAGGCTTTTAACATTAATTATTTTAAACTAATTATTTTCTGAGCCCATTCTACTTAAATTTAATCAATTTTAATTGAATTTTACCTAAAATTGAAATTATAATATGAAAAAATAATATATGAATAAATATAATTAACTAACCATTTCTGCTTTAGCTAAGTAAACCCAGAGACGGCGCCATGTACTGAATTTATTTTGATCACTAAAATTAAAACGCATCTCTCTTGATGCATATCTAGTTGACAAAGGGCTTCTATAATCTTGATATACACCAAGCTCCGACATTGTGACTTGTTAGTATAATTAACAATAAAAAATTTAAAAAAGTACAATTCTCGTAACAAATAACCCGAACACAATCAGATGTCGTTGGTTTAAACTCATATAACTGAATGCGGCTTAATTATCAGTACAGTGCTGATAACAAACATTAATGACGCTAAAAAGTGACATAATATTCATCGTCACTGACGCTTCTTGTCATTATCTACTGTCCGCTTAAAATTTATTAAAATGACATAATCTCATATAAACACGTTTTAGTAAAATTATTAGTTTATTTAATTAATTGTTATGTCGCAAAAAAAATTCTGATTGATAATCAGACTGACTGTGTCATTTTACCGGCAGCTAAAATATTGATTTAAAAATTTTCCCATTAATTATAATTGATATTAAATAAAATTATTAATTTTTGATGGAACGTACATGCAATAATGAACAAATTATTGTAAATTATGTAAATTAACGAACCATTTCTGCTTTAGCCAAGTACAGCCAAAGGCGACGCCACGTGCTGAATTTATTTTGATCACTAAAGTTATAACGCATTTCTTTCGATGCATATCTCGTCGATAATGGACTACGGTAATCTTGATATTCACTAAAGTCAGCCATTATTGTCTATTATTCAATAAAACTTGTAATAATCGCGGAAGAAATGTACACAACAATTGTAACAAACAATTGCGGTGCTAAAACGCCATTAGATGCAACAGCGCTCGTAGTGACGACTAACACAACTTTTTAGTTATTTCTATCGGTAAAATCGAACATACTCAAATGGTAACTATTGATATTAATTTTTTTAATTTGACTGCCACGTGTTAATGAGATAATTATGACGATTAATTAGTAAATGGAGTATATTCATAAGATACATTTAAAAAATTATAATATTATTCGTGAAATAGTAAATTCAAGAAGTGACGATAATGACCACTAAATTAATGAAATGTGTTAATTTTTTTTCTATAAACAATATGAAAATGGCATTAGAACAAAGATTGAAGTATATGAGATAAAACACTGAGCAGTAAGTTTTTAAAAATGATAACTAATATTCAAAATAATTTTTAAATGTATTATTATCTCATAGAATTTGATCATAACATAATTACAAAATTAATCTAATTTTTATGTTTCAAAAAAATAATATTATTTTCTTTTATTATAATTTAATAATTCAAATTTTTAATTATCAATTTTATTAGCCTGAATCTCTATTATTGGCTCCTAATTATAATTAGTCGTATTCTAATTAAATTTATTAATATTTTATTCGTTTTATAAAAAATTGTCAATATATAATTAATATTAGAAAATATATGAAAAATGATAAGATTAAACATTCAGGAAAAATGACGAGTTTTTTCTTCCCTTGCTAATATGAAACAGTTGACGACGAGCAAGCAATAGATAAAGATAAATAACAGAATATATGAAAAGCGATAAAAACGATGCTATTCGAAAACTGTGAGAACTTTTACATACAGAACAGTTATTTGTGAGTGCTTCAAGTGAAAAGAATATGAAAGGTATACTAATTATGAATTAAAATGTTTTTTTTTTTCATTAATTAACAATAGATCGATATTATCTTTAATTTATATAAACAGTGGTAGTAGAATAATCACGATTACGTTTAAAGTCAAATCTCAAGTCTCGTAATGTCTATAACTACTACTTCAATAGCCTTATCAGAAAGAATATTCACCAGTGAATAATGATCACCGAGTTGAGTAAAAGATTCTTAAATCCTAAGAAGGGAAGTACCCACGTTCTAATTTTCGCGTGAGATTCTTAGTGACCAGTTATTGTTCTCCGTTCATGGCCAATACAATACAATGTAAAAAGCAACGATCTTTAGACGTTTGTCTTTTCTCTTGATTTTTGCAAACATGATAGATTCTTTATTTTATCCACTAATTCTAATCTAAATTAATATTTCTATGATTTCTTTTCAAATTTTTACAAAATGAAAATAATAATAAAATATGTTATAATAAAATTTCTAATTGAATTATTGTTAATAAGATTAATTTATTTCAATGACTAAATTATCATGCTATTAGTCTACAACATATTAAGTACTAATGGCACATCTATTGAAATATTTATTGTGCACCAAGTACATAAATTTGGTTGTAGTGTTATTTTGAAAAAAATGATTAATAATTATATATTGAAATCATTAAATACTTACAACATTTTGAACATTCACATTAGGGCAAGCCCAATCAACCGAGAGTTCAGTTCCTTTAAAGAAATTAGTCCTATCTGGTACCAATCTTCTTCGGGCCATAGCAGCCCCAATGTGCGTTTTGTATAAAATTATTGCATTTTTTATTCGGCCATCTTGATAGCGATATACTGAAACTTTAGCTACGTTGTCCGTGATTTCGTAAATTTTCTGCGAACAATTGAAGTCAAGAATAACTTTAATAAAATATAAAAAACTTATTGAAGGGATATGTCTTCACTCTTTCCTGAAAATTATTACTAACAAAGAAAATTAAATAATAAATTATTCAATAAATGCATGCACTGTTCGCTTTATTAATGCTATTTATTATTTATATTAATGTGCAGAACAGTATGTTTTTATTTACACTGGACTCTTAAACTTTTCCAGTATTTTTTTTTATGCTAATTTTTTGTTGAGTAATAAGCAGATAATAAATGACTTATATGGGCTCTTACTTTGATAAACGTCTCGACATTCAGGTTAGGCGGTAAATGATTCACACATAGTCGACAATTGTTGATACTTGCTACAACACCGATCCGATGACCAGGACGAATTTCATAATTGCTTAATTCTTTAATGGCGCGCTTTGCATATTCTGGTTTAGTGTACATTACAAAGCAGTAGCCTCGATTATTTCCAGAAAAATCCATCATGAGACGAATTTCATAAATTTCTCCCATTTTAACAAAAACTGGGAAAATTTCATCTTCATACAAATCACGTGGAATTTTTCCAACAAAAACTTCGCTTTCAGGATCTGGTGGAGGCCCAGTCCAATTAGGGGGTGGTCCTAATTTCCTTTGTCCGTTTACTTGTGTAATTGGAAATCCACAATCGGATATGAACTGAATCATTTTTTTAACTGTTTCAATTTGATTCTCAACTTCTTTATTATCTTTTTCTTCTTCAATATTTTCAGGAACATTTGGAATTGATCTTTTCCAAGTACGCTCTGGAAAGTTCATTCATAGAATCACCAATTAGATAAAATTCTTGAAATTTTTATTATTCTTATTGTAAATCAACGTAACGTTAAAAAAAATTAATTCACTTTGAACAACAACAAATAATGATAATATTAATATAATTAAAATAAAAACTTACTTGACATATTGTTGAAGTAATAAAGTGGTTGATTTATTTTACCAGGTTGTTTTCGTGATTGTTCGTTATTATGGTCTTCCCAAAGTGACCCTAATTGATATATGGATTTGATAAAACCAGCATTTTCATTTTGATTTCCACTACTTCCATTCGATGCCATTGTAATTATAATAAATTTAAAATATCCAATTAGATAATTCAACAAACAAAAATGTTCTTAATCAATTTAAATGATGTAAAACATGTTTTAATGACAGAAAATAAAGCTATTAAATTTTTTAATAAGAAAGATTTCCAAACAACATTAGGTAATTTAAAATAAAATAATTCAATTAATTATTTCAAACATCCATTTAATTTCATTACGATATCGTACTACGGTTTACTACGTTCTACATCACTAGACACAACAGATCACCCTGATTGAATTAGGCAACGAACACGTGTAAGTCCTAAAGGATTCTGAACTCATCTCACTTATGTCAGGCGTATATGTAACAAGTAGTGGGGATACTAACAGTGGTTAGGTCCCATCGTATGTTTGACACTGTTTATGTGTTCAGTTTTGTTGGTAAAAAAAACAGAACTTTCGAGATCTCGATAGTCATTTCTTTATCGAAGGCATCGATTCTTCGAATAATATATACGAGAAAGTCTTTATTGCGAATGATATAATGTCACAGTCATCTTTCTCTTCGTGGAAATTCCGATACATTGTCGCTGACCTCTTCTTTATTATCGTTAAATAATGAATAAATGTAAATATGTAAAATCTTAGAGGCGTAGTTATTACTATATTTGTCAGGAACTTTTTTTAGATTATTTCTAGTGGGAAGTTTTATCTTTTATTCTTTATAAGTCAACTAAAATTGTTGTTAATAATGTTGAATTACAATTACAAATTGTAAAAATTTTTTTTTTAAATAATTCGAGCAAATTTCAAAATTTATTCCCACTTAATGTAACAAAGTGAACAAGTTGAACTTAGGTTAGATTCGCTTTCATTTTAAACTCAGCAATTAGTTCAGTCGTGGAAAGAATTAATTCACAAAGTAGCATCATATGTTCAATTGTCATAATAAATCTGCAGCCTTTCCCAATCTTTTTGCATCATAAGAAGTATATAACGATTGATGTAAGCATATTTCATTTTCATTTTATTTTTTCCATTAAAATTAAGTGTTTATTCTTTCTACTTCAGGTCGTTGTAATGATGTCTCGAAGAATACAAACTAGACAAAATTGTTCTTTATTTCACCATGACTTCATTATTGAAACTTATGTTAATATTCAACGACTGATGAAAAAATAAAAGTAAAGGTGAAAAAGGTTCCTGAGTGATTGACGTATTTAATATCCTTATTTATGGTGACCCATGAAGAGCCTTGCATTATCCCACGTCATTGCGCCGCGCAATAGTAGCATTGTTCTTCAACCGAAGCTAAACTGAGTATACATACGCAAGCCTCATTACGTGACACTGGTCCACCTGCAACTTGAACACAAGCCCCGCTATGTTTTCACTCGTCAGTCTGAGTTGGTCGTCGACAGTCTGCTGGTCTCGTCTAACATCTTATTACTCGTTTTGACAAGTTTATTTTACTTATCTACTGACTTGAATCACTGTAACTGGATCTACCACCTGCAAAAATAAATAGAGACTGAATTAACATAATAAACAAGGTGTTAGAATTTCTTATTTTATAAGAATTTAAAATATTAATATTTTTAATTTATTTAACAACTTGATTGAGGTGTTGACTTTTCTTAATTAACGAAAAATGATCATGATATGATTGTAATTATCAGGAAAAAAATTTTGGAGTAAATTTAAATCGGCAAGTAATGCAAAAAAGGTGAGAAGTGCGGTAAATAATTCATTTCGAGTTGAAAATTTGGAAGAAAGTAGTGACGTCATGTGGAATAGAAAAGTTTTTATTAGAATCGTCGAAGTGGTAAGTTAAAAAATTGCAATCGCATGGATGGAAAAAAAAATAAATTTAAGAGAAATGAAAAAATATAAACATCAAAAACAAGTGGAATTGAATTCAAATTAGGAAGAATTTTTAAAGCTTTGCTTGGACAATAATCGAAAAAAAAATTAATTAATTATTAAGTTGTTGCATATTTCTGTCGCATTTCGAATAAATTCACGAAATGCGAAAGAAATTATGCATAAATTTGATAATTATTGTCGACTGATCAATTTGTTGCTAAATCGCTTGTGCTTTTGAATGCCAAATTGCTTGAAGAAATTATTTGGTAATAAATAGTTTCAAAATTTTTTAAATAACAGTTTGACAGTTAAAAACAAGTATATTTAATCATCATGATGATTCAACCTACTTCATAAAAAATGGCTTTAAATTCTATTCCTAGGAAATAAGCACGTCATAATTTCAATTTTTTATTTTTTCAATTTCTTATTCATCGATTGCATGAAGACATAATTTTTTAAAATCATTATATATATGTACTATTCATATGTATAGAAACTATTGAGATTCTCTCATGTTTCAGCTCCTGTGCATTGCATGCGTGGTAGCACTTCGTGTGACTGATGATGAGAGTAGGAGAGTCTTCAATTACTTAAGATATCGTAGTAGAGAGTGGTCTCTATTGAATAATGTAACCTGGGGAACTATAGGTAGAGTATGCTGGAAAAAAAGAAACAAAGAGTTGAACAAATTTAAATAGTTAACTAAACTAAAAAATGTAGGAAGAAAATATTTTCTATTCTTCAGAAATCCTCGACCTATTTTTTATGTCACAGGTGCAGCACTGGCAACTGCGACGTGTGGTGGTTACGTGATAATCACTGCAGGTCTTCTGATTGCAGCAGCGACTGGCGAATTACGAGGTCGAAAGACGGTGAGTCTTCAGGATCGTCATCTTGAATCATTGTCAGATATCAAAACACGTTATTATTTCCGTTGCTCAATACTTCCTGCCTTCATTTCATAGAAAAAGTTCACTTTGGTGCTAGTGTTATATTTGAGTCATCATACTCATTAATAATCATTTTTTAATTGATTTAAAACATTAAATTAATGACAATATAATCTCTTCAGATTATGTTTGTTTCAAACAAAAACAAAATTATAATATTTAACTTCTTTTACAATATCATGGTTACAAGTTCTTTTTTTTCATTAACATCGTTATTTCTTAACAAACCTTAACAAACCTTAACTTTTCAAATCAAATTTTATCATAGCAATTAATATTCATATCATTATTTTAAATTATTATTAATAAAATTTAGTTACGCTATTAATTTTTAACATTACCCTACTTTTGGTCATTATTATTACTCGCTGAAGCTAATTTAATTGACATTAATGATGAAAGAAATATTTAGCAGCGTGAGAATGAAAATAAAAGCTAAGACATTGAAGAAGTTGACATTGAGATAGGAGTTTGAAGGTTTTTTAATATAAAAATCATACCACACATGTTTACAAAAGCGTTCGAGCTGAAAACTAACGTATAATTACATTCCATTTATTTAATATACTTCTTGTAAATAAGATAAAGACAGGTGATATAGTAAAAAGCTACGTAATGTTTTCTTTTTCTACGATGACTTAGTTATGTTGTTTTCATTATTACTATAGTATTACATTATTCACCTTCTGACTCATAATTGGAGCGCCAGTAGATTCCAACGGCTTCCGCCCAATCCTTGATCCTGAAGAGATCGAGGAATCGCGGTCGCACGTAATAAAACATTTATTGTACACTTGTTATGTGTATACAAGCAAACCTGTAAGAAAATCGTGGGAACTCGTCCATTCATCCGAATCATCAAAGTAATCGATGCAAGATTTAGATAGGATAACTAGTCTTCTCTTAGTCAGTATAAATACCTAGAATAATCAAGTCTAGAATGACAAGTGATGTAATTAAAACTTTTATTGCTGGGCTGGGTTTGACCTTCAATAGAAATTAAATAATTAAGACTTAATGCGAAGAAACATAATTTAGAATAATTAATAATCTCATTTTTTTTCAATCACTTCACTCTGTCATCAATGCATTTCACAAATTTTCATGAAATCTGCTTACTGTTATTTGAATTTTCAACTACTTATTTTTAAAATTAACTTTTTCAAGAAGAAGCTTCATTATTGTTAAGTAAAAAATTATTCATATTCACATATAGTATTTTTTCTTGAATATAAATTATTTCTTCTGTACATTCGTGATCTTTTGTACTGATTCATAATAAATCAACATTTATTTTTTCTCTTCTCTCTTATATAACATCATTGACCATCTTATAAATCATCCTTTAATAAGTTTATTTTTATTTTTAAGGAAATTTTCCTCCTTGGACTTGGCGTAATTCTATTTGCAATAGTTGGTGGCCTGTCTTTAGCATCAATTGAAAATGTTCCAAGTGATCTTGTGGACAATGCAGCAGTGTTGGGGGCTCTTTGTTTGATCACTGTTCTTGTCTTTATTGCTGACTTGTTGATGACCACACCTGAACAGAAGCAAAAACCAGAAAGCGCACAAATTTTAATTGACAGAAATACAGGCAAGTTAAGTGAAGGAATGACACCTTCTCGAATTCGTCTCGAGACAGCTGCTTAGATTTAAAATAATTATAATATGTGTGTCTTAATGTTTTGACAAAATTACTCAAATTAAATTAGTATTTAACTCTCTAATGATACAGCACATTGAATTCCATGACAAAATTTATTTAAGTCACTAGATTTTTTTATTGTATCATTAAAGAGTCAAAGTTTTTTTTTGCACATTTTCAATACTATTGTTGTAATATTTATTTATATGGCATCGATTACTAGTAGCAATAATAAATAACCATCAAAGAATAATTTATTAAGCATTCTTTAATTCAAGTTCGTGGCTTATTTGCTAAGAAATCAATGCTTTTCCATTACATATTTATTTAATAATAGAACAAGCATGAATATTTCGATTTCTCGAAATGTAGTGAAACCAATGACGACCCTGACAATAGAAAAGGAGCCGAAGGTATCAAAAAGCAATGGAAATAATAAAGACAAAGATAAGCCTAACGGGAATCCTGATGAAATTACTGTTAAACATGATCACAAATCAAAGGAGAAATCATCAGACTCAAGAGATCATGGAGACAAGCATGCAACAGCTCAATACCCTCCCAATACTGATCTTGGAACCTTAGCAGAACCTATCAGGGACTACGACGATGAAGACATCAAATTTATCGATGCTGAAAGACAAACACAAAGTCATTCTAATGGTAGATATCACTCCGGGGGCTCCAGCAAGTTCAGAGATGCAGAAACAATGACAAGAGATAGATACATGCATGAGAGAGATGATGGAAGGGCTTACTATCAAGGCCATGAAATGATTATGCGTCCTTTGGACGAGGCCGATACGCCTCGATTCCCTACATCTCGAGATTCTATGACTGAATCTATGTTTTCTAAGATTGTTAATCCAAGTGTAAAGATTATGAGGGTCGATCATGACAACGACAATTTTGATAATAATGGAAGGTGAAAATTTATTTTTTAAACTTGAACTCAATTTATTTTCTCGTTGAATAAACACTGGGTCCTTTTTAACAATATCTAAAATTAATCATGACTCTCTTTTATTTCTATTTTCTTACTAATAAACTTTTTTCTCTAATTACTTTTTTGTTTTTTTTTTATATCCAATACAACCAATCATCAAATTATTGTTAATTTAATCATATGTAGTACTAATTAATTTTCATAATTTTACATCATGTTAACATCATCAATTAATGAAATATTAATTGTACTATTGTTCGGTAATTTATTTTTTTTTTGTTTTGAATTAAATTATTTTTATTTACATTTATTATATCAGGTATTCCGACTCAAGTCAATATGACAATGTCCCAACACGATTAGCCCCAGGAATCTTAAAACGTGGACGAGATGCTTACCATGCACATACAGGTCGAAGTTACAGAATACCTGATAGAACAAAGGATGAAATAGAAATGCTAGAAGAATGGGTTGGAGTTTTACGAAAGTCGACGACAGGAACTCAGACTCCTTCAGCACTGCCATCATCACCTACAGATCCTGGCTACGTGAAACACACTGCCAATAATTGGCCTCGAGATTTCAAGTACAAGACTCCAGGATCAAGTCCAAATCGCGAGGATAATCGTTGAACAATATAAAATATAAAAACAAAAGAAAATTCTTTTTTGTTCATTTAATTAATTAATATACATATATAACGTTTTTTTAATACAAATTTGAGTCTTGTTTGTTCATATGTGTGATCATAACAAAGAAAATTTGTTAGTCTTCAAGATAAAAAAATCCATAATACCTTTTTCATCTTAAATTGATTAGTGTTCACGTTTCTCCATTATGTATAATTTTTATATTGTGTAATTTATTTCTTATACACTTTATAAATAAAACATTTAAAATCAACTTGATTATGAGAAACGATTGCTTGTGTTATAAGAAGTATTATGTAGTATAAAGAGATTACTCTTTAAATAATACATAAAATTATAATATTTATTTTATCATTTAACGGTTTATGACTTATTGATGGACTCGGTGTTAAAGCTTCTTAGCTTTTTTATCTTATCGCCATTAGACTTATATCAACATATTATATGTCTAAATCAATAATAATCATACCCCAACATTTAATAAACAGTTGTCGGGTATGAGAATTAATAGTAATAATGATAATAGCCATAATTAAAATTAATCAAAAATTATTGAGCTATTGTAGCGCCTTTCTAAAGTTTGGCAGCGAGTGATTTTCTTATTAATAATTTTTTTGTTCTACAAAAATAATTAAAAAATTATTTTAATGTTAGTTTAACAATTATTTAATTATTTAAGAACTTCTTTCTCATGTTTTCTTATTCATTCTAAAAATTAATATTTATTTCATATTTACAAATCCGTTAATTCGTTGACTTGAGCATTCATTTTTCATTCCAATTCATACATTATTACAATTCATCGTGCATCTTGTGTTTGTATTCATCTGTATCAACAATTTCTAATTGCAAGGCATAATGTTAATTATTGATCAATTTATAAGATTTATCATGTTAAAATAGATAAAATCTTCAAAAATTTTAAATCATTCCAGTAAAAAAATAGAAATTCTTTGGAATATCTTATCTTAAACCATAGGACATTCCCGAAGTTTGATTATTTGTCGTTCGCTGTTCCATGGTGATATATTGTCTGATTAACCGTGAGATTTCATGTGCTTGCTCTGTTTGTAATCGAGTAATTCTCTGCTGCATCAAGTTACCGCATTTCATGTCCAAATAAAGAGCTCCTTCCTCGGATTTTACTTTTCGAGTGGAGATTACTTCTGAGTAAGGATAATGATAAATTGTCTCCTGAAAAAAGAAAAAAACTCTTTAATTGAACTGTTTTTCTTTTAATTACACCTTTAAGATACTCGTTAACTATTTAAAGTAACAACATTCCATTCAACTTTGGGTTTAAAGATTTTTTTACGCAATTCATTTAACTCTAGGTTGAAAGTAAAATTCTTTCACAAGCCAGTTTCTTAAGTTCTCTTAATGAATCAGTAAAAAATCAGATCATGAAATAATTCAATGAAATAATAGAAAAAAATTATTTACATGTGACATCAAATCAATGAAGTGGACTCCATGTCTATTGAGTGCCAAAATATGATCAACTCCTTTCTCTTTTGCATTCTCAGGCACTCGTTTAACAGCGAAGAAACTCGATCCGAATAGTGGCCACTTTGAAAGTATTTCTGTAACAAAAAGAACCATAAAAATCATCAATCACTTATTATTGGTTGCTCAATTTATTTCGAAAGATTTTCGAGGAAAAAACCTCTTCTGTCTATTTTCATAAACTGATATAGATTTATCATTTATAATTAATGATTAGCTCATTAAATTGACTTATTTTTTGTGATGTTACAACTTCTTTTAGCTATATTAATGATTGATTATTTAATTAATTACTAAAGTCAAAGAAAAATTTGATAATCACCCAGCACTTGAGCCTTGCAAACTGCTGAACTATTATGTTGGATATTATTCCATGCCTGTTGAACCATATTTGCCCATTGCTGAGGCTTAGGATCTCGTAGACTGAGTGCAGGCTTTGGCAGGAGATATTTAATTTCCTTCGTCGAAGGATCATGTGTCATATCAGCTGCTCTATGTAAAAGTGCAGCAATTTGTGCCATGTCATACTGTGGAAAGTAATTAATCACACCTCAGTATAAATATTCTAGACTCATGACAGCTTCATTACAAATAAAAAAGAAATCAAAACAAGGAAGAAACAAAGATTTAAAAAAATTTAAGAAAGAATAAATGAACAAATAAATACAATTTGTAAGTTAAATATTGAAACTTACAATGACTTCTTGGGGCAAGTGTTCTCCAGGTATTACAAGTAAAAGTCCCTCTAAATAGTCTGGCGCAATTTGATTGAAAACAACTTCTATATACAACGGAGCGTCTAGTCTCAATGGATAGTACCATACAGACCTAAAAAAAATTTTAAAAGTCATGAGAAAAAAATATTAAGCCACCTATAATTAACTTTCAATTTCAGGTAATTAAATAAGCACTTAATGCGGCATTAAAAAAATAATGGGTGTTTAAATACCTGCAGAATATTAAGTAAAAGACTTGATGATTTTTTTGTAATTCTGTAGTAACATCAAGGACGTATTCATCTCTAGCTAAAGGCATTGTAAAAGCATCTCCATCGACAATACAGTACAAGGAGAACTCGTCCATTTCATGTGGATTTCTCACCGATATGATACTGCACATTTCTTCGATAACATCCTTTAAAAAAAAAAAATTAATATACACATTAATCAAATTTCATCCACAATTTTTTTTTACTGTCGAGTTACCAATTATTAATTCATAAATAAATTTAAATGTATTAATGTCAATTGATGTCAAGACTTGGATAGCTTTTTATCGATTTTAATCGAAGTTTTTATGTTTGTAAGAATTTATTCATGAGCCTTACTTGAACTACTGTAGTACATTTAGTGTTGATAACTCTTTCTGTACCACCAGGTAGTCTATAGATCTGTCTCTTGGCATTTCTTCCAGCACTGATGGCCATTATTTCTTCTACACTAGGCACATTCTTTCTTCCACCATACTTGACTGTTTTCCTCAGGTTCTGGAGACAAACTGTAGCCGTACCGTGATATGCTCGTCTTTTATCATAAGCCGCAGTTTCCAGGTATTTAATCAAGTATGGCCTGAGTCCTTCACTGCAAGTGAAGTATGCAGCAACGATGCTGAAGAGTCTCCATCCTCTTTGACAGCTGTCAGGGTTCGAACTTTTGTTATTCGTTGTTTGCTTCATCAGCTGACAGTAGACTTCATCTCGGAGAGGCTCGAATTTATGACAATGCTGGAGAATGAAATTAGAAATCAGCATTTAATTAATTAAATAAATCAACATTTATATGTAGAAATCATTTGTCATTAGTAGAAATCGTGTTTCTCGGTAAGTAACAAATAAAGAATTTATTGTGTTCAAATAAATAACGTGTTGGCGACAAATAAATTCTTCAAAGCGTAGAAAGTTATTGGTTTCACTCACCATGAGTACCGTATAAACGCACTTGACTTCGCTCATGTCTGGAGGTAATGGTTGATCACCCATGTACCTCATGAGGCACAAAAAGCACTCGACAGCAAGAGAACTTAGCTCGGCATCCAGTCTTAGAAGACTTTGTTCAATTGGAACTGGTGAAAATTTAACAAGATCAACCTGTTCTTTCCAAGTCCAATCGGTGCCGTCCTGTTGTCCTTTCTTCTTACCCTTCTTCTTACTTTTCAAGGACTCAATGACCTTCAATGAACCGCTTATCGAACCATCGGCTGTCTTCATCATCTCGAATCTGCAACACAATACCAGTTATTTTATCATTTTCTCTAAATCATCTTATCCTACAATCATACCATGGCGCCATAGGATTTACGAAATTTCTTATTTAATATTTTTTTGACATTTTATCAGTTATTTTGCTTCATAAACCAAGCAAATAAGGTGCTTTGAAAGTAATAGCAAAGTCTTGCAAGCACTTGTTTTGAGTTAGAATTGACGAGTAATACAGGAAAACGATTGGTTACTGTGTAAAAAGCTGGTTATGATGATATCGCTGTGTTATGCTTTCTCAACACAGTGTACCTGAGCGGTCGATGGACTGTATATTGCGTAAGCCCTGACCGAAGGCGAAGAAGAACATTCCATATGGATTTTCTACGTAATGGTGAGTGAACTAATGCTTGTAATGATGAGAAAAATGTAATGAGATACAGAAATTTTATTTCATTGATAAAAATTCCCATAATTTTATTTATATCATCGTGTAAATTTCTTGTAATCATTCTTTTAATTAACCGACTTTTTTTTATCATTTGTTTAAGAAATGTATCTAGGATTCCGTTATTATATTTAGAAATAGACCATAAATACCAAAAATGTCAAAACATTAGATATTTCTTTCCATTTCCTCATTCTTTTTATCGTTTTAATTTTAATGCAGCTCTTTTTGTAAAGATAAAGTATTTTGTAAATGAAAGAATTGTTGGAATTTTTTTCTAGATATTGTTAGTAATTTTTCATTGTGATAAATTAGTAGAAGTTCTAAAAGATTTAATTTGTAATATACAACCTCCAAAATTAAGTCAGTTCATTATTATTCATCATAATTTTATAAAAGACCATTCCTACAAAATATTATCACCGATAAACGGCATTGATTAAAGATTAAAACATTCAAGTATGGAATACATAAAATAGCTTGTTTACGAGTTCTTCTTTAGCTACCGTCATCAATTGACGACATTTTTCGCGAGAAAGTCGAACGACCAGTCTTCATGTATTTGGGACAGGGTTTAAAGAGATACATCTCATTTTTCATCATAACTTGTCGTGATTAATATGCGTAATAATAGACTATCTACCACTTTTCTTTTAATCCAGATGTTTTACATGCAAGGACAGGTATGAATTAACACGTCAAACATCTTAAACTGATTGATATTCACATGCAATTCATGATTGCTTTCTTGATTTCCGCGTTTACTTTTTTACCTTTTTCTTTTTTTTTAATCAAAGTTGGCATTTGGCCACACGAGCCATCGACATTTTTCTTGTGAAAGTTACTCTAATAGATGAGAGTGTTCGTCTTTTTGCTGATTTTTCGTCGCGATATATTTTGTGAAACTAATTTCATACAATTAGCGTGTGTAAATCATAAAGTAAATTGTCAGTAAGTTTAATTAATGAAATTCCGTGTGAGGATAGTCATAAAAATAATCATTATTTAAATGAAAAAAAAAATATTTAAGTGAATTTTAAATTAAAGAATTTATAATAGCAATAAAAAATTTCATGTTAAATTCTTGAATGTTTTAATGAAGTTAAATATTAAAAAACTGCAATAAAAATGAAATTTATTATAATGATTATAATGAGATGTAATTTAGGAATTAGATTTAGTTCTAATTAAATTCAACAATTTTCAGTTAATTTTTATTGAAAAATAAATCATGATAATTAACATGCTTATTAATTAAAAAAAATGAAATGTGATTCTTACTTTTCTGTACTTTGTCTGAAATTTAGCATGGCATATTGAAGCAATGAGTGCTTTCCATCATGCATAACAGGTCCAGATTCATAAAATCCTTCTTCCGGAGATTTACTAGTTTCCTCTTGTTGCCTCCACTCTTGAGTATGACTGTGATGTTGTATATTTCTCTGATTCTTTTGATGATTAGCCGTTCCATTTAATTGAATAACTGGAGATGTATGACCAGTTATTCGATTTATTGGTGAGTGATTAGTCTCACGACTGATGTGGTTTGATTGATTGTGGATTTGATTATGATTTATATGAGAATTGGTATGATTTGTTTGTGATTGAATCGACTTTGAGATTTGCGAGACGTGATTCTCATGATGGATTAATTTATTTTGCGGTTTTTGATCAATCTGAAACAGACAGAAAAACAAATTATTAATCATCAAGTAGATATTGATTTCAAGCAAAAACAAGACTGAAATTGAATGGAATTAAAATAATTAGCATTATCATAGCTATTGTGTAATCATTATCTGCATTTTAGCAAAAATTTTCGCAACTTTTTCTCCTTTAATTATTTTTTCGTGATTACGGGGGACTCTCACGCGTCGTGTCTTACCACATTCGATCTCGCGCACGCAAGAGAACAAGTTCCCCACGCGATCAAACGTGTGCTGATCTCCTCTGGTCATTTAGAACGGAATGCAATTCTTGACAGCACAAACATGGAATGCATCGATCGTAATCTACTTGGCAAGCCTTTTTAGATTACTTTTCAATAGAGTAAACAATTTGAATAAAAAACAATCAATATAATACGAAATGAATAAATGTATAAGAAATAAATGAACATTAATTGCTGGTAAATTAATTGATGCTATCAGTAGGTTGCTTGATTTCTTTGTTTTTAAATACAGCAAAAGATAAAGGGTAAACTGATACTGGAGAACTTTCAAAGAAGACATTGACACCGAGAGTGTAATCTGCACCTTCGACGTGCGCTAATATATATATACAGTTACCCTACACGGAATTAACAAGTGCGTTCTATATATCTTTTACTCTATTACTACCCAGTCGATTCGTTACACTCAGTAGTCTCGGGCTAGTAAATATAATTAACGCTTCGGTTCGTATGAATTTTTTACATTTCATTTTATTCCCATCGTCCCGAATGGCTACTCGACTACGTCTTTCTAGTCATAAATACATATAAATAAGCTACTCTTTAATATATAGACTGCATGATATTTATAACTGTTTTACGAATATTCCTAGATTTTTTTTTTTCGCTTACATAGATTTAGCTCAAAATGTTCTTGATAACGTCAGTAAACATTCATTCCTAACATTATTGAGTATGAAAAAAAATTACATGCTAATTGATTTCGATCAAGAATTTCTTAATTAATGATATACCAAGTATCCATCTTCAGTATCTTCCTTGTAATGTAAATCACTGAAGTTGTAAGCACTATCAGTTAATCTAAACTGCTGATAGAGTCATTAATATATGATTAAATTTAATAATATGTTGCTACTTAAGTGAATGAAATAAATAATCCACAAGTAAATTAATATTAGAGGAAAATATGTCTCAACCTGGTTATTCGATCGCTTGACCTTTTCGTCAAGTTTCTGCAGCGTTTCTTGAATGGTGGCTAATGTTTTATCATTGTTTTGTTGCTTCTCTTCAGCCTGTTGAGCTTCATTTTGCATTCTAAGTTCTTCAAACCTTCTTAAAATTTCCCTTACACTCAATTTACTTCCATCCTGCTTTTCCTCAGTAATGGTTTCCATTTTGGTTTTTTTCCTGTCATTCATACCACTTCCTCCTCTCTGGTCTCCTTTATTATACAGATCCTGATTGAGTCCTTCATGTCTCAAGTCCTCCACTCGGGGGTTATTTCCTTGAGGAGATGGAGATGAGATTGGAGATGAGTCGTGGATACTTTTCCTCGCATCTTCACGAGTTTCATTGGAAGATGTTGAGGAATGTCGGCTGTTTCTCAGCTGACATCCGACCTCCATCCTCAATTCTTCAATGGTCGGCTGTCTTGAACGTTCGTTTCTTGAAGACCTTGATTCCCCAGATCCTCCAAGTACTTTAGCCACATCAATCCTTGGAATGTTCTCGTACTCGTAAGTCGGAATTAAGGAAGCACTCCTGCGAGTAGATTCCTCGACGCGCTCGAGATGATCGGGACTCTTCGTGACTGGCTGCACATCCTTGGTGGTCTTCCGCGTCACGTTCTTGTTCACGTCCAGTCTGGTCTCGCACCCGGAAGACTTTCGGTTCTGCTGTCCAATGCACTTGTTCTTCTCATTCTCGTCTCGAGAAAACAATTTGGCAATTCGGCCTCTCTGACCCACTTGACCAAGTCTGTCGTGCTCGTACTTGGGCACTTGACTCTCAAGAAAAGCACCTGAGTCATCAGTATGTCCATACTCGTCGCTACTAGAGTCGGACTCTGATGATTTTACCAGTAGACTATCTGGAGAGTTCGTCTTTCTCTCTTCATCAGACAGACTCCTGTAATCGTTTTTTATTATCATGCTAGGAAAGTTTGGTTGAACTCGAGACTGATAACGTAGCTCATGAGTTTCATGAACCTTTTTGTAGTCATCTTGATAGAAAGATTTTTTTTCTATTTTTGATTTTTCCCAACCTTTGTCCCAAATAGAGGTATCTTTTTTATGATCATTTATCTCAAATTTTTTTATCAACTCTGATCGTTTGACGATTCTCCGAACATTCATTGAAGTTGGTTTGTTCTCACCCTTTCTGAATTCCAGTTCAGAAGAATCCAAAAAATCTGTATATTGATTTAAAAGTTCTGGTCGATGTTTTTGCTTCCTTCGTAGCGTCTGTGGTAATTCTTTCCAATTATTGGACATATTTCTGGAGAAGACTCTTTCATCAACCACTTCACGTTCCATTATGATGAACGAAAATTATTTCCAATGAAAAATAAAGGAAAAAAATGGCACTTGAATATTTTAACAGTCACTGCACATTAAAACTGTTTTCGAGCATCACTTGGATTTTTTCTATAAAATGAATTCAAAAATTGTAATTTTATTTTAATGTTGATCGTATAATATAACATTCTCACGCGAGCAATTTTCTTTGACAGTAGAAAGCCATAAGATTGATATTAATTTAATGGGAATGACAGAGCGCATCGAAGACGTTTCTTTTTCACATTGAAATGGGGATATAATTGTAAATTGTGACCTTAATCGGTAACTGTAATACTAATAAAAAAATGATACTTTGATAAATCCCTACAGTAGCAAAAATTATCTATTTTTTACAACAGAGTTTCCATTTCGTCTTTTCCTGCCACGCGCGAAGAACATTGTTACTTCCTCTTCCTCGTAATATTCTTAGCAGGTTGGATTTTATTTACAAGTACTCTAGAAGTGCAAGAGACTTGAAACACGTGAGAAAAAACATCATAGGGAAGAGCATCCGTGGGAGCTATTGAGACAATGATGGTTAGTTGGTTGGCTTTAATTATAATTATCCAGCACTAACAAACTCTTTTAAAACTCGTCGCCGGCAATGAGAAAAGCATAAACTTTCTTGTAAATCGCGGTCTCAACCGCACGCCCCTCATACGTGTGTCCGTGTGTATCAATATAATAGCTTTTTTCTTTTTTTTTTCAAGACTCGCTTACGCTTTTCGCGTGCTAGTTTTCACGTGACGTTTCACTGTAAGATTAAAATTGTTGTAATCTATGGGGGTGTAAACCAAGAGAAACTAAATGTGATGACAATTGAATATAAAAGCATGTAGGTAAAGTGTAAACATTTTTCTAGTCTAGAAAACAATTTTTTCTTTACGTAATTTTGTTGTATTTTTTTTTAATTGCGTGAAAATGTGTGTTATAAAATTATATATTTTAAAATAACTGTTTTTAGCTTTTAATTATCTATTCTACATTACAATCATCTATGGCTCATTATTTAATATCAGAGATTTTCTGCTTTTATATTTTATATTTTACAATAGACAGAGTTTTATTTTGAAGAAAGATTTCAACTTTTTAATATTTAGTTGTAAACAATTGCTATGAGTACTCTGTTATTTTTATTTTTAAATTATATAATTATTTTGTTGCTACAACTACTCATGTAATCCAATTCGAAGAAAATATCTAAAGAATTTAAACTAAAGATAATATCAATTTTTCCATCAAGATAAAATAATCATATCAAGTTTATGAGAAACTAAATAACAAAACATCTTTTTTTTTTTACTCAGAAAAATCATTATTTTCACTTTCAACAATATTTTACTATCAATCTTTGTGGCTTTTACTGAAGAAATAGCACGTGAAAATGTTTCATATCCAATCATTTTAGCATAATTACTCTTTCACAATATCTTCCAAACTATTTCCAGCAAAGATGTCATGGTTGTTCCAAATTGACAATCATGTCATGACTCACACTTGAAAACAAACAAAACGTGAATACAATAATAAAGTAATAAAAATGGAAAACCAAGTTTTATCAATGAGAATACTGAAGAAGTAAAGTGTGTTTTGGTGTTTTAAAAATAAGAGAAATACTGAAAGCACGTCTTCTCGGCACGGCGGTAGCCGATAAACTAGCGGGGGCTTCGATAGTTGGTTTTCTGGTACCCTGGTGAGCTCGTGGTCGTTCAGTAGTAAAACCTTCCAACGTTTATCTGGGTCGTACCCCACCAGGTGGTCTCTGGTATGTCGTATGTACGTAAAATCAAGTCACAGAAAGAGTATATACATTTCTGAGATGAATGTATGAATGTATCAGTTTGTTTTCATGTGTTTCCAGAAAAATAAAAATTAAAAACTCTTCATAATTTGCATATTTGTATAAATTTTCGGTATTTGACTTCAACAACCTAGAACCATGATGTGATTTTAATCGATCTTAATCGATTCATTGAATTAATAAGCGTTATTAACAAGAGAAAGGAAGAATAATCAGGCAATCGTGGATCAAATTAACCCATTCCCCTACATTCATTCTTCTCCTTCATTCTGATTCATACCTGCTTCTATTTTCTAAACAATTTAAGCACTTATTGAATATGATTTTCATGTGAATTCTTGTGCTCATAAGGTATTAGAGGAATTCAAATAAATCTCGTGAAAGTTAGTAAATTGACGAGATCATACGTTCATAAGAACTTGTGTGGAAAAGAATCAAAAAGATCTCACGATAAAAACCACGCCTGTTTTGTTTTTCAAAAACAATGTTAGACCTCATCATTATCGTGGAAATTATTATCATCATCAGCTCCATATCACTATCATCATCTTGTACTGATCGACATCAAGTAGAAATCGTAACAGGAAGCTAGGGTTGAATTCCACTGCAGGTGTTTGGAGAAAAAAAGCTCTTTCTAATTTCTCG